GCCACGTAGAATTAAGGCAGTTCTGAAGGCGAAAGGGGGTCAAACACAGTATTAGTATGGTGTTCCTAATCGAGGGCTTGGAGCCAGAGGGGCGTAAGTGGCTTTTGACCAACTTTACAGGAGAGACAAAACAAAATTTTGACCACACTTCAATCACCTGTATCATTAACCTTAAACCACAAACATTGCAACCACAGGCATACTTACATGAATGAGTATTTAAGTAAAAAATGTATGGCATATTAACACAATGAACATGTTCTAAAACATTTTAAAATAAAAAAATATGTCAAAAACGTCAGATACGCCTTTTTGGCACCAAACATTTCCAAGTCTTCTATGGACATATTGGGCGTATCTGCTAAACAATGCAGAAAATAATTGATCAAAAGGGGAATTGATTGAATAATTAACACTTGAATCACACTTGAACAAGTAATTATTTTTCATTTAACTCATTCATTATTATTTTTTTATATATTTTTTTTCACCTTTCCATTCTGGGCATCTGCTGAACACTACAGACTGTAATTAAAGTCACTGAACTTGCTAAACACACTTCTGATTGGCAATTCATGAGTTGTTCAATTGATTTCATTACAATTCTTTTTTTTTCAATACTCTATTCAATTGACAGTTCTCTCGTGTTCTTTTTGCTTTTTAGTTCTTTTCCCTCACCTTCCTTCCTGGAACATGAATGCCATGTGAATTAATGTAGCCTTGGCCAGAATTTCTTAACCTTTTACGTTGGTTTCTTTTCCAATTTTCAACATCTCTCTGTCTTTTTCTTCCTTTTTGTGGTGTGTTGGCATCCTCTTCCTCCCTCCTAAACAGGCTCAATGTCTACTGTCTCAGTCCCTCGATCTTCTTCTGTCTCCATGTGTCCCTCATCAATTGCATGATCTGTGTCCCTGCCTGTCTCTCTTTCCCCATCTTCTGCTGTCTACATGTGTCCCTCATCTCTCTCCCTCATCTCATGCTGTGTCCCTAAATTATATAATTAAAATGTATTAATATCCTACATGAATGCCCTGATACTAATAATTCGGGGTAAGGATTAGATAAGGTAATGTTCTAACTGATTTTCTATGCAAGTCAGAACTCACTTCCTCCATCTGTCTCCATGTGTCCCTCAAGTTGATCTCTCTTCCTCACCTCATGTGGCTGTGTCCTTTAATGATTAACACATTAATATTTATTAATATAATATCCTACATGAGTGCCCTGAATCTATTAGTTCAAGGCTAGGGTAAAGTAGATTATGAGAAAGTTCAAAAGAATATTCTCTGTCAGAACACAGGCACAGTTAGCCAGATCAGACCAAACCAATGGGATTAACGTTAGCCATGCTAGGCTAGGCTAACAAGGTAAGGCTCTCAAGGCATGATTATGTCTTACTGTCATCACTCTTGTGAGAAAATGCATTCAAACAACTCTGACTCATCTTCAACTTCTTCAATATACACTCACCTAAAGGATTATTAGGAACACCATCCTAATACTGTATTTGACCCCCTTTCGCCTTCAGAACTGCCTTAATTCTACGTGGCATTGATTCAACATGGTGCTGAAAGCATTCTTTAGAAATGTTGGTCCATATTGATAGGATAGCATCTTGCAGTTGATGGAGATTTGTGGGATGCACATCCAGGGCACGAAGCTCCCGTTTCACCACATCCCAAAGATGCTCTATTGGAGATCTGGTGACTGTGGGGGCCATTTTAGTACAGTGAACTCATTGTCATGTTCAAGAAACTAATTTGAAATGATTCGAGCTTTGTGACATGGTGCATTATCCTGCTGGAAGTAGCCATCAGAGGATGGGTACATGGTGGCCATAAAGGGATGGACATGGTCAGAAACAATGCTCAGGTAGGCCGTGACATTTAAACGATGCCCAATTGGCACTAAGGGGCCTAAAGTGTGCCAAGAAAACATCCCCCACACCATTACACCACCACCACCAGCCTGCACAGTGGTAACAAGGCATGATGGATCCATGTTCTCATTCTGTTTACGCCAAATTCTGACTCTACAATCTGAATGTCTCAACAGAAATCGAGACTCATCAGACCAGGCAACATTTTTCCAGTCTTCAACTGTCCAATTTTGGTGAGATCTTGCAAATTGTAGCCTCTTTTTCCTATTTGTAGTGGAGATGAGTGGTACCCGGTGGGGTCTTCTGCTAGCCCATCCGCCTCAAGGTTGTGCGTGTTGTGGCTTCACAAATGCTTTGCTGCATACCTCGGTTGTAACAAGTGGTTATTTCAGTCAAAGTTGCTCTTCTATCAGCTTGAATCAGTCGGCCCATTCTCCTCTGACCTCTAGCATCAACAAGGCATTTTCGCCCACAGGACTGCCGCATACTGGATGCTTTTTCCCTTTTCACACCATTCTTTGTAAACCCTAGAAATGGTTGTGCGTGAAAATCCCAGTTACTGAGCAGATTGTGAAATACTCAGACCGGCCCGTCTGGCACCAACAACCATGCCACGCTCAAAATTGCTTAAATCACCTTTCTTTCCCATTCTGACATTCAGTTTGGAGTTCAGGAGATTGTCTTGACCAGGACCACACCCCTAAATGCATTGAAGCAACTGCCATGTAATTGGTTGATTAGATAATTGCATTAATGAGAAATTGAACAGGTGTTCCTAATAATCCTTTAGGTGAGTGTAGGATTCATCAGTTTGTTTCATAATATTCATCAAAATCGTTTCTGCCTCAGACAGTTCCATGTCTGCAGTTGTGTCAGCCATTTTGAATGCAGTTTTAGGGCACCAACTACACTTACGCCCTTCTGGCTCTGAACAAAAATATGGGTCCTACATGTATTTTTCAGAGCCAGAAGGGCGTAAGTGGACTTACGCCCTTCTGGCTCCAAACATTACTCACACTTTTGTGTTAGGTCTGTATTGTTTTGTTGCTTTATTCAATACAGTTTGATCTCAGATAGGTCTTTTTGGCACAACTAGATAGAGCTCATCAAGACCTTTAATTTGATATATAGAACTCATTTTCGCCCAAAATGCCACTTACGCCCCTCTGGTTCCAAGCCCTCGAAATAATCCTTTAGGTGAGTGTATATATATATATATTTGCATACTGTACATTAGATCATTAATTGTTTACTTAATTGAAGCATTTAAATATATATATTAGTTTTTAGTGTCATTTTTTATTTACACAAAATAGTATAGAAATTTAAATAGAAGACCATTAATCAATTATCAACTACTATAACATGAAAATATTTATCGGTTTATTTTACAATTTTAATGTGAATTTCTAAAAACGATTATTTTTGAAAACTGACATTAGCCTAATTTAATTTATTATGATTATTTATTTTCTGTGGATAGAGTTTTAACTTGCATCAACTTGCATTTCCGAGGACAATTGCACATGCTTAATTTATAGATTTTATAGTATTTTATAAGTATAGAGCTCAAATAGAAGCTCTAAGCAGCAGGTTCATCAGTTTGCTGTGCTCCCACACGGCCTGCTCTGTACGCTCAGTGTTAAAAGAAAACACATCTAATCCACGAGAGCATCACGCACATGCAGCTTAGCTCTTCACACAGTTCACCAGCAGTCTGTTAAACTGCACCAGGCCTCAAAAAGGTAGAGCAATCATCATCACATCTGTTAAAACAAGGTCAGACAAAGATTACTGAAAAACAGGGTTAGAGTAGACAGGCTGGCTACTGGGATTACAAGTAGTTGCTTTTAGAAGCCCGGTTTGCTCTGACAATTACACTTATGCTCTTGGCAATAGCTTTTGTGCTTTCAAATTAACTGACAAAAGAAATGTGCATATTGCATATGAGACAATTAGTACACAAACAAACAAACCTCTCAGTGCCAAAAGCACAAGCTAATATCAGATACACGTGAGCTGCCCAGCATTGGTTGCTCAATGCAAGTTCATTGGACAGACCCTTTGGACAGACTGCAATACTCTGTGATATCTTCAGTATCCAACAAGATGTAGCTATTATAAGGCAAATAAGCCAAAAACAACAGATATAATCAGTTATCAGGCCACGGGACATCGAAATAGTCAGAAAATCAATATATGAGGATGAATGGATCTGATCCTTCCTCCAACAATCTACGTATTCAGCTGGTTTCAGAGAACATTTGGCGATTGAGAACATTGGCTAATTGATTTCACTTAATTTAGGTAATTGGATATTAAATTGATTTATCTAAGATCCATCATTTTCATCTACATGTCAATATATAAAGATATAGATCCACGGCCTTTAGTCACAGCACAGGCTATGTTAATTTCATATTTGTAGTTGTGCTCATATTTTCTCGGACAACCATCACAAGTCAACTCCATCACACGAACCTTAAAGAGAATGTTTGGGATTTTAGGTATTTTTATTTATAGTCACCAACAATATCAGGAAAACAAAATGGCTACTACATTAAGGCTAATAAATGTGTGATATGTAAAAAATATGGTTGTTTTCTCAAGACTCCGTTAATCATGTCTGACAGGATGAGTTAAATTCAATATGAAACCATCTTGTAGTCTCAATAAATTGGAATTAATGCTACAGTTTGATCGTTTTTATAAAAAAAATGTCTGCCACATTTTTCTATCTTGGTATGGTGACTTGAGTGGTGTGAAATTAAACAAATTTTGTGAGAAATTTTAACCCAAATATAGGCGAAAACCATGGAGCATGTTAAACAGATTAATCCAAAACAATTCACATAGGCTACTAAATTTTGTAGCATATGTCTCAATTATATAATTTCTTAGGGTCCCGTGTCAAATTTAAGTCTGCTATTCCCAGCCAAGCTTATTAATATATTAGATGTATACATTCCTAAAGTCCTAATATCAGTATAATGTGATTCAATAGGGCTCATAAGAAATCAGTGCACGTCAGCTCGTGTTCATTATAGCCTAACGTTACCTGCTGACTGTGGTGTGTTTACCATCACCCTACAGTGTATAAAACACAATAACTCAGTCTTACCTGCCAAAGCATCGGGCTCTAGACCAGTTTCGTTGTCTATTCCGCATATGATGAAGTAATGTGCGAAGCGACAGGGCGCTGACCCAGAGCCGCTCATAGTCGCGCTCATCTCGGCTCGAGCTGATCCGCTTTGTCCCCGTTTGTTATACAGACCCAGCCAGCTCCATGTCCAGCGTCCCCAGGCAAATGAACTGAACCAAAGCGAGGTTGTAATAAAGACTAATCGCTATGTTTTCTTCGTGCAGTAAGCTTCGGAAAGCCGTCTATGACTATCTAGTTTGGTTTGAAGAGCGTTTGCTGCCGAGTCTGCGAGTTGTAGCTGCTTTCACGAGCGCACTCACACTGCTCGCGCACTGACGCACCGCTTCAGCTGATCACACTCAGCCAATCCAGTCCTTTCAAATGTTTGACCACAAGTATTTGTCTTGGAGAGAGAGAGCGATGTGCAGTGATGTACGCATTATCTTTAAAATGTTATGATTCACCAGAATATATATTTTTCATATATCAATATATTTTTATTATTTTATTATACATCAGATTATCTAAGAAAAATATTTTTATTTGCTCATGTAGTGTTTTAATACATTTCTGATTTGGACCAATGTAGGCCTAATAGGCTAAGTTATAGATAGGCTAGATAAATAAATAATACAACCGTGTCAAAGTGTTTGTTATATTATAATCCTTCTTAATAAAAAGATGCCATAAATCAAATATTTTAAATACAGTCTTTATGTTGATTCTACGTTAATTTGGAGATTCAATGTGATATGATGTTTTACAATATAAAAAATATATTACAAGTTTTACTGTTGGGTGCGATTGCTCGCAATTAATTGGGCTACAGAAAAAATGTGTTTAATTAGTTAATTGATTGACAGCACTGGTAGGCTATATTTCTGAGCGATATAGGCTATAACAACATAACTTACTGTTTTAAATATTGCATATTAAGTTGAATAAAGCAGAACATTTTTGAGTGAGAGGTGGTAACAGTTTATGAAAAGTTTCTGATTTCTCGCCAGAGGATGAAATGTTGATCAAAAATACAGAATAATAAAAATATAATAGTTGCAAATGGTATTACAGCCAGATGGCACCAATCTGCCAATTTGAATTAAATACTGTATATCCGTTTCCACAAATGTTCAGGTATACTGGGCCTAAGATCAGCTAAATTACTTTGAAGATATATTCACATTTTGAAGCTAACTTATTTTTTACCTACTGTTTATATTTGCATATTGTGACATAGGAAGAAGTCTGAAGTCAAATCTATTTTTAAGTGTAATGCATGTAGACAATAACCCTGATTTCTGTTTTTTGTGCACCATCAGTCCTCCAGTAATAGTCAGGATGAAAAGAGAGTTTTGACACGAAAAGCAGCCTAAGTCAGGCTCCTACAGTCTATGGTCAGGCTCAGCAAGTGCAGGCCCAATCTACAGCAGTATAGAGAAAAACGCCAATGGTAAATGAATCACAGAGCTCTGTGCATCAAATATTCTACAGCATTTTTACCTAAATATGGGTTTCCATTAATGAGGACTTAATTAGGAGAACTTTCTTCTCCCTAGAATGATGTGTCATGAATTACCATTAGCAAAAATCTACTGCATCACACAGGGCATGATATCGTCAAGCTCGGTCAGGGAGGATTTGTAATTTGACTTTTAACATTCAAAATTGTTTGATCTCACTGTCCATTTCAAGTCCTTTCTTGTTGTGTGGAACATGTGGCAATAAAATTGGCAAAAAGCAGAAGAACTCGGTATGCATCAACATTGTAAGAAGATATTTTTTTCACAGTTTTACATTGTAAACAATTTGTCCACGACTGGACTAAATCTTTATTTGAGAAAGCAGCTCCATCTAACAAAATGGTCTCTCTTCTAGCCTGCTCATCCCTCACCCCTTCCATTAGAGCTCAGCCTATTAATCCTGATCCTTTTAATGTTCACGATTAATTACACAAAACTGTGCAATTTATTAGGCCTACTTCTTTTTTTAATCGCTTGACAATTACATAATAAAATAATTTTTACATATCCAATTCAAATATTATCATATTTAAATATATATCTGAAATGAAAAAATGATAGAAAACTAAATAAGTTAAACAATAATAATAATATAGCTTTAACTGGTTATGTCATTATGCATTACTGTAGTAATATAGCAAATAGCAAATATCTATGCTCATTCAACATAAATCTGCTATGTAGGCTATTAAATATTGTGCTATGTAAAATATTCATGATATGAAATGTTATATCATCCACAGATAAATTCAGCATATGGCCAGATTATTACAATAACGCCCTCTGTTGGTTAAACTAATGTGTTGCTGCCTCTGCATTTGTGTGTAATTTCTCAGTAATCTCTCTCAGTGTTTTCCAGTTTGCTTTATAATATGATGATAAATAAAATAAAACAAGCTGTGAAGTCCATCACTTACTGTAAGGTGGTTGTAACAGGGGTCAGTTGTAACAATTCCATCTGTCCAATCAGGAACTAGTTACAAATCACCTGATTCACTTCACACAGGCTTAGTTTAGTTCTTATTCCACATGTGATAAAGTAGAGCCCTGTGGCAGACACAGCACATGTTAAAGTGGAAAAAACAATTTTGAGGTAAGAAAGTAACTTTTTTTACTTTTTTTGTTTTTGTTATGGGAATTTCTGCTTTGTAGTTAAACTCATCAAACTTTTTTTATGTTTATTGTGTGTCTGTGTAGATATTTTCCATGCAGTTGTTAGTGCTAATTTTTTTGCCTGTTAGCTGTAAGGTGAGCTATTCATGGCTACATGAATCTGGGTTAGTTGTAACAACAAGACTCTGGGTTAGTTGTAACAACAATGAATTAAAATTTATTAAAATTGTATTATGGCCAATACTATAGACTGACAGTAACAACCGTGCTTACACAAATAGAATGTTCAAGTTCAATTTATTATGGTCAATTACTATGACAGAGTAACAACAGAGTCACACACACACACACACACACACACACACACAATTCAATTCAATTCACCTTTATTTATATAGTGCTTTTTACAATACAGATTGTATCAAAGCGCTTCACAGTGATAACATGAAAACAATATCAAAAACAATATAACAAAGTTTGTTTCTAAAAGAAAATTGCGTCAACGTCCACCTAAGTAAGGCAGATCAATAATATTATTGAATATTAAATGTCCCCAACTAAGCAAGCCAAAAGCCAAGGCAACAGTGGCAAGGAACCAAAACTCCATCAGGTGACAGAATGGAGAAAAAAACCTTGGGAGAAACCAGACTCAGTCGGGGGGCCAGTTCTCCTCTGACCAACGAAGGAACAGTGCATGATTCGGGCAGCATTACAAGTCAGATTGGAATCGGAACATTTAGAGTATTTGTCCATTTCCATCTTTTGGAAGTCCAAGTAATCACGCCGGTATTAAGACGAGTTGTTGAGGATCAGTGCCGTCCACCATAGAGAGTCCATATCGCCCGTGCTGAGTCGTCACTTCACAGGCTTTGTGATTGGAGCATCTGAAGTCTCCGTGAGAGGCTGGATACAAACTGGGGCTGACGAACGCCATTTTCTGTCCCGAGATAACAGCAGAAAAGCAAAAAGGGAAAATAATTAGCGTAGCTGCTGTTCATAGTGATGATTTCCATAGCACAGTCGTAAATGATAAAACATGAAGACAGTGACTCTTGCGTCCCAAAATCACCCCCCTCCGTCCCCCACTCAACTCAGCCCAGCTTTCTGACCTCTACGTCCCTCCTGCTGCTGAGACCTAACCACAATCTCACAATCTCTCCGCAACCCAGCCATACGCGCCAACCCGTTGACTAAGGCTGTCGAGCCCCACTGGTGCGTGAATAGGCAGTTTCAGTGGACAACGGTTCCGTATGGCATACTACCTACCGCAAAACACAATATCTGCCCAACCACCCGTCATTCACGCAATATATACAGGAACGTAATGACTGTAAATACTATGCAACCTATACAAATAACCTACAGTCTCTTCAAGTTTTATAGTATTAAATGCATTTGATCTGATTCAGCAGTGGTATAAAAGGTAAGCATTATGTAAATGCTTGGCTAAAGAGATGCGTCTTTAATCTAGTTTTAAACTGGGACAGCGAGTCAGAGCCTCGAACAATATCAGGAAGGCTATTCCAGAGTTTAGGAGCTAAATGTGAGAACGCCCTCCCTCCTTTAGTCGACTTAGATATCCTAGGAATGACCAGAAGCCTCGAATTTAGTGATCTTAAAGAACGCGATGGATTGTAGGGCGATAAAAGGTCCATTAAATACACAGGAGCTAAACCATTTAGGGCTTTATAGGTCAGTAATAGTACTTTATAATTGATACGGAACTTGATAGTGTAGAAATGATAAAATTGGTGTTATATGATCATATTTTCTTGACCTAGTAAGAACTCTAGCGGCTGCATTTTGCACTAACTGTAGCTTGTTTATTGAGGATGCAGGACAGCCAGCTAATAAGGCATTACAGTAATCTAGTCTCGAGGTCATGAATGCATGGACTAACTTTTCTGCATCAGAAACAGATAGCATGTTACGTAATTTCGCAATGTTTCTAAGGTGGAAAAAGGCTGTTCTTGTAACATTGTCATGTATTTGTCTCTTGTTTTGTGTGCAAACACATGGCCGGTTGTTTTGGGCTATGTGTTGGCATTGTCTTGTGTTTTACCTGGTTTCCTTGTTAATGTTGTATCAGTGTCACCTGTGATTGTGATCATGTGTCCTTACCATGCCCCTTGTTCCCTCGTTAGTATTGATGTTCATCAGTGTCACCTGTACCTTTTGTGATGTGTTCTATGTAAGCTCCCGGTGTTTGTTCCTCAGTGCTGGTTCGTCTTGTTAACAGTCGGTTCTGTAAGTATTGTGCTCTGTCTGTGAAAGTTCCAGTTCCTATTTGTGGTCAAGTCTAGTTATTGTCTGAGTTACTGTTTGTTTGCCCCATCGTGGGTCTTTGTTTTCCGTTTGTAATAAACCGTGTTTTGTAAAATTACTGTCTGCGCTTGGGTTCTATTTAGCGTAACGTGACAGAATGAACCAGCCCATTTGAACCCAGCAGACAGTCGACTATGTCTTGTTCCGCCAGTAGCCAGTTGGGTGACCAGGAGCGATGGTGGCAGTCGACCATCGAGGACATGAGGAGGGGCAAGATTCCGTTTCCTCCCCAGGGAGAGAGATCCCTGGAGAGATATGCCCAGGGCCTAGAGGAGAAGAGAAATTTTACGCCGGAGGTCCTCCTAAACTCCTATTTCATCGCGGGGCTCAATGTACCACCTCCGCTGGCTGAACGGCAGGGGCTGATCCGACGCCCATTTCGAGAGGTAGTGGACCATGTGCGTCGAAAGGAGCGGCAGGACCCCACAATGACGTTGTCAGCTTCTGCATTACCAGCGATCCCGGAGAGTCGCGTCCTAGCCACGACAACGCTTGGCGCCCACGTTCTCGCTGCTTCGACGTTGGCGGGGGGTCCTTCAGCCTTGGCTGCGGGGATCACGGTACCGATCCTAGGTCCGGCTATGGCTTCTGCACCGCGGTCAAAGAGGAGGAGGAAGAGATCGTCGGGTTTGCCGTCTCAATCCCTGCCCGGCTCCGTGCCGATTCTTCAGGTTGCTTCTGACAGTCTGGTCCACGCTAAGGCAGATGGGAGAGTGACCAAGTCCAGCCCTGTCCCAGCTGTGGAGTCTAGTTCTGTCCACGCTGTGGTAGATGGGAGAGTGACCAGGTCCAGCCCTGTCCCAGCTGTGGAGTCTACTACTGCCCACGCTGAGTCGTCTGTGGCACCCCCTGTCCCAGTTCCGTTGCAAGTTGCAACGCCCCCAGTTTTGGGTTCTGTATCGTCTCCTCTGCTTGCTGCCACAACATCTGTTGTTTCCCCGATTACCCCTGTTCCTGTTGTGCCCCGACCTGTCCCCCCCAAGACTGTACCTCATGTGTCTCCACCCAGAACTGCCCGGTTTTCGTGTCCTCAATCAGTGCCCATGTCCAGTGAATTTAGGACTTTTGTTCCACCCACCCACCCTGGACCTCCACCTACGAACTCTTTTGTTCCCCCACCCCCCCTCCCTCATGCGTTATTTTTGTGTCATCACGATCCTACTGTTATGTTTTCGTGTTTGCCACTGTTAATGGTTATGTTTTGTTGGTTTATGTCTAGTTTACAGTCGGTTATGTCCCATGTGGAGCGTCTGGTAGCCGCTCCGTAAGGAGGAGGTTGTGTCATGTATTTGTCTCTTGTTTTGTGTGCAAACACATGGCCGGTTGTTTTGGGCTATGTGTTGGCATTGTCTTGTGTTTTACCTGGTTTCCTTGTTAATGTTGTATCAGTGTCACCTGTGATTGTGATCATGTGTCCTTACCATGCCCCTTGTTCCCTCGTTAGTATTGATGTTCATCAGTGTCACCTGTACCTTTTGTGATGTTTTCTATGTAAGCTCCCGGTGTTTGTTCCTCAGTGCTGGTTCGTCTTGTTAACAGTCGGTTCTGTGAGTATTGTGCTCTGTCTGTGAAAGTTCCAGTTCCTATTTGTGGTCAAGTCTAGTTATTGTCTGAGTTACTGTTTGTTTGCCCCATCGTGGGTCTTTGTTTTCCGTTTGTAATAAACCGTGTTTTGTAAAATTACTGTCTGCGCTTGGGTTCTATTTAGCGTAACGTGACAAACATATGCAATATGATTTTCGAAAGACAGGTTACGGTCTAGTATAACTCCCAGGTCTTTTACCGTAGAGGATAAAGTAACAGGACATCCTTCTATATTAAGGTTGTATTGTAAGTGGTTTTGTGGGTAGTTTTTTGGACCAACAAGTAATACCTCCGTTTTACCTGGATTTAGTAGCAGGAAATTACCCGTCATCCAGCATTTTATATCTTTAAGACACTCTGTCAATTTAGATAAGTTAGTGTTTTCATCTGGCCGTGATGAAATATATAATTGAGTGTCATCAGCATAACAATGGAAATTAATTCCATGTTTTCTTATAATATTACCAAGTGGCAGCATATATATTGAGAATAGCAGAGGGCCTAACACCGATCCTTGCGGCACTCCATAATCTACTGACGTTATCTTCGATTTTTCCCCATTTAAACAAACAAAATGCTAACGGTCCGATAAGTACGATCTGAACCAGCTTAATGCCTGTCCCTGAACACCAGTGTAGTTTTGTAATCGATCCAAGAGTATTTTATGATCGATAGTGTCAAACGCAGCACTAAGATCGAGTAGAACTAGTATTGAGATACAGCCTTGGTCAGAAGCTAAAAGTAAATCATTTGTAATTTTAACTAGCGCAGTTTCTGTGCTATGATGCGGCCTGAATCCTGACTGAAATTTTTCATACATCTCATTTTCTTGCAAGAAAGAGCACAATTGAGCGGACACAGTTTTTTCTAGTATTTTAGATATAAATGGAAGATTTGAAATGGGTCTGTAATTTGCTAAGTTATTTGGATCTAATTGCGGTTTCTTAATGAGAGGTTTTATTACTGCCAGCTTGAATATTTATATACACACACACACACTGTTCAAGTGTTCAATTTTATTATGGCCAATACTTACACTGGCAGTAACAAACATGCTTACAAACAATGTTTGTGTTCAAGTTCAATTTATAATGGTCAATTACTATGACTGAGAGTGACAAACACACTGAGACTAAGAGTGACACACACACATCAGTTATATTGAAAAGTCAGTGTTGAATAAAAACCTTTCAAAATATTTTTTTTGTCAAAATCCTTATTTCATTATGTTACATATCACCCCGGTGGATATCATAATGTTACATCTCACCCCAGGGTATGTTACAACTAACCCAGACTATGGGGTGAATTGTAACATTTCTCCTCGTGTTTGAAACTAAACCATGCATTTTCTGTTTGTGTTGCAAAGATAATAGCTATGTCATTTAATAGCAGACACTTGTAAATAGTTTGGATCACATTTTGAACACTGATTTCAAAGTACTAAAAGATATAGACAGAAAGGTCAAAATTGTTACAACCATCCCTGGTCTCCCCTATGTAATCGTCATTTTAACCAATGGCGGTGTTTCCAGAAGTTAGAAAACAGACGAATAACCGACAAACAATTTAAAAACGTAGTAGCCTAGACACAACAAATATAAATAAATAAATAAAAAATCCCACAAACACACACAGACAATAAATTCCGACTGTGTAAATTACGATTGTCGTAGATTAAGTAACTAAAATAATCTATTCAAATTAATTACAAAAAGTAAAAAAGTAAAGTCAGGTCACCTTCATTTATGCAGCCTATAGCGCTTTTAACAGATTGTTTCAAAGCAGCTTTACAGTGATAATAGGAAATTAAAGTAACAGAGATTGTTTTGGCTTTACAGCAGCTCTAAAATAAAGTTCTTGTCCAGCTAAAGTTAGTTTTTGATTGATTTGGGGGGTGGGGTGAACTAACCCTTTCAATGACCACTGACCACTGCTGACCACTGGTTGAGAACAACTGATCTAACCAATTGAGCTAAAAGCTATTGATAGATAAATATAGGCGACACTAGATTGCACTCAACAAATCTCTGTTGCATGTTGACAGAAATGGTTACCATGGTAGAGAGTAATTTACCTATACAAACTTTCAAGTGTGACGTCTCTGTTGTGGGAGGGGACGTGTCATATGACAGACAGGGTCCGAAAGGTTTTTGTACAGCACTACAATCAATGAAAAAACGCTGAGTCCACTGGCACACTCACTGCCAACTATTCCCCAGCTTTAGCTGAGTCCAGTGACCAGTCGATGTCCGCAGTGGAAACCTTCACCCACCTCCACGAACACAGGTGTTCAACCACTAAATATTCAGAAACACGATCTGTGAGAGGTGACGCATGTTTATACCACACCCTGTACACAAAGAACGAGCATAGCGCTGCCACACGCCCAACAGAGACTCAAAACACCTGACGCGTAATACCAACTCCATCTGCAATGGCGGTGGAGGCAGACTTTATGCGGTCTGTGTTGCCCGTTCAGGGCGCTTTTCACTCGGAAGACTCTTCTTTAGCTTTACCGCAGGCGGACAAACTCGCGAACACTCACCGGGTGAACAGACTACAGCAACAAGTGCAGCTCACTCTCTCTCGGAAAAGAAACAAACCGAAATTGCCAGGTATGTACAGTAGAATGAAACCGCATTATATAAAACAAACTATTTAGACTTATTTGGCTTGGAATAGGAATACATGTGTGTATATTTTATATTTCTAAAAAAATAAAGGATGTCAGTCAAATGTTTATGGTCAGCTGAGCTTTCACTGGTCCTTTGTTCTCAACTCTGTCCTTTCAATATCTCAGTTTGTGTTTAAAATAACATGCAAAAGAAAATAGATTTATTCTTTCTTTCTTTTGTATTGTACTTTTGATGTATACCATGGTACTGAATGAAAATGGTTTATATTCATATACTGTAATATTTACATAGTACTTCAAGGTACTTTGAAGAATATTCCAAGTCCAAATATAGCTATAAAATATATAATATAATAATATTTAATAAAATAACTATGCAATTTAATAAAATGTCCAAAAGTGTCCAAATAAACCCTTTTGTTACCTTTTTGGTAGTAGAGAAATGTGAACTCTACCTTAGTTTGTCAGAACTCACTTATTCAAACCTATTTAGTAGGATTTGTAAGTGAGCATGAGGAATATGTTTTCCAATATATCATATTGTATTGTATTGTAATTCGATTGTGTGTGTTTTGGGAGTTGCAGATTCATCTCTTCCAGACGGTCTGTCCAGCTGTCGTATTTCAAGTAGTTCATCTTTAGGAAGTCTACAGGTAAAGGTAAAAACTATTTTCCAGTGGGATAAATGTGTTCTTTAAACAATAGTTCGCCCAAAAATGAAAATTCTGTCATCATTTAGTCCATGCAATGAAAGTGAATGGTGACTAGGGCTGTCAAGCTCCAAAAAAGGGAGGCAAAAAGCTCCTTAAAGGTAGTATAAAAGTAGTTCATACAACTTGTGCACTATATTCTACATCATCTAAAGCTGTATGATAGGTTTGTGTCCACAATTGTCAATGCCTTTTGGGTGAACTATTCCTTTAATATCACTAAATTCACTTGAGATAATAACACACACTATACTTTGCAGCGGATCTCCGTCAATCATGAATCTACAAGGTCGTTGCGGATGGTTGACCGATCTCAGTGGTCAAGTGCCGAGCCGCCTCGATTTCACAGAGGCTATGGAAGCTTTCGTTACACCACCAAAAGAGCGGGTTTATGCTGGGGGACCAATTCTCTCACTCTCCCCTCGGCCCCTACAGACAACCATTCCCATATGAACAATCACCCTCTTCGTTACGCCCGCTCTGAGGTTCTGCGAAACCCGAGGTTGTACATTACCGGCCGGTCGGCTGTCACACAGCCCCCCAATATCTCTGTGAATGAGAACAATCACATAGATGATACAGATGAGGTGTTTTTAACCAGCACCCCACACAATGCTCCTGCAGAGAGGAACAGGATGGAGTTAGAGAAACACACCCTTCAGAGGACCCTCTGCAAGCCGAGAGAGGGGGGTTTCAGTGCTCACGAACAATCAGAGAACGTGTCCTGGCAGAGCCGCGTGCGGAAGCCGAGCCTGGGGTTTGTTGCAGGAAGACAACCCTCCCAATCTGGCTCACTGATCAGCATGGAGGAGCGGTCGGGAAGTTTAGTGAGGATAGAAAAGATGGAGGTCAAGCAACATTCAGTGACAATGTCAGCAAAGTAAGCCAGTAGTTTACACATTTTAGCTACTTAATCTTAGTTCTTGTGTTTTTACATTGTTTTTGAGTATTGAGATTTATTTTAGATTTGTTGTTTTAATATTACAGAAATATTAATGTAGTTTCTTATTAGTAATTAACACTTAGCAATAAAATATATACATATATATACTATTTTAGATTTTCTATTTTAGATGGAATGAACACTGTATTTCTGTCTTATGTCTGTGTTAAAGGAAAAGCAAACAAGGTGAACTTGGAACAGAGATGACATTAAAAGAGGCTGTAAATCTCCTGGAACAAGATAATATGGAAACACAAATCACCGCGGCAAACTTCATACAAAACCAATGCTTTAACAGTCCTGATGCCAAGAAAAAGGTAAGTGATACTTTACTCTAAAATAGCACATGCTGTTATGATCCATCCAAAAGATGATGAAATACAGTATCTCGCACAGTCCTTAATGTCTAGCCTCGATGGTTGCATTGATAAACACTTCTGACAAAATGAAACAATGAGTCATAGTACTACCATTGTCAGGAGGCACTTTAATTAAGAGGAAAAGGGGTGTGGAAGAAAGTGAGAGGAAAGTATTTAGTGTGGTTTACAATGCTGTCAGACAGTAAGTAATTAATATGACAACAGTGTTTCACACAGTCTTTGTAGAGTTATTTTTCTGCTGTTTATGTTCCTCAGTACTTGCCCTTTATAGACTTTAAAACATTATGACAAACATTAAAAGGATGGTTCTCATTAAAAGGGATGGTGTAGTCTAGTGGTTTAAGATACAAGCTGGGCAATTCATGAACTAACAGTGTTGAATCCTTTACGGAGCTCCGGGAGGATTGCCTGCATTTGCTTTGAATCCAACAACAGCCAAAAGTTTTAAATGCTAAAAGTGAATTTAGACATCACAACATTATAATGTACAGTATGAAAATGGATTTGCATTTTGAAATTTGTTAAAGATTACATTTAACAATGTTATTCAAATATTAGTGTTTTTAAAAATGAACTTTAAGTGAGCATTATATGATAATACAGGTAATATAAATGTAAAAAAAAAAAAAAAAAAATTAAATATCCAATATCAGTCAATTACGAGATATTTAAATCTCTAAAATTGGCCAATAACCAATATGGTACAAATATATTGTGCATCCCAAAAAAATAACACTTTTTTGCTTTGTGCATTAATTACAGTCTAGGAAACCAGCTTAGGAAAGTTTTAATGTACTACTGTATGTAGATGAACTATAATGTTAATAATCACAGAGCTACTTCCCCTGTACACCCATAACATTTATGAAAACTAGCCTGCAATTTATTCTGAATTGTCAGGGTTGTGACATTACAACCGTTAGCACATATATACACACACACACAACCCCCCATGTTTACATATCAACAGTAACTCAGCAACTTCGTCCTGATGAAAGTGTGAACTGCAGAGGTATGCAGAGGTTAACAAAGCCCAAGCATGAAAGGTCAATTACATACACTACCATTCAAAAATTTGGGGTCAGTATTTTTTTTTTCAGCAAGGATTCATTTATAATTTCACAAACACTTTACATTTTAAAATAAAAGCTGTTCTTTTGAACTTTCTACCCTGAATCCTGAAAAAACAAAACAAAAATATGTCTACAAAAATATTAAGCAGCACAACTGTTTTCAACATTGATAATGGTAAGAAATGTTTCTTGAGGAGCAAATCAGCATATTAGAATGATTTCTGAAGCATCATGTGACGCTGAAGACTGGAGTAATCATGCTGAAAATTCATCATCACAGGAATAAAGAAAACATGTAAATGCATTACAATAGAAAACATTTATTTTTAATTGTAATAATATTTCACAGTATTACAGTCTTAGTGAGCATGAGAGACTTCACAGAAAAACATTTAAAAAAAAGTCTTACAGCCTCCAAAATGTTAAAAAGTAGTTTAAGTTTTAAAGGTAAAGTAGCAAAAACAGGCTGTTTAATTAAGTGTCAGAAAGATTAATTAATTACCAATGTTTTGGTGCATGAACCTTGACTAACATAAGTAGACTTAAGGGAGAACAAATAAAATGCTGCAAAAGAGTAAAATTTGACCCATTTAAATTTTGAGGTTTCTTATTTTATCATGTTCCATCTGCTCAGGTACATTATCTTCAAGGCATCCCAAAGCTGCTGACGCTCATGCAGAATGAGAGCGAGGAGCTCCAGCGGTCTGCCGTCAACGCGCTCCGAAATATTGTTTACGAAAACAATGAAAACAAAATGGAAGTCAAAGACTGTGAGGGGCTTCCAGTGATCCTGAGACTGCTCAAGAAGAACCGAGACATCGAGACCCGACAGCAGCTCACTGGTAAGGGAGCCATTCCAAGTATTTTAGATTTGCGCCATATACTGTATTTCATTATGCAGCCAAACTTGACTTCACTTTAGCTGATCCTGCTGAAACTCCAGCCATGTCTCCAACTATGAAAACATCCAGATCTTGAAAGCGTGACCTCTACCCTTCCATTAATCTTGCAGATGTTATTCTCTCTCCAGGGCTACTGTGGAATCTGTCATCTCATGACTTTCTGAAAGAGCAGCTTGCTAGAGAAGCGGTCAAACCTCTCACAGACAGTGTGCTGGTGCCCTGCTCAGGCATTTCTGAAGGGGAAGACCCCAAGTTGGAGCTCCTCGCTGACCCTGAAACTTTCTACAATGCTACTGGCTGCCTGAGGTATTACCAACTGAAATACATTTACAAAAGGTTAAAAATGATTCATTTTGACAAGCCAGGCTGTTCTTAGTAGTGCTGGTACCGCTCAAGATGTGCTGTGCGTTATTAACAAACCAATTTTAAGTGTGTTTGGCACTACCATTCAAAGGTGTGGGGTCAGTAAGTCAAAAAATGATACTTTTATTCAGCAAGAATGCATTAAATTGATCAAAAGTGACAGTCAAGAAATTTGTAATGTTACAAAAAGATTTGTTTCAAATGTAATAAAAAAAAAGTGGCACAACTGTTTCAACATTGATAATAAAAAATGTTTCTTATGCTTACAATCAGTATATTAGAATAAAGGATAATGTGACTGGAGTAATGATGCTGAAATTTCAGCTTTGTCATCACAGAAATAATTTACATTTTAAAATGTATTTAAATAGACAAGTTATTTTAAATGGTAATTATATTTCACAAACTGTTTTTACTGTATTTTGGTTTAAATAAATGCAGTCTTGCTGAGCATAACATACTTTTTTTCAAAAACTAGAAAAGAAGTCTGACCCTAACTTTTAAACTTTAGTGTAGATACTTATTTATTCAGATCATTGCACTTTGCATTGCATTTTTCCATAAAAGGTGTTTTTAAATAACAAATAAATCTTTTTTTATATATATATATATAGAAATTTGAGCTCAGCCGGTCCAGATGGACGTAAAGCCATGCGGGACTGTGAGGGTCTCATTGAGTGCATCATCTACTATATCCGTGGTACCATTGCAGACTATAAACCTGATGATAAGGTACTTACATGAAATCCCCATCTTTAGCAACAGCAACACTGAGTCTTTCATTTTTATGTCTAATTATTAAAGAGACCATATCACAAGGAATCCAATTTTCCTTGATCTTTTAAGATAAAAGAGCTCGATGTACCTGTACATTAAAACTTTTTATAGCTTTCAGAACACATTTTCAAAAACGGAAAAAAGGATTATTGAAACTAAGCTACTAAAACAACTCGCATTGTGGCACAAAATGTGTCCAGATTTACTTCAATGTTATATTTGTTCCCAAATATTTTATTATCTAATGTGATCCAGAGTGATTTTTCCAACTGAATGATTAATTCTTGTTTTCCAGGCCACAGAAAACTGTGTGTGCATCCTGCACAACCTTTCTTTTCGGTTTGAATGTGAGGTGCCTCGTGTGGATTCCCCGCTGATACAACAGCCCAAACAGAATCTTAATGCAGAAACTAGCAACCAAGGCTGTTTCATTCTCAACAGTCCCAAAAACTTTGAGGAGGTTAGTATTACAAAAAAGTATTTCAAATTCAAACTTGGCTGATTTAATAATATAGCTGATGTAATTTTGTATATTGAGTGTAAGACTGACCAAAATACCCATCCCTAATGCAAAGGTAGTGGTGTAGAAAAACAAATTGACCTCATATGTGGCATCATATGTTGTGGCTCAGGAAGCAGATACAGACTATCCTCTACTCGAGGAGAAAGGCAGCCCTAATGGTGTGGAGTGGCTCTGGAGCGCCATCACCATCCGCATGTATTTCTCTCTCATTGCCGTCAGCACAAACCAACACACAAAACAGGCGTCCATTGGAGCACTGCAGAACCTCACAGCTTGTTCTGGAGAGGTATGATCTGGAAATCAGCTTCATTAAAAGAACTATAATCAGCACTGACTACAATTACATTCGGGCTTAGATTAAAGGGTTAGTCCACCCAAAAATGAAAACCTTTCATCAATTACTCACTCTCATGTCATTCCAAACACAAATGAAGATCTCTTTAATGAAATCTGAGAGATTTCTGTCCCTCCATTGAAAGTCTATTCACTCAAAACTCTGACTAGGGTTGTCACGGTACAAACATTTCAGTAGTAGGTCCCAATACCAGTAAAATTTCACGATTCTCGTTACCAATTATTTCCGTACCAGAGCAAAAACTGTTGAATTAACTAAAAATATTGTCCTGTTTTGACTCGTCCATTGGTTATCACTGTCAATCAACCCAGTTTCCAATTCAATCGCTCATTTAAATGCGGTTGTCAATCCAGAAACTTTGCAGTGTACTTGGCAGCATGAAAAACTAAACTTGTATTCAGATTATGAATGGTACTAAACAGAAAGAGAAGAGCCCCACCTTCATTATCACTAAGGCTGTCAATCTCTAAAGCGCAAGCTCACTGAATTCTGCACTCGTGCGAAAACTCCCGTTACAATAAAAAAGCTTGTACAATGAATCAACACATTTGATTTTGATTGGCCTCAATGCTTGTAAAAATGTGCTGTAAATCGAAATCTTTCCAAGGAATTTCAGAAGACAAAAAAATCTGGAAGCTTAAACGTGCTACGTAACATACGAGGATGAACCTCATTGTTTCTCATGCGTCAAGCATGCTTGAGACTTCTTTTACCAAATTTAGTGCTTTGCTGATGTACGTTCGCTGATCAATGTTTATATGTGAATAAAAGCCTAAATTAAATCTGTTTATCATGTAAAGCAATCGTGTCTCTCCAGAAGACATGGATTAAATCGTTTTATGAGCTTTTTGAAGCATGCGAGTTTTTGGTGAATAAACTTTCAATGAAGGGACAGAAATCTCTCAAATTTCATTAAAAACACCTTCATTTGTGTTCCAAAGATGAACATAAGTCTTATGTGTTTTTTTTATTGTCTTTGTATCCCCATTAGATGTCCCAGGCCATCGCACACTTCATCTTGCACAAGGAGGGAGGCCTATCTCAGGTGAAGAAGATGCTTCAAGAAGGAGAAAAGGAAGAGATCAGAATATCTGTGTCACTGCTAAAAAACATCTCTCGCTACCAAGAACTGCATGCTGATATTGGTGAGCTGCCATTATATACCAATATACGCAAACGGCACATAGCAGTTTTTTCAGGGATAAAAAGCTAATGAACATCTCTACAGTTAAACAGGTGCTGCCGGAGCTGGTTGCCATCCTCCCAAACACTGACCGAAGTGTAGAGCAGCCAATAGAGGTAACCGTGACGATATGTCACATCCTCATCAATCTGAGCAATGCGTCTGTATTGAACACCACTGCCATCATAGACCAAGGAGCGTTACCCAAGATCATCAGCATCAGCACCAAAGACAACGGGTACGGTTTCATTTTCAGATATGTAATAAAACTCACAATAAAAGTCATGTATGTTCAGTTATATGACTTGTTTAATTTATACATTTAATTTTCAACTAAATATAGGTTTGGACCCACACGGGCGGGCCAAGCGGCCTGTATTTTACTTCATACCCTGTGGAGACATTCAGAGCTGCATAGCAGTTTCAAGAAGGTGAGATTACTACATGTTTGCATCCCATAGTGTCCATGAAGTAATAGTGTTATTCTCAAATATTTTGGAGCAAATAAATAAATAAACAAACTACAGTATAACAGTCAAAGATCATTTTAGGGCGGCTACTCAAAATATTAAGTGTTTACAATGAAGAAATGAATGCAATTAATCATCTTGCTGCCTCCTTGGAAGTTTGCTGAGGGCCCCTGGTTGAGAACCACTGATCTATAAAGCGCTCAAAACTGAATTCACATATTAGTCTCTCAGATTTTGACTTTCACGTCATTATATATTTACTCTTATCATCTGTTTTTCAATCTATGGCAGGCTGGTTACAGGAAAACAGACTTCATAAACAACAGGACAGTAAAGGCTGTGAATTCTGCTCGTGATTAATGGGACCTGGAAATGAATTGCAAAGAAATGGCTTTTCACCTGTTTTCTTTAGAAAGATTAAAAACGGTGCTAATATCATGACTTTGGTGTTTGTATATGTGTTTTGTCTTAATTTAATACTTATATTATTATGCGTTTTGATAATAGTTGTAATAGATAATAGTCGAATTTACACACTTTGGTTTTATTTTATTTTTTTACTGATCTTTTTACGATTTTTACTGCCTTTGGTCTGTTTAAATAGTAATATTAAAAGCACTTTTATCTACAAAGCTACTTTTTGTGTATCTGTTTTAATTTTGTTGTTGTTGTTTTTCTTTCTTTTGCAATGGGTAGTAACTTCCTAGCCTTGTGTATTGAAACACTGTATAATATTTTAATATTTTCAAATAAACTACCATATTTTCTCCAGTCACTGAGGGGTTAATGTCTGTTTGTTTACTATGGATTGCTACTTCCTGCTCAGCTACTGTTCGGACGCTCTTGCTTACTGCTCCGTGCTTTCCTCTATCGCTTTTATATTTTTTATCGCTCCATCGCTTTTATATTTTTATATTTGATCTCCTTTTATCACCTAATTTTAACTTCAGCAAATCAGCACAGTGCTCAAACGCTTGATTACTACAAAAAAAAAAAAGCAGAATTCTTTTCTCCGACCAGCCTCCCTCTGAAAGCTTACATTCCGGGGAAGGGAAAACACAACTGCAAAAGGATAAGAGAAAATGCCTCTTCTGGAATCTACTTGCTGCACTAACTGCCAGAGACTTTTACAAAGGACTACACTTCTTGAAACAAAGTTACTTGTGGGACCACCAAACCAGACGGAACACAACAGAGCTTCGTCATGGACGCCCTCAGCATACAGCCGGTGAGTCCCATAAATCTAGTGCTCCACGACAGGCCATACTGAGTGTAGAGAAACAAGCCGATCGACTTACAAATCGATGGCACAAACAGGGAGCGAGACCCAAAGGCACTCGAGACATCAGATTGTCACGAGCATCACATATTGCTGCAGTAGCATCCTCTACCCCAGATACGGCTCTGACAAGGATTGCAAACACTGGTCTCCTACCAACGCCTATACATCTTGAGAACAGATTTGAAGTATTAATGAATGAAGAATCCCCGAATGTGATCGAACACAGACTGAATCAGCCAGTAGCTAACACTGCTAACTGGCGCTCAAGGTCGAGCAGACAGCGGCACTCAGCTCAGAGCGCAGCCGAGCACAGGACTCTGATAGTGGGGGACTCCATAATCAGAAACATTATCAGCAGGGATACAACTACGTGCTGCCTTCCACAAGCAACGACTTCTGATGTAAATAAGGAACTTCAGAACATTCTGATGAAACATAAGACTGCAAATCGACTCATCATTCATGTGGGGAAGAATGATATTCATAAAGAGCGGTCAGAACTCCTTAAGAAGGATTTCAATGAATTTTTTGAAACACTTAGACTGAAAGTTCAGACATTCATCAGTGGACCACTCCCAGCAAGAGGAACAAACAGGTTTTCACGGTTGCTTGGGCTCAACACATGGCTGCAAAAAACCTGCAATATAAAAGGAGTGAACTTCATTGACAACTTCAATCTTTTCTGGAGTCAGAGGCAACTGTTTCAACAGGATGGGCTCCACCCAAACAAACTTGGTTCAAGAGTGCTAAAGGACCATATCTACTTCTCCCTCAATCATCCTTCTGCAGTGTGTGCAAATCCACTCAACCTGAATGGCACACACACACACCTGGACACAGTATGAATGACCACAGGACTTTACTTCAGCACCTGAATGGACATGGGGTTGACATATCACACAAGGACAAGGAGCCACCATGCAGCCACAATAACTTCTGCTCACGGACACAATCTCAGCAGAGCCCTGCCCACAGAGCTCACCACAGACAGACATATTATATTAGAACTGCTCCAAGATTCAGCTCCCAAGGACGACTTTCTAGAAAACAGCGAGGGAAACCAGGACAGCATATTACAGCCTCCGATAACACCAGAGCAACAGCCCCTCTCCCCAGACACGTTATCCCTCTCTCCAGCATCTCCACTTCTGTGTTTCTCAGAGAAAATGGAAAAACTGGTGTATGCTGGAACCAAACTATCCCACTCTTTTGCTGCAAGCCCCCAGATGTCAACCAAAAAACGGCAGGCCCCACAACCACCAAAGCCTGCGGGCCCAGCCCCTCCTCCTGTGAGAGCTCTTCGGCCTCTGCCACAGCGCCAGGGCTCACACCCTCCTCCATCGGCTCGAGGTGAACCTAAAACAACTGATACCAGCTCTCAGTGATATGTGTCGGGTCCCCGCTATGATAACAGTAACTTTCTTAAATGTTTACATAACAAGCTGTAACCCAGTGTGCCTGAATCTTTCTCTATTGCTGTTCGATTACATGATAGAAAATCTAAGGATTTCAAAAGCCGTACAGCAAACCCATCTAATCTGGTGCCTATTACACGCCAAACTAAGATTGCTGTGGGGACAAAAAGTAAGACTGTTAAGTTAGCACTTTTAAACATCCGCTCACTTAAAAATAAATCACTTCTAGTCAATGACTTAATAACCACATACAACCTGGACTTTATGTTTCTAAATGAAACTTGGCTAGAAGACAGCTGCAGTGGAACAGTCCTCAGTGAAACATCCCCTCCTAACTTTACTTCTTTGAGTGTCTGCAGAGCGGGTAAGAGAGGCGGGGGTTTAGCTGCTCTTTTTAAAGACGTCTATGAATGTAAGCAAATATCATTTGGGAATTACCCGTCTTTCGAATATCTGGGTATATCGTGTTAAAAGGTGCTCCACGTATTTTACTTATCATTATTTACAGGCCTCCAAAATACTCTCCAGCCTTTGCTGAGGACTTTACAGAACTGCTATCAACAATTTCCTCAGAGTTTGACTGTTTTGCCATTGCTGGAGATTTTAACATTCACATAGATAATGCAGAAAACAATATGGCAAAAGTAATCAAAACTGTTTTAAAAACGTTTGATCTAACTCCGCATGTACATGGTCCCACACACAATCGTGGACACACTCTAGATTTACTTATCAGTAAGGGTCTAAACATCTCATCGATTGTTATTAAGGATGTAGCACTGTCTGATCATTTCTGTATTTTCTTTGATACATTGATCTCTCCTGCCATTGAAGCTAGATCTGTGTCTGTCAAGAAGAGATGCTTAAATGAGAACACTAGTGTGCTATTTATGAAGGCTATATCTTTAAAACCAAGCATATCTGCTGACTCTGGTGATTTTCTCCTTGATTCTTTTAACTCAAAAGTTAAAAGTAATTGATGATATTGCTCCTGTGAAAGTCAGGAAGAGTGGTAGACAAAAAGCACCTTGGAGAAACTCAACAGCTGTGCAAAATATGAAAAGACAATGCAGAAGAGCAGAGCGCATGTGCCGGAAGACAAAACTTGTAGTCCATTATAACATCCACAAAGACAGCATCCATGCTTTCAATGTGTAACTAGGCAAATCCAGACAGACTTTCTTCTCGAATATTATAAACAGTAACTTAAACAACACACGCACTCTTTTTGCTACTGTAGAGAGACTGACTAAACCCCCAAGCCAGATTCCCAGTGAAATGCTCTCAGACAGCAAGTGCAGTGAGTTTGCTTCTTTCTTCTCTGAGAAAATCAATAATATCAGAAAGTTGATCAGCACATCCTTGAGTTGCTCTGGGGTCAGACAGATCAGACCACAACCGGAGAAAGTAGTTACTATGTCTGTTTTCGAAGAAATTGAAGGCAAAATTTTGGAAGAAACCGTACAGCACCTTAAAACATCAACCTGCGCCCTTGACGCACTTCCAACATCTTTTTTCAAAAGTGTGTTAAACAGCTTAGTCAAGTCAAGTCAAGGTTTATTTATATAGCACAAATTTAACACAACCGTAGTTGATCCAAAGTGCTTTACAGTATAATAAAAATAAAAATAGAAAAAAAGAATAAAATGAAGTATCAAACCATTCAGTATATATACAAACAGCACATGCATAACGTAGAACACCAAGTTATTTAAAATACATACACAATATTACTCAAATGCGAGAGAGTAAAAATGGGTCTTTAAGCTGGAATTAAAAGCAACCAGAGATGGAGAGGTCCTAATAGTTAAAGGTAAATTGTTCCAGAGCTTTGGGGCAACTACAGAGAAAGCTCGGTCACCTTTTGATTTACACCGAGAGCGTGGGACAGATAAAAGTGACTGATCACAAGATCTTAGTGACCTAGAGGCTGTATATGGCCTAATAAGATCACAAATATAATCTGGTGCCGAACTATGTAGGGCCTTGTATGCAAAAATAAGGATCTTAAAATCGACTCTAAATTTTATTGGTAGCCAATGCAAGGAGGCAAGAACAGGGGAGATGTGATCCCTTTTCTTAGTTCCTGTCAACAATCTGGCTGCTGAATTTTGAACCATTTGTAACCGAGACAGTGTAGTTTGAGGTAGGCCAATGTCCAGAGAATTGCAGTAGTCCAATCGAGATGAAATTAGCGCATGAATCACATCACGACAGGATGAACTCAGACACACCTTCCAAACTCCCCCATAACGCTGAGGACACCGCTTTACAGGTGACACACACACAGGTGCTAAAGGCTCTGAAGCTGGTCAACCCCCGCAAGGCTGTGGGACCTGACGGAGTGTCACCCAGAGTCCTGAAGGCCTGTGCTGAGCAACTAGCAGGTGTGTACACAGACATTTTTAACCAGTCCCTGTTACAAGAGGTAGTTCCACATTTGTTCAAGTCCAGCATTGTGATACCAGTTCCGAAGAAACCTGACACTGCCACCCTGAATGACTTCAGGCCTGTGGCCCTAACACCAGTTGCCATGAAGTGCCTTGAAAAGCTGATATTAACTCATATAAATTCCTACATCCCAGACACTTTAGATCCAGTACAGTTTGCCTATCGCCCGAATAGATCAGTGGACGATGCAGTGGCCTTTGTTTTACACCACATACTTCAACATCTGGACTATAATAAAACATATGTCAGGATGCTATTCCTAGACTATAGCTCCGCCTTTAACACCATCCGCCCTGCAAAACTCATTGTGAAGTTAACAGACCTCGGACTGCCGGCCTCTATTTGTAATTGGATTTTGGACTTTCTTTTGAACAGACCGTAGGTGGTAAAGATGGGAGGGTTAACTTCAGGTAATATTACAATTAGCACAGGCACCCCCCAAGGCTGTTGCCTCAGCCCAAAGCTCTATACACTGTACACATATGACTGCGTCTCCACTCAGGACAGCTCACTCGTCATCAAATATGCAGATGACCCAACCATCTTGGGCCTTATTAAGGGTGGGGACGAGACAGGGTACAGGGAGCTGGTCAATGACATAATTGACTATGGAGAGGAAAATGACCTGTTCCTCCTTACAGAGAAGGTCCTCCCCTGCAAATATGAGGCAAACCACTGTAGAGCAAGGCCCTCTAATCCAATAATATACTCCAGTCGTCTCAGTAAAATATTATGATCAATGGTGTCAAATGCAGCACTCAGATCTAAAAGTATCAGGATAACGGAAGAGCCAGAATCGATAGACAATAGAATGTCGTTTGTAACCTTCAGCAGTGCTGACTCAGTGCTATACAGCGCTCTAAAACCAGATTGAAATGGGTCTAAAATATTAAAAGTATTCAGATAAGAGGTAAACTGTAACAGTGCAGCTTTTTCCAAGATCTTTGAAATAAAAGGTAGTTTAGAGATCGGCCGGTAGTTGTTCTGCACGGTGTGGTCGAGGTGATGTCCTTTCAATAGGGGCTGTACGATAGCATGTTTAAAACTTTCTGGGAAAACCCCGTTTATTAAAGAGCTATTTATTATAGCTAAGAGGATGGGGCAAATTGTGTCTAAAACTTCTCTGAACAGACGTCCAGGCAATACATCTGATTGACAGAATGTGAATTTCATCTGAGAGATAATGTTAAGTAATTGAGATGAAGACACTGGTTGAAAGTTTGTAAAACGACTGGATGTAAGGACCAGTTCAGAATGATCTATGTAAAGAGGAGAGAGGCATAATCTAATATCCTGTATTTTCTGAACAAAACATTCAGAAAATTGTGTGCACATCTCAAGATTCACATCAGGAACTGAACAACCCACAGGATTAAGAACCGAATGTATGGTTTTGAACAGAACTTTTGGCCTATTGGCATTTTTTTGCAATCAGGTTTGAGAAATATTTGGATTTTTCCTCACTAACAGAGTGTTGATATAGACTGTTAAGCAAGATTTCAAAATTTGGTAGGACACTTGAAGCCCATCCCTTTTCCACCTGCGCTCGGCCCTCCTGCACTCTTGTCTGAGAGCACTCTTGTCTGATTAGAAGCAGATCTCCTAGAAGTGGTAAATGCCTCACTTCTCTCTGGGAGTTTTCCAAACTCCCTGAAAACGGCAGTTGTCAAGCCCCTCCTGAAAAAGAGTAATCTGGATAAGACCATCTTAAGCAACTATAGACCGATCTCAAATCTTCCTTGCATAGGCAAGATCATTGAAAAAGTTGTCTTCAATCAGGTGAACAAATTCTTAAGCTTGAATGGATACTTTGACAATTTTCAATCTGGTTTCCGATCGCATCACAGCACAGAGACAGCGCTCATAAAGATAATAAACAATATTCGCTTAAATACTGATACAGGCAAATTATCAGTACTGGTACTACTCGACCTCAGTGCTGCATTTGACACTGTTGATCACGACATACTTCTTGACAGGCTGGAAAACTGGGTGGGGCTTTCTGGGATATTCCTAAAATGGTTCAGGTCATACTTAGGAGGGAGAGGTTATTATGTGAGTAAAGGAGACCATAAGTCTGAGTGGACATCCATGACTTGCGGAGTCCCTCAAGGCTCAATTCTTGCGCCACTCCTGTTCAACATGTATGCTCCCAATGAGCCAAATAATGAGAAAGCACCAAATTGCTTACCACAGCTATGCAGACGACACAAAGCTCTACTTAGCCCTATCGCCTAACGACTACAGCCCCATTGATTCCCTGTGCCAATACATTGATGAAGTAAATAGTTGGATGTGCCAAAACTTTCTTCAGTTAAACAAAAACAAAACTGAAGTCATTGCGTTTGGAAACAAAGATGAAGTTCTCAAGGTGAATGCATACCTTGACGCTAGGGGTCTAACAACTAAAAATCAAGTCAGGAATCTTGGTGTGTCTCTAGAGTCAGACCTTAGTTTCAGTAGGCATGTCAAAGCAATAACTAAATCAGCATACTATCATCTGAAAAATATTGCAAGAATTAGATGCTTTGTTTCCAGTCAAGACTTAGAGAAACTTGTGCATGCTTTTATCAGCAGCAGGGTGGATTATTGTAATGGACTCCTTTCTGGCCTTCCTAAAAAGACCATAAGACAGTTGCAGTTCATACAGAACGCTGCTGCCAGGATTCTTAGCAGAACCAGAAAATATGAACATATCACACCAGTCCTCAGGTCTTTACACTGGCTCCCAGTTACATTTGGGATTGATTTTAAAGTATTATTACTGGTATATAAATCATTTAATGGGCTAGGACCTCAATATATTGCAGATGTGCTCACTGAATATAAACCTAACAGATCACTCAGATCATTAGGATCACATCAGCTAGAAATACCAAGGGTTCACTCTAAGCATGGAGAGTCTGCTTTTAGCTATTATGCCAGCCGCAGCTGGAACCAGCTTCCAGAGGAGATCAGATGTGCTCCTACAGTAGTTACATTCAAATCCAGACTCAAAACACATCTGTTTAGCTATGCATTTACTGAATGAGCACTGTGCGAACGTACGACTATTTTTACTGTACTTTATTTTATTCTCAACTGTTTTAATTATTCTTATTTGTTTTGATTTTTTTAATTTCTTCTATGTAAAGCACTTTGAATTACCATTGTGTATGAAATGTGCTATATAAATAAACTTGCCTTGCTTTGTTTAGTTAACGTTACCATGGTTCTGTTTGAGTACAACTTGCTCTCAACGCTCAGGTAAACACGGTTTTTGAAGCATAAAGCATTAATAAAAACCTCAACGGAATTTGGCATGATAATTTAATACTCGTGATGATTTCTGAAATCTGAGAATCAGGTTCAGGAAGTGATTTAGTCTTTTGAATAATAACATCATCGTAATGATTTTTTGAGTCTTTTGAATGATAACAAATCATCGTAATGCTCGGTGGGAGGGATCAAACGAAAGATCGAACTCGCTTAATGTTGTCGACAGAATCAGAACAGAAACAAAGCGTTCGGATAAAACTGCCGCGGGCATTCGTCGACAATAAATGACTATGGTTTCATGTTTTGATACTTTCTACAGGAGTTCGCTTTGACTACAAAAGCATTTAATGTACTTGACGTCACATCCGTAAACAAAAAAGCTCATGCAAGCTGGGCTGTACCAATATGTTACTAGGGGGTGCGCATCAGTCTAGTTACATCCGACATTGTCGAGATTCTTTGTTTGTTTTATTGAAAAAACAACTTTTCAATAAAAGCACAACTTTTTCGTTCTTATTCGTTTATTTAGTTTCACTTTCTACCGGTTGTATGTGAATTTCTCAAATTAGCTTTAATCTTTTTATCGAAGACAAAACGTCGAAAACCCTATAGCTGCATAATAATAGATTATCCCTGTTTCACAAAACAGTACAAGTCAAGTCATTTTAAAGAGCCCTTTAAAGTCCCACAGAGAAGGAGTATCGATATATTTCATCTACAAATCGAGAAAAGCTCGGTTGTCCACTGTTGTTTGCCAAGTCTCCACTATCGGGGACTTGACTCAGGTAATTGTTACATATAACAGTTAGGTTTATCTGTCTAGAGTTTATATAAGTGATATTTCTTGGTAAATTCAAAGAGCTGGACAACGGTTATGTTTACATAATTAACTAAAATGGATTAATATGCGTTTATAATCAAGCATTATTGGAAAATTACCACAAGTGGAACACGTACGTTGCTGCGTAGTTCGCTTTTATTAAATGACCAGACGCGCTGACGTCGTCTTATTTATAAATATTTATTTCACATACAACCCATAAAGTTACTGTTTATTAAATCCACGTTGCCCATCTTTAAACGAACTGGGGTTTTGCGTGATCTGGAAAGTCCAGTTCGGCTGCTCGTCTGCTTTGACAGTCTGCTCGTGTTTTGCCCTTGTTTGTGTGCTGAAGATTAGGTCACGTGTGCATCGCAGCTGAGCACAGTGTGTACTGCGTGTCTCGCGCTGTTTACTGCACCTCCTTTTTTAGGGTCCAAATCTGCACGAGCCGTGACCGATGCCAGTGGTGCTGTCCTTGGTGCCTCCCAATTTAAACCTGGCTGAGGATGTACATATGTGCAATTGTGCATGGCTTTCGGTTTTAACCATGCGAACTACTGAACGGGTCGCAGTGTTTTTCCCCTATGCTTAAAACAGATGCTCTCTTTTGCGAGTAACAAGAATGGAAGGGTTTGAACATGTTATGTCATTGGGCTTTCTATTGGAACCAGGCTCCAAACACTGGTTTAAGTATTGGTGTTTGTTACTGTGTTGATTGTTATAAACTTACTTGAGACCAATCAGGAGCAAATTGAGGCACACACATATCCAGTTCATACAAGTACCCTATTTTGCATGGTGAAGTCGACATTATGGTTTTAACATTATAATAAAACTAAATAAAGCATTTCAGCAAATTATAGTAACTATTATTAAAGGGACAAAAGCATTTTAAAGCATTTTTTTTTTTAATTCAGTGAGCAGTATAATTTATTTTTGATTCATTTTGAATTATCTATTATTTTCATATTTCCAGTTTTCATATTAATTTTAGTAATTTTTTTCTGTGCTTTTGTCATGATTTATTTAAAATTTTCTATTTGGATTTAATTTGTATTTATTTCACTTTTAGTTGTATAGTAATTTTAGTTTTAAACAAACTTTAGCTGTCAAGGCAACATTCTGCATTTTCGTTTAAGTTTCGTCTACGTTTTTCATCTAATTTTGATTTTATTTCAGCTTTTTCAACCAGTATGACTTTTTACTTCAGTGAAACACAAAATTAGACTTTGGTGCATTTTTTCCCCATACAATGAAATGCTTCCTTCACGGAATAAAACAATTTAAAAGATAATTGAGACTTTTTATCTCACAATTTTGACCTTTTTTTTTTCTCACATTTGCGGGTTTACATCTCGCAATTCTGACTTTTTTTCTCGCAATTCTGAATTCTTTTCTCAGAATTGTGAGAGATAAGTTTGCAATTGCAAGTTATAAAGTCCAATTCTGTGGAAAAAAAACTTCCTGTAAAACTTTTAATATAAATTGCGAGTTTATGTCTCACAATTTTGACTTTATAACACACAATTACGACTTTATAACTTGCAATTGCGACTTAAACTAACATTCTCAAAATGTGCAGATCATTTTTGTTGTTTTACAGTACCACTCTGAGTCTGAGACAACTTCTGTTGTAACAGCATTAATCCAAATGAGTAATAGGTAAACTTGTATAAACAATAGTTAAACAATCAGTTTTGTCAGAGCATCATGCATAATAGGTAGGATTAGTCACTAGCTTATACGAATGCATTTTATTAATTAATGAAGGGCATTGTTTATTTAATTTTTTTCCTGATGCTGACTCAACATTTACTAGAGTTGAATAAGCTTAAAAGACTAGCAGTTACTCGGTTACATCAGGAAACAGGTGTGTAGTGGAGCCTATAAAGGCAAAGGAGTGTAACAAGATCGGTTTGCTTTTAAAGATCACGCTGCTATCAGGCGTTATCTGTTACCCAAGAGACGGCACTGTTCAACGTCTGAATCACATTTAAAATACAATGTCCCTTTGTGGATGAATACCCACATGAATATCACTGAGCCCTTTTGTTGCCCATTTATTTTCTCTACCCTTTGCAATTCACTTTTCTTTGTTATGTCAACGAAGCTTTATGTTCTTGTGGAATTTTCCAGCACTGAAAGTGTGCCAGCTCTAACCTTCCCATTTAAAGCATCAGCTTCAAGCTCTTCCCAAAAACACCCTTCATTTTAGCCACAACAAGACTCCGTGCATTGTGTATGTTACATCATACCTTATTAATGCATTTGCAGCAGCCACTCACAATGCCACTGAATGACGAACGTCCCACTTCCACATCAACGGTGGCCAGTGAGGAGCAGAACAGCGACACAGAGTCATCGGGAAGGTGCGACAGTCTGACCTCGTCTAGCGATGTGGACTTTTCCCGCCAGAGCTTCACCAGCGATTCGTCCAGCAAACACAACTCTCCTTCCTGTAGGTGTCCCACTAAAATGAAAATGCATAAGCAAATCAATCATATGCTTATTTGTGTAGATTTATTTGACACTAGATTTATCGCAGAAGGAGCTTAACATTCATTATGTAGGAATGTACTGTTTGATAAAGATCTAGTGTTATTTTAGTATTTATAACTAACAGCCTATAGTATTTATGCTTTTATTTTTATATTTTCAGTTTTTATTAGAATTTTTAGTTAAATTTCTTTCAAATCATTTTGTTGCATGTTTTTGTTTTTTCATTCTTTTTTTATATTTCAATTTGATTTGACAATTTAGTACTTAAACTCTTGCCAACTAACTGCAATGAAAAGTTTTTCTGATATTTGTATTTTGTTTTAGCTTGATTTCAATGACCAAAAACAATTGTATTTCTTAGTTTCAGTCAACAATATTAACATCTAAATATATATTTTTTGTTGTTTATAGTGTATATATAATAAATGGTCTTTTAACCTGTATTCCCACTGTGTCTTCAGGCAGCCCACCAAAAACAGTAACGCTTGACGAGGTCATGTCCTCGGCCCGGGACCTTTCTAATCTGAGCCTGGCTCATGAGATCGTAGTCAACCGAAACTTCCACCTAGAGCCTCCAGATCTACCTCAAAACAGGTACTAAACTAATTCATAATTTCCAGATCTGAGACCCACTTGATGTTTGGTATAGATGGGAATTAAGGGTGATGATCAAGAAAACGTACACAAGAAATATACAATTAAAAGATTTAGTTAATATATTTATGCAGCATTGTTTAGCATTTTTTTAATGATTTAAAATTAATATAATTAATAAATAAAATGCATAATAAATATAAAACAATTGATTCCAAGCCTGGAGAAGAGAGTTAAGGATATGGTGCACAAGGCCTTCTGGGACTGTCTTGAATCTGAGCTGAACAATGACCCCCCTGAGTATGGTCACGCCATCAAACTACTGGAAGAGATCAGAGAAGTAGGTTACACCTTTACTCTGATACAGTGATGAAAAACAGTCTGATGGTAAACGATTCATTGATCACTTATTTTTTCCTATCATCAAAGACCCTACTGTCCTTCCTTAACCCCGGGGCCAACCGCCTGCGTACTCAGATTATGGAGGTTCTAGACATGGACCTGATCCGCCAACAGGCTGCCAACAATGTAGTTGATATCCAGGGCCTTGTGTCTTACATCATCAATACTATGGGCAAGTTCTGCGCGCCGGTCCGAGACGATGAAATCAAGAAGCTTAAGGAGAATTCAAGCGACGTTGTGAAACTGTTCAAGTATGTTCGAGCGGTCTTTTTGTATGCATTTGCAGAACTAGGCAAATTTCCCTTTAGAGCCTATTGGTTGGTATAATAACATGACAAATAATGGGTCCTATTCACTAACCATGCATCCACAAATTTGTGCATGAAATTGGTGTACGTACATTTTTATAAACAATTCATGAGTCACCCATTTAAACCATGCATGTGCAAAAATCACATACTAAAGGTGGTGTTATTGTTAAAATGGATATTTAACCACAGATATAAAGGTGCATTATAGCTGAGAGTGACAAAAAGCTGTAAAGGAAAGGTTGTGCGGAAAGCCCTTAATTTAAAGCCCGACTCATCTCAGGCATTCAGATGCTAATTTAGAATATTCCAAATGTACTAACATTAGAACGAGGTTAAGAACAAATTTGTGCGCATAAGAACTTGCTGTGAATTTTCGTGATAAGTTGTCCAGTGCATACAAATGTAAATGATCCACGCAATTATTAGTGAATGAGACCCAGGAACTGAGGGTGATGTGGGACTGGGACACACATCAGTAATGGCGTTCTCTTCACTAACAGTCATATTTGATGCAAACATTCGCCGGAGGTAAAATAATTAAGTTTTAAATGGCAACTTGTGTTGTAAAAGGGAGATCTTCCGGGTGCTGGACCTGATGAAAATGGACATGGTGAATTTTACCATCCAGAGCCTAAGGCCAGAGCTTCAGAGGCAGTCGGTAGAGTATGAGAGAGCCAAGTTTCAGAGCATTCTGGAAAGAACTCCCAGTAAGTCCACAAACTAACCCGAGATGAAAATTATTTGAATGGATAGTTCACTAAAAAAAAAAAAAAAAAAAGACAATTCTGTCATCGTTTACTTACCCTCATGTCATTCCAAACCTGTGTGAGATGTTACGAATATGTTTTTGTCCATACGCTGTAAACAGAATAAAACTGGAAGCTGTGGTTGCCAAAATTATTCTGTAAAGGTACAGTAAAAATGTAAACATATTTACAGAACAAACAAACAAAAAAAATCACTTTATACCGGTATATCCAATAGCCTTCTTTTCTGCTGAATTAGCAAGGCCATGCTCCTACTCAAATCTGTTTTGTACTTTTAACATATACTGACACCCACTATAATAAAACTGGTGGTAAAGAGAAAAGCCACAATGGATCAAAGATCAAACACGTAAAATAATGCAATAAACATTCATTTAACAACATAAGATGGAACATAAAATCTTAATTTATAACTCATAATTAAGCAGGAGCATAATTATTCAAATTAAAAACACCATCAAATGTGAAGTGTCACAGGGAATTGTGGAAATGCCAGTTTACGGTTTTCACTGTAAACTATAAGTTGATTTGATCTTTTTACTTCCAAAAATGGTACATTTTGCAGGATTTTACTGTAAAATGACATGTAAGGTTAGATCTATTAGTTTTTCTCCGTATACTTACTCTATTACTGAACTTACTGTTAGCCATTTTTACTTGCTTTTTTAATACAGTTAATATTACAGTCATTTTTTTTACCGTGTACAATAAGTCAATGGGGTCCAAAACGACATAATTTTCTAAATGTCTTCTTTTGGTGTTCCACAAAGTCACACAGGTTTGGAACGAGGAATAAATGATGACAGAATTTTCATTTAAATGGATTGTTTTTTGCACATCTGGGCTCTTAACCCTGGACATCATTGTAATTCCCCCAGATGCTTTGGACCACACAACCGAGTGGATCAGATCCTCAATAGAGGAGGCCACTCAAGTCATGTCATCGACAGAGAAGAGCAGCAATTCTGGGCAGAGCTGCAAACCCTTACCAGGGCCCACACTGGTGCTAAATACTGCCTACATAAGTCTTCTCACCTGGGACGAGAGCAAGGGCCCTCTGCCTGAGGTTGGAGCACAAACACGCAGTTATCGTATTGAGCTTTGATATCAAATTCATAATGCATCTTTTTAAGAGCTTTTTTAAGATCTAACAGTCTGTATTTTGCACTTGCAGACTATAATTACGGACGAATCGAGGTTGCAGGAGATGCAGCGCTCTCTTCAGCTGTATCAAAACGTTGCGTCTGTTCTGCTGATAGTCTACAGCTCAATAGGAGGAGCCGTGTCAGGCCTGCCCGCTCTTGTCGAGCGCCTTAAGAAGATGACAGCAGTGCTGCTGGAGGGCATGCATAGAGCGTACGTCAGATCTGTGTCCTTCCCCAAAACTCTGCTCAGGCCAACACACGCACGCATTACTGCACACATACTTCTACATAAATGTAATGAAGGTGTCAATCTAAAAGATCTTTTCTTTCTCCTTTGTTTTCTATCCATTTGGCTTACAGAGACTTCAACCTTAATGAAGCTCTTGGTAACGTCAGCGCTCAGATCTGCTGTGAGGTCAGCAAGTCTTTGGCTGAAAGAAACTTCCCAGTCCTCTCGACTGAACTGCAGGCAACTCTAAAGGGCCAGATCTGTGACATCACCCAGGAAAACAACCCAATACGCACTCTTGTTGGTAAGGAAAACGCAATGTTTGGGTTCAAGCTATAGCATTTGCGGCACTGCAAAAAAATTACTTTCTTACTCAAAATCAATAGTACAAATATCTAAACATTCATAAAATCAATATACATTTACTTGAGAAGTGTAATGACTTTTGGTCTTGTTTTGATTTGTTGTGGTTTTTGCTTAAAACAAGAAAATCTGCAAGTTGGGTGAGAATTTTCTTGTTTTCCTTTGAATTAAGTTTTTCTTCTCCCACTGGCAGATATTTTTTTCTTGTTTCATGCATAGTCACTTAATTTTGAAGTATCTTGATTTAGGAAAGTTTAGACATTTGTACTGGAAAATAAGACAAAATGCTGAATAACTTTTTTGTTGTGTGATATTATTTTCCTCAAATAATTATGACTCCTCCCTTGTTTCCAATATTTAAAAAAAAATCATAAATCATGGTTACGGTGAGGCACTTACAGTGGAAGTGAACGGGGCCAATGTTGAAGGGATTTAAAAGCGGAAATGTGAAGCTTGTAGTTTTACAAAAGCATTTACATAGATTATTTTGTTAAAGCTGTAAAGATAATTTATATAAGTTGTAAAATCGCATATAACAGTTAGCATGCATTTATTTCACACTAAAAATCATGGTAACATGCATATTGTTCACGTTTTGTAGCCATACTGCTGAAACAGGGATATTTTAATGTTTATAAATTGGCCCCATTGACTTCCATTGTAAGTGCCTCTATGTGACAGATTTTTGCTTTTTATTTAATTCATTTTTTTCATGAAAATGAAAATGAAAGTGGAAATTATGTTGTTCAATTGTGTGGTAATCACCATTATTCCACAAATGCCATTGATTGAACTTAACTTGTACTAAACTCATATTGCCTTGAAAGCCTGTATCATTTGAATGTGCCTATTCTGTCCCACAGAGGGAAGGGTACATCAGTACTTCAGGGTGGTCCTTGCCTCTACCAACTCTCACAGGACACCCCCTCCCGTACCGCCAGGCTTGGGTCTGATCCAGCAGGAGCTCATGGGACTGGGGGTCAGTTTTGTCAACCTCGTCAACTTCAACAAAAAGGTTTACGGTCCTTTCTACGTAAGCATCCTGAAGAATCTACTTTTTGTCAACACGCAAGCACCAACTCTGCAAAATGGGATCGCACAGAGTTCACCCAGCAGCCCACTGGAGTCCAAATAGACAAGGATGCTTCTTCTGTTCCCCGTTATCATACCCAGACATTTCACTTATGTGTTTCCAAGTGAGTTATTTGATGATTGATTCTAGGGTTTCACTCCTGTACAAAGAAGACTAAAGAACAACTATGTGGTATGGTGCTTAAAATGAAAAAGTATGGATTTTCGTGGTTTATAATGCTACAAACAAACTATGTTGTTTTCCAAGTAATATTTTTAGCATATCTCTAACTGTAGTTTTAACTTGACAGTGTTACTGCAATAGAAAGACAGTCGTTACGTACTATTTAGGTGCAAGGCAGAAACTTTTATATATATATATATATATATATATATATATATATATATAAACTGCTGTTAAAGACATAGCCAAAAGAAGCTAATATATTTACATAGACAATTTACAGACATTTGAGAATGTGCATTTATTATATCCGTTTAGAGATACCCGTGTATGTTGTATCCCATTCCCAGATTCTAAGATTATAAAAATGTTTGTTGGAGCATATTAAAATCCATCGGTGACGAAGTGAAATTATACTTTGTGTTTGGTACACATTTTTTAAAAGTATTACAATTGTTAACTGTATTTGAAAAAATTCTATATTTCTGTGTAATTTGAAGTGGAAGAAACTTGAAATTACTTAAAGAGGGAGAATCCAGAACTCTGACAAGAAAATTTGAACAATAGTTAAATTTAAAAAAAATATTACATTTTTTAAAAAAATTTTTTTTATTTTTTATTGTGATGTTAATCATATTGCGATCATACAATTAACATGTCATATGAGTAGACACAATATATTTCTCCCCCCCCCCCCCCCCCCCCCCTCCCCCCCCCTCCCCCCTTCTTACCCCTTCTTTCCCTTCCCCTCCTTTACACCCCAGTGATTAAACATTTTTGGTCCTGGTAGTGTCATTTAATATAATTATGACTGCATGATTATTTGTTTTCCTTTTTTTCCCTTTTAGACGTCAACATTTGGGTTAGTTTTGTATGCCGTTTGTATGCCATTGTGCTTTGGTTACAAGCATGTTTATTTTAGTAATGTTGTTTATAAAACATTTAAGGGGATTGTCTTATATATTGTCTGTGCTTATATAATTCAATTGTTGATAGCTTTACTTTACCTATTATCAAGAACCTTGTATTGCTTGGGATTCATTTTTTTGTGACAAAGTGAATGAATGACATCTTTGTGTGGAAAGCCATTTTCATATAAACATGACAGACCTTCAATTGAACAATTTTGCAATATGTATTGTTTGTTTTCCAGATGTATGTGAGAACCCTCATAAGAACAAAACAATATATGTAGTGTGACAAGCACTAAAAAAATTAATAAAAGAAAGTGTGAAAACTAATATTTATTTTAAACATTTGTTTCTGCATTCACCTGGCATAGTCTTTAATTTTCTTTTATATTAAATTAAAAATTAATTATTTGTTATTACTTTAAAATTTTAAATGTGATGGGGAAAATAATATTAATAGTTGAATCACAATCTTATCTGTATTTAATTTGTTTTAGTGCAATTAAACATTTTCTGTACCCTTTCACTTATAAATTAAGACCTTTATTTTGCAGGAATACTACTTCCGGTGTATGTGTTGGTGTTGTCATGCTGACGACATAGGAAGCTAATTTAAGGCTAGCCGTGTCAAACGACCATCCTAACTTTCGGGATCAGTGTCACTTTTATTTAGTTTTTACATAATTTCAAATCTGGAATCATGATGCAATTCATTGTAAGTGTTTACATATGTTTGTATGATTGTAATCGTGTGTTTAGTAGCTTGCTAATTCGCATTGAATTAGCTAACCGTAGCTAACTAACGTTAACGTTACGTCTCTTAGAATCTCTCAGATAAATGTAAACATTTTGTTAAAATAATAATTTTACAATATGAAAGAATGTATTTACCTGTCATATCTTGTTTTTCCAGCTTGGCTTCACTCTGGGGAACGTGGTTGGCATGTTTCTGGCACAGAACTACGAGGTTGTAAAGAATATTATTTATTTACATTATTAACTTTCTGATTTTGTCTGTGTCTGTCTAAAATCCCACGTAATAAACAAGTAGTCTAGAAATGGAGTAAAGCTCTACTGTTTAGTGATCAATGACTAACTTGTTTATTGCTTATTAAAACTTGTTTTCAAGGTACCAAACATTTCAAAGAAAATCGAGGCCTTTAAAAAGGACGTGGAAGCCAAGAAGAAACCCCCAGGCCCAGAGTGAAATATCAAATGGCTAATTATAATTAACTGAAGATGGAGGGACATTTAAGAACAAGCATATCATATATAGTGTGTGTTATTGTTAAGGTATGAACAAAAGAGCCCTCGAGATGCACGGTATATTGTCAAATAGTGCCTCTAAATCCCATTTGTTTTGAACGTTGATGTGTTCTGCATTTTGCATTGTATTCTCTCTCTCTCTCTTTTTTCTCTCCTAAATCAGGTTAGATTTGTTTAAACCTGATGAATTTTCTGTTACCTGTTGGATAATTATTCATTAATATATTTTTAAAACCCTATGTAAAATATGTTTGCCAGTTAAAACAACATCAGTTTGCAGTAACTTGATGTAGTTTTCTCTATTTATTGTGAAACAACATGTTTGCAGTGCAAATTGTTGGACAAATAGAAACTGCACACAAAAATCAGTTGTTCAAAACAAATTATGGAAGCATGTTTTAAAAGCTTCTTTATACTATAATGTAATAAAGATTATATATAAAATGCCATTTGTAAGTTGTTCGTTTTCTGCATTGTGGTGTTATTTTCTAGTAATACTTATGTCTACACACATTACATTTTTTAAAATTAAATTTAGATAAGACTTCAGAGCAGAGGTATAAGAAAATGAAGACTATGCTATAAAAATTGTATAATGGATAATAATTTATCTAAAATAAAATACACCAGAGAAACATGGGGTTTGGGTATATAATGCTCAATTGAACACCAAAGGGCACTTAAAATGACCAACAAAAAAAACCATTAAGATCGTTTATCTTCTCATGTGAAACTATACATCAGACAAAAGTCATAAACATAGAACGTAATGAATTACACAGACACGTCAAAAAGTTTGAACCAGGGCCATAGAAAAACGGCTCTGGTATGAACAATGTAGAAAGTTCCTCTAATTTTAAAAGTGTGGTTTTGTAAAAAAACACACAAAAAAAAAAACAACAACCGCCAGATGGCGCAGTAAACACGGAAGTAAACAGCTTTTCAGTATCCAAAATAAAACAGTTGCGTCTCTGTACATTTATTAATGTTAAAATTATGGTATATAAAAATATTACAACAAATAATTTAGATTTTTTAAATGTTAAACCGACGGTTGGATTTGTCCATAGTTGCATCAAACATGGGTTTAAAACAACCCAGCATTTTTTTTTGCGTAAATGTCTTAAACATGCTTTAGGATTTTTTTACGTAGTGTGTTTTTGACGTAGTTTTTCGAAGTATTAAATTAATACGAGATGCATTAATGTTTTTCGTATAAAGTTTCTCCGGATGTTGAGAGTGAGTGTTTCCGGTACTCGTGGCCGGGCCGCTCCTGTGACAGCAGCTGCTGCTCGAGACCAGCAAAGATGATCTCCCTCACCGACTCCCAGAGTAAGAACAGTACAACCTGTCTCACTGACAGCTTCTCGTAAGACAATGTCTATCGTCAGTGCATTCATCTATAAAGCCTGTTGTTTATAATTCCGCCTGTCTTAATGTTTATATGAGTAAATATACTCATGCAGCTGCGATCAGCTGTCACACCACTAGTAATAAGTCTAACGTAAAAATCATTGGAAGACACATTTATTATTAAAGATAATATCCGGCAAGATAGATACATAACTTTTAAAGACATCATTTTTTGGATACTTTGATTATAAGTATAATAAGTATAAGTGCTTTGTTATAAATTTACTTGATCTTCTTTGCTAATTTTATATAATAAATGTAAGTTTACCAAAAACAAACCTTTTTTTCTGTATTTTTGAAAGAATTTAAAATGTATCTTAATACTATTATATCTCCAGTAAATAAGAAAGCAAGTAGAACGACTTTAATTTGTACACTGGGATTGATGTATTAATATCTTACCCTCATGTTCTTTTCAGCCAATCATTGTTCACTCGTTTTTTCTCATGTGTATTTAAATGACATTTAACATATTGTTAAAACATTTTGTATATTGTATACAAAATTGTATATCATAAAAAAAGTCATTGGAAATAGACAAAAACAATTCTGGCTGTAAAACTGCTTTAATGTTGACAGTGACTAGTTAAATTAAGACAGAACAATCCTATCTACACAATTTCATATATATATATAATAAATATTATCGGTAACATTTTACAATAAGGTTTTCATTTGTTAAGATTAGTTAACTGCTTTAGTTAACATGAACTAACAAACAATACTAATACAATTTTACGATCAAAAGAAGTATCCGTTAACATTAGTTTATGCAATGTGAACAAACATGAACATTTTTTTTATCACTAACAAAGGTTAATAAATGCTGTAAAATATATATTGTTAGTTCATAATGGATTAATCAATGTTAACAAATGAGACTTTATTACCATATTAATGCAAATTATATTATTTATATACAAATTGACACTGTTAAAATGCATTTAAATATCTTTATATTAGTATAATGTATGGCTTTCACTCTCTCAACAGAAATTGGAATGGGGCTAACAGGATTTGGGGTATTTTTTCTGTTCTTTGGGATGATCCTGTTTTTCGATAAAGCCCTTCTTGCCATAGGAAACGTGAGTGGCCCCATTATGTTGTCATTAATATTTAAAATATAAGACTGTAACTATTTTATGTGTTACATTATATTGTATGGAAAATATAGTTATATTCGAATTTTTAATTGTACCAATATATATGTATTTCACACTTGCGTGTTTGTATTCCTTAATGTGTGTGCGTGCACAGTTAATTACATATAGTATATATACACGTTTGCATGCTTTCTGATCGGTTTCTTTTGTACAAGTTTGTTGTAAATGGCATCAACAGATTGTTCATATCCTTCAGTTGTGCTGCTTTTTCCTGCCATTAAGTGTCATTTCATAATAGCTAAAAAAAAAAAACATTTTTATACTGTTGTTTTGCTATAAACTTATTTATATTAGGTTAGCTTGTGTTCATTGTGATACATAAGCACAGATCTTTCTCTCTCACCTGTCTCTCGGTCTTCATTCGTCTCAGATCCTGTTTGTTATCGGCCTGGCGTTCGTAATCGGGCTGGAGAGGACGTTCAAGTTCTTCTTTCAGAAGCACAAAATGAAAGCCACCAGCTTCTTCTTAGGAGGCGTCTTGGTGGTGCTGATCGGGTGGCCCATCGTCGGAGTCGTTCTAGAGTTTTATGGCTTCTTTCTTCTATTCAGGTATTTTTTACAGGATTAAGAAGCCCTTTTCCAGGCAAATTATTCTACATAACTAGTAGCTAATTAGCAATGTTGCAGTTCGACTGTCTTTTAAATGCCTGATGCCAATACAGATTGACAGAAGGCAGATATAGATATTATATACAGATAAATGAGACAACAAAATGGAAATTAAATGAACACTTATTTCACACAATATTATTATATTAAAATGTACGGTAACACTTTAGTTTAGGGTCCAATTCTCACTATTAAAGGGGTGGTTCAGGATTTTGGACATCGGGCCTCATTACCAAGTTAGCTTTAGTGTTATTTATCAGTGGAGACAGTTTTCAAAAAATTTCATCCAGTCGTTCCAGTTGCATAGTTCGCCGGTGCTAGGCTAGTGCGAGTCAACGGTAACTGCTAGCCTGCCATTAAAAACAGTTTTACACGGTACACCAAAAGCAAATAAATTATAACGCCAGACTATCGATGTAAATGTCTGTTAAGAGAATAATGTTAGAAATCAAACTACTCTTGCATCTCAATGATCGCATTACATTTACAGGAACTAGTTTCTCAGCAGCGGTGGAATTTTACATTAGCCTGGATGCCAGCCCGAAACCCGCCCACAACATTTTTTGATCGGGAAGTTCGGTCTGGACTCGCTCCATTGAGGAGTAATTATAATATGATCGGTTCAGAAATCGTCGGGCCAATCAAATTGCCAGGGCGGGCTTTATACGATGATGGACAGATGATCTGCAGGGACGTAATCCTCACGTTATCAAAGAGCGCTTGGGTTGAACTGGTTTCCCTCAGAGATGACTGCAGCTGGAGAATTGAGATTTATAGATCCCGCTATCGCGTCTGTTGTAAAAGAAATCGACAGTGCATTCATTTTAAAAGACGAACTGAGAACTGCAATCAAGGCATTTGTCGATCGGAAAGATGTGTTTGCCGTCCTTCCTATGGGATTCGGCAAAAGTTTAATTTATCAGCTGGCTCCGATGGTAACTAAGAATATGGGACGCAATGAAAACCCTGTGCTCGTTGTGGTTTCTCCTTTGGTCGCACTCATAGAGGACCAAGTAAAAGAAGCGACACTCGTTATTTTACTACTTCTTCCAGCGTGCGTGCATTTGAGTTCTGTAGTTGACAACTGTGCTATGCAAAGTAGTTGACTAACTGCGTTGCTCTCATTGGTTGTAGGTCTATCCAATTGAGTGCAGAGTTTTTTTTTTCCTGGTTCGGTTAAGACACGCCTCATAATCAAAGCCCTATGAAGCAGTATCAGACTCACATTCTGACTAGAAAATGAGTAGGACGAAGTCAGGCTAATTTTACATTGCTCCGGGGCCGAAAAGTAAACACAGAACCGAAGTGCACTACAGTCGGGACTACCTCTCTCGGTTGCCTAGGTAACTACATATCACTCCGCCGCTGCTGTAGACTGTGCTAATAAATACAGGGAACAAAGTATAACGATTGCAATGCAATGAAAGTGTAGTTTGATTTTTAACATTATTCTCTCAACAGACATTTACATCGATAGTCTGGCGTTATAATTTATTTGCTTTTGGTGTACTGTGGATCATATATGTTTTTAATGGCAGGCTAGCAGTTACCGTTGACTCGCGCTAGCCTAGCACCGGCGAACTATGCAACTGGAACGACTGGATGAAATTTTTTGAAAACTGTCTCCACTGATAAATAACACTAAGGCTAACTTGGTAATGAGGCACGATGTCTAAAATCCTGAACCACCCCTTTAACTAGTTGCTTGTTAGCATGCATATTACTAGGATGTTGGCTGTTTATTAGTACACATATTAATGACTTATTCTGCATGACCATATTCTACATCCCTTAATCCTACCTAATACCTAAACTTAACTACCTTACTAACTATTAATAAGCAGTAATTAGGAGTTTATGGAGGCAAAAGTCGTAGTTAATAGTTAATAGTGAGAATTGGACCCTAAACTACTATATGTAGTGTGACCACATTATTCATGTAGTCTGTCTGTCAATTTTGTAACTGGCAAAAGGAGGAACTAACATTTTAGATCAATGGCAATGCAATGGCAATAACCTCAAAATGATCCCAAATAAATAATTGCTGATGATATCTGGGTGTATGTCCTTCTCTTCATGTGTAGGGGATTCTTTCCAGTGGTCGTAGGCTTCATCAGGAGGATTCCTGTGCTGGGATATATGCTGAATCTTCCCTTCATTAGTGGGGTAAGTTTTACTCAGGAGGGTGATGAAGAAGAGAGTGCACGGTTGCACTTTTTCCTCTCGTGCTTTTATTTCTATGCAAGGATCCTCTGCGATTGTAGTGAATTTAACACGTGTTTTAACCAGGCACAGTGCGACAAGTTATAAAAAAAACACTCTTTTGCTGTAACAAACATGAGCAGTCATCAGTTCTGATTGGATGTGATTGTGCTAGCATTTACACTGTCAGTGTGGACAGACAGATTATCAACTTATGTCACGTCTGGTTAGGACACATGTAAATTCACTTTAAATGCTTTTGCTTGCTTTAGCAGCTATGAGACTAACAGGCTTTTCCACTAAATCTAATACAAATCTTTGAAAACTAGTTATATTGTTGTTTAAATATATTCAAATATTTTGTTTTATATATATTTTATTATTATTATTAATACTTTTATTCAGCAAGCATGCTTTAAAATTGATCAAACATGACTGTAAAGACATTTATAATGTTACAAAAGATTTCTATTTAACTTTCAAAAATCTTAGGCAGCACAACTGTTTTCAACATTGATAATAGTAAATGTTTTTTGAGCTGCAAATCAGCATATTAGAATGATTTCTGAAGGGTCATGTGACACTGAAGACTGGAGTAATGATGCCATCTCAGGAATACATTTTAAAATCTATTATAATAGAAAACAGTTGTTTTAAATTGTAATATTTCACAATATTCCTGTTTTTAACGGTAATTTTGATCAAATAAATGCAGCCTTGGTGAGCATAAGAGATGCACTATCGTTCAAAAGAGTGTATGTTTTTTTATATCTACTACTAGATAGACCCTGTTTGAGTGGCATCATAGGTTTTGGATAACACAAGCGTTTAGATAAACACTTTTTTTGGGCAGTATTTCTACCTGTTTTCACCTTAATGTGAGAAAAGAGGCTTAGAGAAAAGAAAGGTGTCTTTCAACATGTGTTTGTTGTTCTTTTAAAGCCTTCCTAAGGCTGAGCGGACAGACAGCCATCTTGGTCAGTCACTGCCAATTCTGTCTTGCATGTGAGCATGAATCATGCCGTTCTGTGTGTGCACTGAATATTTTAATTGATAAATGCGCCATGAATCAGATGAGATGATATCATTTTATATATATAAATTAATTTTTTCCTTGAAAGTGTCCTAATCCTTCCATCATTTTCTGTTGTCGTTTCTCCAGTACGTGGACAAAATGAGTGAAAGCAACAACATGGTTTAACAGACTCTTTTTGACCACTTATTTATGATGGATTTTCTAAAGCTTTACCTTGAAACAGCCATGTGAAGTATAGAGCTCGTATTACCGGAGCTTTATATTCAGGACGTCTGAGAGATATTTACGTCAACGAGAAGCAAACTGTGCTGCGTGGAAAAGAAGCCACACCTTCGCCTGCCAGATCTATAGACTGCGTCACAACACCCAGCATCACTGCATCCCAGAAGAACTTTGCCCTACTTTATAAACGCAAACTTCACGAAGTTAACGGGTGTCCTCCCATGAGGAAAGGTTAGTTGGATGTGTGGAAGAGACTTCTGGAAGTCTGTATTCTGTTACAACAATGGTCTTGTTACACGGTGGTGTCTGTAGTTGTATTATAAAGATGGAGGAGAACTGGATGACTTTAATTTCTTGATTATCTATCACAACAAGTGTGATATTTACACTTTCTTATAAAATTAAACTGTTACTTTGTATCCGACTGGCACAGATGTTGTTATTATTATTATTAATTATGTTCTTTCTCTGTCTTAAATGCATTTCCAGCTGTTGTCACTGTAAATCTGAACATTGGAATAAAAAAATAAAAAAAGTTTAGCTGCCACTAACTTTTGTAAATATAAATGAAAAAATCCTGATATGAGTTTTTATTTCTTTATTAAATATTGGGGGTATACTGTAAAAATGAATGAAAAATATTTGCTGTACCAATTGTACACACATATACGTATTTATGTGTGTGTATATATACAGTATATATGTATGTGTGTGTGTGTGTATATATATATATATATATATATATATATCATCTTTTTGTATTCTGCATAATTCTTATTAATATATATGAATATTAATATAAAAAAAATTGTTTTATTGTTTTCTTCTGGAAATCTGAAGAATGGCAAATGATGTCTCAAGTATTTTGTCATTTTTTTACAGTGAGTGAGGAATGAGACTTGTTTTCTTCTTCAACCAGGTTGTTTCTCATCCATTATTCCCTTCAAGAAGAGACATAAATTACAAGCAGAGCCCAGCAGATATTTATATATATGGGAAACCCCATCAGCCGCACACTGTTCATTCATAAAAAACGATTAGCTGGTGTATTTGAGACGCTTCATTGCTGAAGGTGTAAACATATCAATACTTTCCGCCCTCTTCTTTTCATTAGTTACTATTAAAAGTGCACATGAATGAAATTTTCCCTTCGGCAAAGCTGCAAAGCATCCTAACTTACAGATGCGTGTCTTCAAACGCCATAGCAATAATGTAGGTTTATTATTTTTAAAGGAAGGGTTAACTAATGGTTCTGAAAGGTTCGTGGTCCGGCCCCGTCGTGAATCAATGGGACTTGACCTATAGCTGAAGACTAATTCATTCAACATTCCCCCACCCTGATGATTATAAATATCAAGGACAGACTTCACAGTCTTCACTCTTGATCTTTCCTCTGAGACTCAACAGCTGAAGAGGACGTCTGACACTATGAAAGTAAGTCCACATTAATGCTTGCATTCGTCTCAAACACTTTCAGCAATTAGCTTACAACTAGACAGAGTAAAAAAAAAAGAAGTGAAAGTGACAACCAGGAATTTAGTCATTTTAATATTAGGAATTTTGATACTTTTGTTCACAATATAAATAACGCTGAAGAGAAAAGAGGCTTTAGACACTGTTCTAAAAGGCTAATGGGAAATGATCAATTTGAACATGACTTCACCTTTCCAGGATTTAAGGACTCTTGCGGCGTACGCACTTGCGCTGTTACTTCTGGCAACATTCGTGTCCCATTCCTGGAGTGCGCCCAAGGTAATGAGATCCATCGTATTATACTTTGAATATTGTTTAATTTGACTAAACATTTATTATTTTAATTTAAACATTTTACTTGTGTCATTAGCTTTTATTTTATAAAAATATTTTATATTTTAAAATAATACTTAATTCTGTTCTACATTAAACGGAGCAAATATATATAATTTATTATATATATATATTATATTTTATTAAAGGGCAGTTTTCAGCGTCGGAATTGGACACCCCAAGCCATGTTATATTTGAAAGGAACACGTAAGTTACTGCTGTTTTTTTAACCATATCTGTGTCTAAAACTGCATATATGTTCCATTTTGGGTTTTTTTAATGAACTTTTCATGTCTATTATAGAGGGGCGGCGCTTTGTGTCAGAAGACAGAAATGAAGGGGACTTGTATGACACAATACGCTTGGGTATGAATTATTAATTATATATCTCATAATTTGTAAGCTTAACCGTTATTTTTGCATGGTGAAACTTCAGTGTTCATGCGGCACGCAAGTGTAAGTACAATTGTAAAATGTATGCTAGTAAAATGTAAGCTAGTAATATAAGCTAGTAAATACATGTAAAAAAAAATATTTTCATGACTTTTTCACTTTAGTCAAATCAACTTAGATAATTAATGTGGTTCAGATAACATATTTTGAGTTTCTATTTATTAAACCAATCTCCATTGTATTAACTCAAAATTTTGAGTTCATTGAAATTAAAAATTTTAGTTAAACCAAAAATATTTCTTTTACAGTGTACTTCTAATGCAAATACATTGTAGCATGAACGCTAATGTAAATTGTAAACTCTCTCTACAGAGTCACGCAGCCAAAACACAGAAAACCTGAGCATGTCTAAAGCGGCTGCATTTCTGTTAAATGTTCTCCAGCAAGCCAGAGACCAGGGTGAGCCTTACTGAAACCAGCTAAAAGAGCTCGAACAACTCACTCTTGCATCTGAATCATGTGGAATGTAATGTTTTCAAGTTCACCCTCAGCTACGATGATGCCTGTGTTTAACTTCTCTGAAGGTTCATCATTTAATGTTCAACACTATTACAGTAACACTCGAGTAATGTGGAGTTATGTTATGTTTCCAGATTGTTTGCATCATTCCACGTGGACTTGGACTGATAATTTAAGTAACACAAGGAATAGTGCAAAGACTGATTTTAAGGCATTTTAATTTCTTTTTGTTTTATTTCAGGTGAAATAATGGATTGTTTTTTCAAGACATATCATCTTGGAAAAGAGACTATTTATGATGATTGAAATTCTGTACAGACTTTGTTTCCTTTTCATTTTCTCATGTTAAATCAACATGTGAATTGAATGGCCTGTAAAATACATTTTTGAGAATGTCTGAACTTTTTCTCAATTAATTAAACTAAATTTGCACTGATAACTGCTACCATGAGTGAGACTTTTTTTGGTTGCACTTTATTTTAAGATGTCCTTGTTACAGTGTAATTATACCATTGTGTACAAACTCAAAGCAATATTAATTAACAACATAGGATTAGGGTTTGGTTTAGTTGCTTGTAATTATGCATAATTTACATAGTCAGTACATGTAACGTATAACAAGGACACTGAAATTTCCACCTTTTTAACAAAACATGGATGGGATGTTTTACATTTCTGCACATTAAAGTTGTTATTAAAACTTTGCATATCTTGGAAATATACATCAGATTTTGTTTGACATTTTCTCTATTACAGCCTCATGGCACCAACATACCAAAAATAAAAATAACCCACTAATATCTCACCAGTGGAACATACATGATATTTCATACAGTGGACTGTCTGAGACTTAATAGTGAAAATGTTTTTGTTTTTTCTATATTTATAAGTGTATTAATTATACATTTAAGTACTAACTGCATGTACTTACTATATAATAAGTGTTAGGGTTTTGTTTAGGGTTATTTGCATGTAATTATGCATAATTTATAGTTATTACTACAGTACCTGTAAAATAAAGTGTTACTGGAATTTTAAACGGGAAATGTTTAAAAAACAAACAAACAAAAAAACATGCAACTAACCTTAAACCAAACCCTAATCCCAACCCTAAAGTAAGTACATGTTAATTTAAATTACTTAGTGCTTAAATGCATATTTACACTGTAAGGACACCCTAAAATAAAGTGTAACCCAAATCTTTTCGACATGATCTTTTGGACGCCACTGTATGTTCAAGATGTCTTCTTGTTCATACTTTGGTGATATCAATAATCCATGTAAAGGCTGTAGCACATTCTCAAAGGGTCGCAGGTGTAAATATGCCTGAGCTACAGGAGCAGGAGGGTGCGGATCTTAATTCCCATTTTCCAGCTTACCCTCAGGCTCCGCACCCAGAGTGAAAGGAGCCTTGATGTTCTGCCTGTCCCTCTCGGCCTCCTCGTCTTCATCATAGGTGTCGTCATCTTCCTCATCGCTGTGGTGAGGGGTGGAGTGGAGGGAAGCTGACGGGGATGGAGGGACGGATAAGGGTCGCGGGTAACGGAAACCTTGTGTCTGTGCAAACAAAAAGATTCAGTCACTCATACGGATTCTGATATAATGGTAAACAATAGACTTGTTGATTCATTGATTTCACACATCTGTCTCACTTTAATTTTCTGTGTGTGTCTGTGTGTAGTCGTTTAAAGCATATGTGTAGAACAACTGTGAGTGAGCTCGAATGGGAATTAAGTCGTCTTCCTGAGCAGGTAAATGTTATCCTGTCAATTAAACTCAAGAACGAAGCTCAACTGAGGTGCATCCTCATCACTCAGTGTTAGATGAGTGTTAGATGTCATACAGTACATTCAATAACACCCGGATTAGCAATTTTGAGAGCAGAGAGATGAGGTGAAACTCAATATAAAGTTTTTGCTCATTATCAGCATTAACCTGCCATGCTGATAATGATTTAATGATGTCATATATGCGTATCTTTGAGCGAAAGGTGTATTTGAGTGATTTTTGTAAGGGAGATTATTTCTTACATAAGATTTTTTTTCCACTTTGCCCTTCAGGGCTGCTTATAGCCTATTTACTCAAGGTAGAATTTTGTGAAAAACGATGTAAAAGTCCTTACTGTCAATTTTGATCAATTTAAAGCACCCATGCTTAATAAAAGTATTATTATTATTATTTTTTAAATCTTACTGACCCCGAACTTTTGAATAATGGTGTATATAATGTCCTTGAAACTAAGCACACAGCTTAGAAGTAGTGCAGGATTGTGTTGTCATTGTCAGTGCTAGAGCGTTAATGTGCATCTGAGAGAGTGTGAGTGTTAGCAGGGCTCACCGGTGCGAGGTTGAGATGGTCCATTTTGAATTTAGCAGGGAAGGATCTGCTGAGGGCCAGATGCCTGGCTTGCATGTAGAACTGAGCAGAGAGAAACACAGACAACCACATGCCATTTGATAAAGAAAACATGCGAATTAACTAATGTCCTTTTACAATGAAATAAAGGTGAATCACAGCCGAGTACTCAGAGGCAGAGCGTGAGCTGAGAAGATACTCACCCGTCCGAGGTATCGCCAGTCCAGCAGGTCAGAGAGTCTCTCAGTTCGGTTGCGTTGGATTATTCGCTGTCTGCGCGACTTTTGGCAGAATGAAAACATGAACTGAGTCAGCTGGTTACACGACTCGTCTGCAGAACGGAATCGCCGGTCCACAATGTAGATTCCTAAAATATTGATTTAGTCAAAATACACAATGTAATGTAATTAAAACATTTAATTAATACAAAAACAATTAAGCTGTGCAAATAGTTTTGGAAAGCAGTGACTCGTTGATTCACTCACCATATTCAGACGGGTCGGAGACCTGTTCCTCCATGAAACAGCCAAACCCAGATAGATTGGTGGTTACGCTGGGAATTCCCATTACAGTACACTCACCTGAACACATCAGATTACAGATGATGATCAACAAGAGTCATATGCAATACATGTTTATCCTAAACTGACAAAAAAGGTACAAAAAAATAAATATACTGTGTATGTGACCCTAGACCACAAAACCAGTCATATGGGTCAATTTTGTTAAATTGAGATATATACATCACCTGAAATGTGAATAAATAAGCTTTCCATTGATGTACGGTTTGTTAGGATATGACTATATTTGTCAGGGATGCTACTATTTGAAAATCTGGAATCTGAGGGTGCAAAAAATCTAAACATTGAGAAAATCGCCTTTAAATTTGTCCATTTATGTTCGCGATTGTGCTGCTTTCACTTACAAAAATAAACGTTTTATATATTTACGGTAGGAAATTTACAAAATATCTTCATGGAACATGATCTTTACTTAATATCCTAATGATTTTTGGCATATAATAATTCAAAATACTTTTGACCCATACAATGTATTTTGGGCTATTGCCACAAATATACATGTGCGACCTGTGACTGGTTTTGTGATCCAGGGTCACATATATATATTTACTGTAATTGCAAATAAACAATTAAGCTGTGTATATCCACCTTTTTCCTGAGTAACCTATGAGAGCCGCCATGATAGATTCTAACTTCCGTTTGTATGCTGTCTCCATATGGAACCCATTGTTATCTAGGATAAAAAGAGCGACTGAATTAATTATACAGAATCTTTTTGAACATTACTAAAAATAAAAATGAGCGCAGGCTTAAGCTGTGCTGTTTCTGTCTGCCTCAACAACATCAATAAAATGAAGGAATTCCTGGAAAGTAGGGATGAACCGAACCGATATGAACATTTTGTCCGATAACTGATAATTCTTTATATTTGAAAACCGATAACAGATATATTGCCCGATAAATCTAAATCCAAGTTTTTATTTCATTTCTGAGAGCCTGAAACAAAAAAGTCTCACCATTAAAATCCATGTCCCAAGCACACAATTATAATGTTCTCATAATTTTTGGTAGCCTATATGACAGCACTTGTTGTACTTAACTGTATTTTCCTTTTTTTTTAAGTGATTACAATCATATTATTTCAAGCTATTCTAAACCATCATCATGGTGAACAGTGCACATCTTAAGTGTCTCAGCTGAAGGAAATAATCCATTATTTATCGGCTTTAATATATCGGCCAAATTTTCTTAACGGGCCGATAACAATAACATTAAATATTAACAGATATCGGCCAATACCGATATATTCTGAAAAGAATGTCCGTATGCGGTGCCGTATGCCTCACAATCTATGCCAAAGACTGACAAGAGAAAACGAGCATGGCTTGCAGTTAAAACACTCTCCAAAAAGGTATATACGAACTTCACCCCAATCGGGAGCTGTAACATAACATAAATGTGAGCGGCCATTTGTTTTCAGTGTAGCTAACCTTGGGTCGCTTCATCACCTACTACACTTTGAAGGGTGAGGCACTGAGAAAAGACGATCACTGTGAAGTGATGGCACTATTTTTCAAACCCCTTTCATATGTTTAACGTTACATTTTCATTTGACTAGAAATACAGGAGATCAGAAATATAAAGCCTAATTCTGGTACAAGTCAGGCAAAATGTCTACGTTCAGGAAAAAAGGTGGATATTAAATTGCTACTTTGTTTTTTTGTAGCCATATTAATGTATAAAATCGAGCTCAAATTCTGATGTCAATATTTATGTTAAAGTCGAGTGACAAAATGCTGAATGCAAGATTGTGACCGAATCAAAGATGTGAAAGGTACTAAAATGCGTTGTGTGTGAAACCTGGCGTGTAGCCCCATGGTTCATAGTAGGATGGAAACACTCCCAGGTGGCAGCCGCGCACAAACTCCTCATAGTCCATGGGCAGCAGGGGACTGGTGGAGGACAGGAACTCCGGATGGAACACAATCTGCCAAATACTGACAATTAATACTTCAAGGCCATACATACACACATTTTTATAAAGATTTACCACAGTCAATCAATACAACACATCTTTAATGCATCATGTGATGCACTTAACATGAACTCAAGACAACCAAGGCTTCTACAGGGCTTAACTATAAGTATGACCTGGGGTCAGTAGATAAAACTGAAACGTGCGGTGATACACGTGTTTTTATGCTCGTCTAAATCTACTGGGGTCAGACAAAGTGAACTGCACACCTTCACTCTGTCATTGCGTCCATTGAAGAGGCCGATTCGGCGGATGTTGCTCAGGATGGGGTCTGTGGAGTCATCCAGCATGTTGTGAGTTGTTACTGGAGGGAGAGAGTGTCTCTATGAAGGACAAAGACATGAACATAATTGCAGGTGAGTGTTTTTTTTTGTCAATGGAAGTGTATGAAAGGTTAACAAATCAAGAAATCAGCGATCCATAAGCAGTCATTGAATAAAAATCACAAGGTTCAAAGTTTAGAAACTATCTTCCTATCAAAATTGGCTGCCTGCTCTGCACTTACTTGCACCATTTCAATGGTTTCTAATATACATTATTCTTGCTATTAAATTCCAGAGACTGAGTCATAGGAAAAGAGTGAGTGGACTTTAACTCTCCAGAAAAATTAGCCTCATTTTTTACTCTCATTCCTTATTTATAAACAAACACCAACACTAACAGATCGATATCTCTCCTTCGGTAGCTCCCCGAAATATTGATACCCAAATAAATCTAACCGGAGTGGCTGTATATTGACGTTCTGCTCATAACACTGCCATTAAGAAGCTGTAGAATAAATCTCAGTAACACATTCAATCTATCGACCGCAGACAGTCAGGTTAAATACGTCACTGAGCTCTGTAACACAAACCGCTCTGCCGCCAGTAATCCAGTAGAATGATGCAGGGGATTCCTCCACAGATTTACAGAGGCTTAGTATGTCGATATTCACTATAACCTCAGCCTGACCTTTGATTAGAGTCCATTCATACAAAACAGATGCAGGGCGGGAGAGAATGAATGAAACCCCCCTAAAAACATTTACTCATTAATTCACGTCCATCTTTAGACCCATAGTTTGTCCTAAAACATGATTAAGTGATGTTCTCAAAAAGAGAAGGAAATATTAATTAGATTAGATTTTACAGAATAAATTCAATCAAAACTACATAGTGTTAAGTTTAATACATAAAGATAATGTGTAGTGTCATCCTGAAAGGGTTTATTTTGTGATAATGACCAGCTGACATTATCGTTTTTTTCATGGCTACTTATCAAATAAATAAATGCACATGAAATGGTGATAAGAGTTGAAATTATTTTAGCATGTGAGAAGAGAGCATAATGAAAATAGCACAAGGTACGAGATTGGCTGACATGCATAACTGTCAAATATCCAATTTAGTGATTGTTACAAAAAAAAAATATATATATCAAATTATTAATTCAAAAATAAAAAGGACAAATAAAGTACTTTTAAAATACTTTTAAAATGCTGATTTAATTCAGCTTTAAAAAAGTAGTCAAATGTAAACAATTTAAATAAATTAAATCAATTCAAAATGCAACATTTAAATTGGCTTTTTATTTTTATTAAATTGCATTTACAAATTGCTTCTCTTAAAAAAAGTGTCTAAACAGTTTGAGTACATAGGAGTAGCCAATGACCTTGAACATGAACTAAATAACCAGTTTTAAACATGTATCTCTCTAATCTTTCTCTCTCTCTCTCTCATATATATATATGCACACTATATACAGAGTATATAATTAAAACCATAATTAAAAACAATTAACCATAATAATTAGGGATATCATAAACGGATACCTTGAAAGCACAGTAATATGGTTAAAGGATTCACTTGGTTATTTTTCAATGTGGCCTCTTGTGATGAAAGAATTGTGCAACATTTTGTCTGACCTGTGTTGCATAAATGGCCCTCTTCATGATTGTGAAATCATCTCTGTCCAGGATTTTGCTCATGTCTGGGATCTCACCCCTGTGAACGCAGGAGAGCTTCATTAGATGAGATCCTACAAACACACACACACTATCTTGCTCCATGATCACACATGGGAAATGACCTATTGACATCACACAATGTCATTATAAATATCCTATAATCTGACAACTCCCAGGAGAAGTGCAGTGTATTCTCATCAACACTTGGTAGACACTGTGAAATATCAACACTTGAAGGTTACTCAGCCACTCCAGTTTATGACATCACTCTTCATCATCACATACTGACAACATTTACGGTCACATCAATTTTGAGCCCTGTTTTGTCAAGTCTGTACGAGGGAGGGTTAACAGAGAGTGGAAACAACCAACCTTAACAAGCCCTCGTAAAGCTTTTTGCCAAACTTCTCCTTCACCGACTGAGCTGTGTCCCTGAGAGACAGACGAAAAATATATTGGAGAAGTCTTGTATACTAAAGCCATCTGAAAAGAAAAAGCCATTTCCTTTTATTGCCTAATAAATATGATAAGTATAACTAGTGGGAAATCTGATCCAGCATCAGGGCTCTACTTTAATAATGTGAGCTACTAGAAATTGAGATCCAAAATTAACTCTCGACCCATGAGTAAAATAAATAAAAACCAGGATATCAACCAGAGAGCATCCTCCTCAGACCATTGTCATTCCACCATGAACTGCATTTCCCAGAATCCATTGCCCAGGCTCATTATCCCTGATTAGTTTCAGCCCGTCTCTCATTTACCCTGTTAACTCTGGCTGAATTCGAAATCGCCCCCTATACCCTCAAATAGTGTGTTATTTGAGGGTACGGCCATTTGTAGTGGTGTCTGAAACCATAGTGGACGTTCTTGAGTGCACTTATTCAATCCCACATTGCATAACGAGTGTGCAACCAATGTATGCTCAAAGGCTGTCCGAATTCCATCTTGTTTTCATTTACTCCTTTAAGTGAACTGTATTAGTGGACTAACATAGGGAATAGTGATTGAGGGTTTAGAGGCGATTTCGGATTCAGCCCCTGCATATATAAACCTGGTTAACTCAGTCACTTATTGCAAAGTCTTGTATGTTACACTGCATTTCTGAGCGCTCGCTAGTTTCCTGTTCGATGGTTTTGAACCTTTGCCTGTTTAATTGATTAAGACTAGTAATGAAGGTTATATACTCAAGCAGTTACGCACCACATTTGCTTGCGTACAGCCTGTCCTTTAAGAGACTCCACATTGAAGTTGTTGGTTTTGGCAGGCATGATAAAGAACACAACCACTGTAACATCACTCTTATGAACCTGTTAGCCATAACACAAACATACAATCAATTATTTACATCTTTTGCTTTGACTGGTATGCTTAAACTAGATAATTATATTTTATTAAGAAACTATAAGTTGTACAAGTACAGCAGTGACTGTTCATACCCTTAGCAAGTAGTTTAATCTGGACAGAGATTCGAGGAACAGGTCCGCTCCTTTATTTGAAAACTCATATCGTCCTGCGATGAAAAAGAACAGGGTCTTTTCCAGATTGAAGTCCAGATAGCTGCCAGTGAGAAGAGATTTAAAAAAATGTAAAAAATGATAACAAGCACCAATATATATATATATATATATATTTTTTTTTTTTACAAGTGTGCGTGTTATTGTGCAGACAGAAAAGAGATCTAACCCATAGAAGTGACCTCTTACAAACTCCTGGATCTTGGATTTGTTCATGGAGTGCAGGTTCTGGAACTCATGCATGGCTGAGAACTTCCTAACATTCAGGCCGTTTGGGGTGACCACATCTGCAAGGGCAGCGCATACAAACATGATATTTTCAACATCATGTAATCAGAAGTTAATTATGAGCCAGATGAGGGGCTTTGTAATACCTGGCTGTCTATGGAGCATGTGATTGGCCTCCACAGCTGTAATCTGGGACACGGTGGTGAAGACATGCGCGGAGTGTACAGCAGCCCTCTCCAAACAGTAGCGATGGTAGATCTGCCTCTCTCCTGCCTCTTGGTCTACGTTAAACTGCACGAAATAGGAAATAAAATTAGATTAAATTAACAGTTTGAAATGGGGAGACTATTAGTCACTTGGATGCAAAGTTGATTTTTTTTTTGTTGCAAACTCTACTGAATTGAGAATTTACAGATCAAAAATATTATTTTATTTTCATAATAATAAACTTTTAGTCACAATCCTGATAATGAGTCTGATTCTACCATTTTTCATAAAAAACAATGCAATATTAATTTTAAAAAGTCTCAGAGCTTCCCCCCATCAGCGGGTGAAGGAAGTCTCTCTGGGGCCAAAAGGCGATAGCATCAGTCGGTAAATCATAAGATGCTGTCAATTATTCTTCAGTCAACCTTCAGGCATGATGACCTTTATGCTCACTACACCAGCCCCAATTATCACTGCAGTCTACATGCACTCTCACTTGCCCAGTTTCACCTCTAATAAGTGTTCACTACACCAACTAACCTGATTGATTTCTGTGGGGCACACTTTTTTTGTAGGTTTTTTTATTATTGTAATGCATTGTAAAAATTAGTGTAAATTAAAAGTTTTTCAAACTTGATGTGTATTTTGAATGATGATGCCCATGTTAGTAGAACCACATTTTAATGTTTATACATATACAGACACTGTGTTACAAGGATAAGGTTTACAGAATATACACACTACCGTTCCAAATTTTGGGGTCAGTAATGAATAACTTTTTTTCAGAAATTAATACTTTTATTCAGCAAGGATGAATTTAATTGATCAAAAGTTAGGGGAAAGACATTTATAATGTTACAAAAGATTTCTATTTCAAATAAACGCTGTTCTTTTGAACTTTCTATTCATCAAAGTATCCTGAAGAAAATATGTCACAGGTTTCACACAAATAAATCAATTGTTTTCAACAGATAATAATAAGAAATGTTTCTTGAGCAGCAAATCAGCATATTAGAATGATTTCTGAAGGATCATGTGACACTGCAGTAATGGTGCTGAAAATACAGCGTTGCCATCACAGGAATAAATTACATTTTAAAATATATTACTATAGAAAACCTTTATTTTAAACTGTAATAATATTTCACTGTTTTTACTGTATTTTTTATCAAATAAATGCAGCCTTGGTGAGCAGAAGAGACTTTCAAAAACATTTCAAAAACAAAAACATCTTACCTCACATAAACTTTTGAACGGCAGTGTATGTTTGTGTGTGTGTGTGTGTGTGTGTGTGTGTATCGGGGCGGATTAACGCATAGGCTAACCTAAGCTGTAGCCTAGGGGCCCATGTGATCATATATCATACATCACACCTCCCATATACATCAGTTTCAGCTGTAAACTCACACCACACTGGTGTTGTGCCAAATTTTAACTCGCTGACAAACTATTAAGGCCCTCATTAAGGCTGCAACCTGGTTGCCTAATCCTAACCCCAACCCCACACCTATTCCTAAACCTACCTATACTGGGAACTCAATAAATTTGGCATAAATATATTATATGTATAATATATTATATTATGTAGGGGGCCTTAGAATATTGTGTTGGACAAGGGCCTTAAAGTCAAAAAGGTTGAGAATCTCTGATGTACAGTGTGAAAAATATCCTCACCTTGTCCAGGTTGTTGTAGAAGTCTGCATTTCCAGCGCACAAGTACCGCCCCAGTAGGGTGGCGTGTGTGGTAAAAATGGTGGCCATGGGAATCTTGCGGGAGCGGCTCAGTACAAGTCCTGTCCCAGCCTGCCATTCGTGGAAATGAGCGATTACGTTGGGATTGTCCTGAAGTTGGTCTGTTAACTGCAGAAGGAGACAGACAAGTTTAATATCATCAGCAGATTAATTCCTAATGTTTACATCAAACCTTGACAAGTTAACACACTGAATCGATTCATATTCCAGCTCGGATAGACTGGAAAAACTACAGCTAAAAATCCAGGCGAGCTCACTCAGATGGTTTTTAGTGTAAAGTTTACCTCCTTGAAGAACCAGGCCACAAGAGAACCAAAGATGAGCGAGTCGTTGGCCTCCCTGTCGTGATAGGGCAGCCCGATGCTGCATGTGTCCCACAGATCCCCCTTCCAGCGGTCCAGGTTCCAGGCAGCTGCCCCAATATCAAAGAGGATGACGTACGGGCTGCCCTCAATCAACCAGCGGCCAAAGTGAACCTGCATGTAGAGAGAAAGTGAAGGCAATTTCATCAAAATAGGCAAATATACCAACACACACAGGCAACAATACAAAGACCCCACTTATTTCTATTCTAGTTGGAATCTATCAAATTAAAAGCTTTGCTGTCCAAGACATGTTTTTATGTTCATATATATATATATATATATATATATATAAAGGAATGTATTAAAAACATTTTTATAGTGCCTCTGGTGCTGGCGCTGGTGCTGTTAAACTCAAAAAGGATATTTTATCTGTTTCCCCTTACAGGGATCCTCTAGCGTCATCTTCTGGTCAGAATGAGACTAAGAAAAAATGAACAGCAAAAAATATTTTTTATACCCAAGATACGCTGTTGAATACATTTAAAAGCCGCTTTATTTTCTGTCTAATTTTAATACTATAATATGATTCTAATACAGCTGGTGTATTGACGCTCGATCAGCTTTTAAACATTTTTGTTAATTGGACAAATGACTACTAGACCCACAATAAACCTGTCCAGGGCCTTTATGTGTGTGATGCGGGCATCCTGATAGGACACCAATAACTGTATATGCAATACCTGGCAACCGTTGTTACTCAAGGAGTCCATGGCGGCTTTGATGGCTTGGCTTGGAGGTTCACATTTCTCCACCTGGGTCTTGAAGTTGTGTTCGTAGTAGGGTCCCATCATAAAGTAGTTCTCACCCCATTCATCCACTGTGATCTTTGCTTTAGTCTGAATAACAGTATATATACCCCCCACTGGAGATACACATAGTTGTGTAGGGAATAAAACATTTATGAATGAGAAAATTAACTAAATAAGAACATTTTTCAAAATAAAACTTAAAGGGATAGTTCCCCAAAACATGAAAATTAATTTACTCGTCTTCAAGTTGTTCTAAACCTGTATGCGTTATTTAGTTCTGTTGAAAACAAAAGAAGATATTCTCTTCTTTATAACAGTTGACATTGACTGAAAAAAATTACTATGGAAGTCAATGGGGTCCATCAACTGTTTGGTTACCGAAAATTCTTCAAAATCTCTTCTTTTGTGTTCAACAGAACCAAGAAACTCATACAGGTTTGAAACAACTGAGTAAATGATGACAGAATTTTCATTTTTGGGTGAACTATCTCTTTAAAGGGATAAATCTGGACATAATATCGTTTTAAAAGCCATTTTGTAACAATAAGATTACATTTTAAGATATGTACATACATAATAATATAACTCGCACACAAAAACACATCAGTTGTTGTGTTTTTAAACAGGGGTTTTCAAATTTAGTTTAGAGAAAAGCAGTGTAAAAAATATATAAATAAATTAATTAATAAAAAGGTTCAACTAATTAATAAAATAAATACATTTGATTAAGATAATAAATTGATTAAAATAAGTTAATTTAAATAAATAAATGCATTTGATTAAAATAATAAGCATTTGTAAAATATAAATATATATTTAAAAAAAAATGTAATTTAAACAATACATTCAGCACAGTACTACAGAAAAAAACAGAATGTAAATTAATTGACACATTTATAATATTATTTTTTCCACAGTATTAATTGGGATTTATAACTGCCTTTTAAATTTTAGGATGGAGCCCCTCGCATGAGGATGATCATATTTTGGATTTAAAAGATTGAAACCCTCTGTTCTAAAACGATCCATACAAAAGAGAATTAGGTCTCAAAATCTGGTTATTGATCTGGAGCTTAATTTTTAACCTACGTGGCCCCACTGATACAAAGGTGTATGAATGCTGCACACATGCATTTACTAAATGACAGCTCTGTCTTGTTGAACTGTTTTCAAGTCTTCTGATAAAGGGGTGAACAATCTTGAGGTCAAATGTGTACACTTTCAGGGTCAAAACACACTACCTTCTTGCTAAGGTTATGCAAGAAAGTTTAAAAAAGCATGTATGCTTGGTAATGAGATAAAGCAAACACGATTTTGACAATTGTGAAGTGAGCTTAATTCTTCAGCTTTGAGTATTTTTGGCCTAAATGAATTTTAGGAACTTTTTTTTAATTTGTGAACAATAGACATACATGCATCACAGGTAAATTGTAAGTTGTTGTTTTTTTCCTTCCTGAACCATCATGAACAAATGACATATGTGATTTCCAGCACATAAAAAGATTATTATTATGCGGTGAAAATTAAAGGGATGGAAATGTAATTTTAATATTTGTGAGGTAACACTTTATTTGAATGGTCCCTTTTGAACATTCTGTTGAATATAAGTAGGCCTAACGTTATACCTATAGGGCCTACACATGTAAACTAACTCTCATTAGAGTATTAGTAGACTGTCTGCTTATCCTAACACTTTATTTTGATGGTTCACCAACAGACATTCTACTGACTATAAGTAACTTTACAACTACATGTCAACTTATTCCACTAACACCTAACCTTACAGTCTACTGTTGAAGATTTTATTATTTAGAAACTAGTCTACTAATACTCTAATGAGAGCGAGTTGACATGTAGGTGCAACAATACTTACAGTCAACAGAATGTCTAAAGGGGACCATCAAAATAAAGCATAAGCATTTATGGAATAAAATGGCCTACATATTTGCCTGGCAAAGGCTAGGTAATCTCATTCCTAGCATTTTATGTGTCAAATTAAATAGGCCTACCATAAAATATTATTTTTTACTGGTATACCGGTATACCTATAAATGCACATATAAATGCACTGTAAAATTAAAAGAAATTACAAAAATAAAACAAGTGCACAGTGAAAATATACAAACAGTATTGTAAGTTCTTACCCTTATTAGTTACTTCCCAGGCGACCTCAAAGAGCAGGAGATCTTCCACAGGTAGACTTTCCTCTTCCCATTGTGGAAGTCCACTTAATGATGTTATTGACAAAGATCTGGACAGTCGCATCTCACAAACTCTTATAAATCGTTTTTTATCCGTCAACTGGAGCTGCAAATGCAAAGATGTAATGGGCCTGAATTACAATTATGTGGTAAAAAATAACCTAAAACCATCTAAACAGCCACTGAGATGCCAAATTGTGGTTCTCTTTTAGGTAATGGAGCACCTGGAGACACTTCGGCTCAATGTGAGCTGCTGCTCGATCTATTCCTCTAACCTTTAGTGAAGTCTAAAAAAAATCTGCATGTGCACACTGTGATGGTGTGTCTAAAGTCCACAGACATCAAGGACCCCTCTGACCCTGGACGATACGTGCACACGCACCCATATTCTACTGCTATATTCATCTTTTGGGCCATCTTATACCCTACTACTGTAAAACAAATAGCATATTCCAATGCATGATTTTTTTTTCCACGTCAGTCAGTATAATTCTGAGAAAAACAGGAAAAAGTAAATACAAATTATGACGCACGTCTACACGTGTTTGACTTTTAACTGCTGAACAACATTTGCCATTTCGTTTTATGAAGAAAATGCGCTTTCAGGAGAGTCCAGAGTCTTTGCCCATTGATTAAACGGGATACAATTAAAGTTCATGCACAAAATTCTGAATCAAGCTCTCTACATAATGTGAATTTGTGGACATTCGTGACAATCTAAAATACTTTGTATAACTTTCACTGCATGATGATCTGTTTTATTACCTGAAAAACAGTCCTTAAGAGTGTTCAAAAGCCTATTGTAACCATTTAAAAATGACATTTTCACTTTCAATCATTTTTATATATTTACATTTAGGATGTTTGTAGCCTCACAAAACAAGAACAACAACCCTGAAGGCTGAGAGTAAAAAGCTTTTTATCAGTGCTCCATCACAAATAAAACCATCAGACCTTTGCATAATTCATACTCACATGCCGCTAATGTTGTCAGTGACGACTCTTTATGGCAGGAACATTTTCTTGTAGTTATGATATCCAGGTTGATATGCATGCTGAAGGCAAGATAACAATGAAAGTTTACCATATTTTCCCCACAAACAGTAATTGACCATGATTGTACAAGATTATAGAGCCTCCCTTTTCCTGCTACAAGACCCTTATTTTACTTTCATATCATGTTGTTCTCTGGCACAGAATGAGAGAAAACAAATTAAAATGTGTGATGTGTCTACAAACACACATAATGTGCTTTTGGTGGGCTTCGCAGGCAAAATTTCAGCAGCTATTTGAATAATCGACTTCAGTGTACAGTTTACCACAGGATTTCCAAGAAGAAGAAAAAAAACGAAAAAATTTACAGTTGAAATGCTCTGGATGAGGCAACAGGGACAGGGAGGACCTATTTTTTCAAAGACATTATGTAAAATAAGGTCAGAGGATGTCACCAGCCAAGCTTTATATTGAAGGAGGACAGCAGAGCATGGGTTTGTTCACTGAAGAAAGAAAGGCTCAGCTGTGCTGCATAATCTTTACAATTCAGCAGTATGAAAATCAAGGCACTGATTCTCTTCCTGTCAGCAATGATCTGTCAGTCCACAGCTATGAGAGCACCATTCACTGACATGGATACACCTGAAGCCAGTCCAGGTAAGGTGATGGATTTCAATCCAAATACATGATTAATAATGCTTGTTAAAAAGTGTATTGAAAAGGATATCTTACTTTACAGACTCTAAGCAGCACTATCTCTCAATGGAGCGGAGGCAATTTGACGAGCCCAACGCTTCGGACGACGGAAGCCTTTGCGTTTTCATCCAAGAAAAAGATGAATCGAGTAAAATTTCCTGCAAACATCGATTAACACGCAGTAAATTCAACTACAATCCATTTGGGCTGCGTTTTGGGAAGCGAAATCAAGCGACAACTGACTCTGACAGACCCAAACACGAGCACCTGCTGCCAATGATTCTTTACCTGAGAAAACAATTAGAAACTTCGTGAAAATAACTCTTCATCAGTTGGAAGGATGTGGTTTGCTTCGTTGAAAACTGCGGGTAATTATTTCAGGCACGCTTTGCCGGTTATGCTTTATGGGATTATATGGCGCACTTTGTTTCATTGAGTTATTGTATTTGTGCAATAAACGATTTATATTGTTTGATGGCTTTTGAATTTCCATTCCATCGTTTCCAGTCCAAATATCAAACTCTTCTTAAATCAAGATGCATTTAGCCTACTAAAGTTGTAAAATTACATAAGATATTATGTCCTGTTTTCTGGGGAAATAAATAAAAGTTAAGTGAGTTTTTGCTTAAAACATGCAAAATTATCTGCCAATGGGGTAGGGAAAATAATGTTGTTTCTGTTTGAATTAAGATATTTTTTCTTATCCCATTGGCAGATAATTTAGCTTTTTTAAAGCAAAAACTCACTTAGCTAATTTTAATGAATTCCCCCGGAAAACAGGACATATCTTATGTCATTTCTCATCTATAAATGCATAGTGATTTAAGAATTATTAGATATTTGGACTGGAAACAAGACAAAAATACGAAAGAAGAAAAGCATTTTTATTTTTTTGCAGTGCAGAGTGCGAATTGGGCACCCTGAAGCAGACAGGAGTCACAGGACGTATAAAATGTCGAATATTATTTTCAGATAGTGTTTTCAAAGTTTAGTTTACAAGTAACCTACTCGCGTATTTTCGCCTGGCTGTAAATAGAATGTAGGCCTGATTGTTCACTGCAGGTAAAAGCTGTTTCAACCCTTTTGTTCCTTTAAAGATTGAACATTGACAAACTAATTTGTGTTTTATTATAAATTGTCACTAATACAACAAAATTAGTTTTCATCTTTAAAACGTTTAGGTGAGCAACAAAAAAAAAGTTAGATAACTAGCCTCTCTATTTTAAGTCATTGTATAATACAGCTTGTTTTACCACCGGAAAGTGCAACTTGCATCCATAAGATCACAAAAACAGCCAAGACAGATTTTAACAGTTCATTATTTTATTAACTTCATCTGACACACATACACTAATGACCAACACTTGCAAAATAATTCAGAATGAATACATTTGTATCTACCTCACTTCATTCCCTTCTCCTCTTGACTTAAACAGCAACAGAATGTTCCCTAATGATCTCACTAAATTATGTCCAGACAAGAGAGGTGTTGGTTCTTTCTTCATTGCCTACACAATGACTTAACAAGTGCAAAGATGTTCCCCTTTGATCATTCGCTTTAGAAGAATGATTTCATATTTTAGATTATTATGCCTACATTAACCACCATGGAAAAAAAAAATACTTCAAAGCAACCATATCCAAAAGCAAGTGAGAAGAAAGGACCGACATAGTTAGAAAGTGTGTAGAGATACTGAGGGAGTGTGAAGAGTGAAAGAGTGTGGCATCCCGCAGTTGACCTACAGGTCCTTCAGGTCTTTTTGGATGCCCCACAGAGTGTCACCGCTCTTCTTCAGCTGAGCAATTTCTTCGTCAGTCAGGGTCATGTTGATGACGCTGCCCACTCCACTGCTGTTGAGCACACAGGGCAGACTCAGGTACACCTCCTCGCTGATTCCATACATGCCCTGCAGACGACAAGCAACACGTGAAGTGATCACTAAACAAAAACACCTTGATTCATTATGTGTAGTTCTGGGATATGAAAGTGTATGACTACACCATGATGATAAACGGTGTAAACTCCTCTCACCTTCACCATGGTGGAGACAGGGTGGACCCGGTTCAGGTTCTTCACCAGGGTCTCGGTCAGGTCTGCCACACTGAGGCCGATGGCCCAGTTAGTGTATCCCTTCAGCTTGATCACTTCGTAAGCACTAAGAGAAGATAGGAGCAACTAATTAACAGTGGAGATTTACTTTAACATTACTTAGTCATGTCATTCCAAACACCACTTTTGTCTTTTTTTTTTTTTCTTGAGTATTTTGAAACCAAGAACTTAAAGCTTGAACTTCAAACATTAAATTTCTGTCTGAAAGTTATTGGAGTTGCACAGATTGTCACTATGAACCATTTTGTGTAGAAAATTACTACAAATCCTCTTTGTGTTAAAAAAAACCCCTACAGTATATGGGTTTGTCAAACATTCAATTCGTGTAATTTTGGTATTATTCTGGCTGAAATCCATTTTATTATAACTTGTGAAAATAACGAAAATTATAATTTACCTTTTCAACAGCACTGTGGTTTACTAAAAATGTAATCTAGATTTCCAATTGCCCATCAGTCATATAACAGAGCCCCCGAAACAAGACGTCCCCTACCTGTCCACAACCATCTTGTGAGCTTCCTTCCAGTTCTCGCTGTCTTTATCTGTGCCGATGTCGGGGTTGAGTTTCTGCAGGCTGACTCCCGCCACATTTGTTCCACTCCATACAGGCACTGTTAAACAAAAGAACAGCAACTTCAAATCAAATATGCTGTGATTAACTGAAATCGTGCCACATCATGCAGCAGTTGATATTGTGTATCAATCTTATTCTTTCTGCTAGTCCTTCATCATCTCCCAGTTACTTTTCTTCCTCTCCACACCCTCCATCTTTCCTCTCCATTCAGCTCCCTCTCTCACCGCTGGAGTCTCCATGCTCTCCCAGGATGTAGCCATTAAAGCTGCTGGAGTGGATGCCCAGTTTCTCCGCCATGATGTAACGGAAGCGGGCGGAGTCCAGGTTGGTCCCGCTACCAATGACACGGTGCTTTGGCAGGCCGCTCAGCTTCCAGGTCACGTAGGTCAGAACATCCACTGGATGAACACGGACAACCACAGTTAATACAGATACACTACAGGTACCTGAAGTGCTGCAACGCAAAACATTCAAATTAAGCATGTTTTGAGTTGATTTGCTCACCTGGATTAGACACCACAACAAGGATGCAGTCAGGACTGTATTTGACAATCTGAGGGATGATGTGTTTGAAAATGTTGACGTTCCTCTGCACCAGGTTCAATCTGCTCTCACCCTCCTGTTGACGCACTCCGGCCGTCACCACCACGATACGAGAGTTAGCAGTCACGGAATAGTCTATCAAAGAAACACATACACTGCCACTCAAAACTTCAGGCAGTACAACTGAAATAAAACTTAAAGCCTTTCAGCATAAATGTGCATTGTTCAGCAAATTTTTCCAGGCGAAATCTAGCAATTTCAATAAGAATTCACAGAACCAGGCATTTTCCGTCAAGGCCAAAATATTTCATAATGGGTTCAGGTTGGTTACACGGATCTGCTGTTGACCAACTGTTTGGTTTGCAAGTAACTTCTGCTTCAAACATCACTACACTATTGACAAGTACCTTTTTTTGCATGCAAAACATCGATTGCACCTTAAGCCTCTATTTTATAAGATCACGAGAACTTGATGTATATTAATATACAAGCTAAAATAATCTGATCATTTTAACAGTCAGGCTCATGGAAGTGCATCCCACCCTTGTCAGCCACAATCTTAGGGGTCTTGAGGAAAAGGCTGCCGTGTTGCAAATCCAACATTTCTCCCCTCAGTCTATCCTCCACAACATCCACCAGAGCCAGTTCATCTGTAAGCTCCTACAAGACAGGAAACAACATTACTTTAAATGCATGACAATTTTCATAGTAAGGTACAGTCACATTAGAGAAATTTAGCAGGCAAAAGCAGCTCACTGTCTATAGTGCAGCTTATGCAATGCTCCCAATTGCATCGATTCCTATTGAAATGACTAGATTTTGCCTGCAAAACTTCACCTAGCGACAGTAAATGTGACCACAAACTATAGTAGCTATAAATATTATATATATTCAAGGCATGAATGCCACCAAAATTCAAAGTAAAAACATTTGCTCATTACACTTGTGTAGAGTGATATTAAGTCTCTTACCCTAAGCAGGACGCTGACAGCGCACGCCATGCCCACCTGTCCCACGCCAACAATTGTGACTTTGTTCCTGGGGGGCTCAGCGGGGCCGCTGGCCAAAGGAGTGATCAGTTTCTCCATTACTGAAGCCATGATCCCACTGGAAGAACAGGACAGATCATGTACACAATGCAAACTAATGAGAATGTACCACTTCTAAGCCATCAATAATAGAAATGAAAGTAGAAAAAAGAAAAAAAAAATGACAGGAAGGTTTGGAGTAAACGTTAACTGGGTAAGAGGACATGGTCAGGCATCAAAGCTGGGTCAAGGTAACCCTCACTCCTTAAACCATTACTCCATATTGTGCAAATTACCCATATCCTGAGTTGCAACCAGCAGATGCCCACTTGATAATAAAATTACCCACTAGAGCCAAGTCACTCTGCCCCCATTTGCTAGACAAACTGAAGGAGTGTTTCTACACACTGCAATATTAATTAGGCAGTGTGTCCATCCCAGACAAACAAGAGGGGAAAAAAAAGTAACAAAATATATATATATATATATACTAAATTATTTATAGTTTACTTTGCCCCATCTAGGAAGCTTCTAAGTGCATTATACAAATTAAACCATTTATTTTAGGCAGTTAGAATTCCAGTCAATTAAGTTTATTACAGTTGACTAGACAAGACTGCACTGGCTTATGAGCATGCAAATTCTGGCACACACACACAGAAAGAGCGCTCAATTGTGACACTAATCCACAATGGGCTCATGAGGATTATGTTAGACGTTAGATATTATCTAGAAAGTGTTAGATATTGCCATCATAAAAGGTCTAATTGCACTTCTTCAAGGGTCATAGCCAGTATAACATAGTCGTGCGCCTTTATCTCTAAACCTTATATTGAAATGCTGCTGCTACTTAACATAACTATCGTTTTATGAACTGATATTTGTGTGAAAAGCTCAACCAATTACATGAAGCCTAAGCAGTACTGAAGACTACTCTCTGCTAGTGCTAAACATACACTTAAAATCAAAATAGTGGCCTAGAAGTACTGTGTAAAAACTAACAAACAAAATCAAAGCTATGAGTGTAATAAAAATGAAATAATGCAACGCTATGTGGCAAGCGAAGGCTAATGTATAAATCAAATGAACTAAAATGGTGTGAAAATTCACCTTTGTTTATTCATTCAATTGTAAATAACATTTAAAACCATAACATTTTATAAGAATTATTAACAATAATTTTAAATACTTTCTCATTTACAAATGTAATTACATTATTTAAAGCTAAAATAAAATCGTATAATAAGAAGATTTTTTTACTCGTTAAATAGTTTGCTACGGTGTCCACAGAGAATTCGAATTGCTCTAAAAAAAATAAAACAAAAAGTAAGTATTTCAACTTAATACAGCGCTCATAAAACCATTTTATGACGCAACCGTCCTTATCACGTCCTTGACGATTCGGATGCAGTAATTGCGTCTGAAAACAAACAGCAAATTGTAAAATCATGATGGTAATCGATTCACTCTTATTTTAAGAGCCTCGAGTTAATCATGCATTCGTAGTTTGGCCTCTGTCCATCAGATGAATCTAAACAAGGCCAAATTCACGGTCAGCGTGCAGTGGATTCCTCCATGTTCATGCGTGAACCAAACACAAACGTCCTTGGCTGCTCATCTATCAATTCAGGTTGGAAACACGACTGTTACTTCACTTTAAACGCAACAAAAGACTTCAAACTTCAAGGTGTGACGCACGGAAGTGTTGCAAACATTAGGACGCCGATTTTTCACACCTCTTCAATGTCAAAAACACTGGTTATACATCATCGCACCATGACGACGGTGCTTGTTTAACATAATGTTGCTAATCGAGAGAATTTATTTAGATGAGGCTTATACGAAGCAATAAAACAGCCATTCAAACCATATACATACATTTGTTGCAGGAATGTTAAATATGTATCCTTAGCTGCAGGAAGGGCAGTGAAAGCCGCTGCTGAGTACCGGTGAGAGCGAGCGCGTGCGTGCGTGGTCGCGTGACTCGTGGAGGAGCGGAATTTAAGCGTGCGGCGCTACGCAGAAAGCGTATGACCTACTGTCACAAGTGCATGCGATGCCCTTACTGATATGAGGAATATGAGAACGACAGACCGGCCCACTTTCCCCTTGGAGGACTATGTCAAGGATTTAATTGTTATTATAAAAATACTTCCTCTCCACTGACCTTGCACCTTAATGGGATCTGTATTACTGAAATATTTGTCAATAATTCCACATTAAAGTTGTATCCCAATAATCACTATGCAAAGTCAAATATTACAATTAAAACATTGAATTTTCCAGCTTTCATTATATTATTTGGGATGTTGGTTGCCCAATGGAGTTGCATGGGTGGGGTTGTGTGTGTTATGCAACATGACAGGTTTTGAACTGCCTAGTAAACACATGCAGATGGAACATAATTAGTGAATCTTGTTGTAACTCGAACATTACATTTCAAATACAAAATCAAGAAAACTCGCGTGGCTACTTTACTTAAAGAGGGCATAGATTACCTTCAATTTTGAAATAAAACAATTGATCTCAAATGGCTTTTGCATTTTGGAGCCACATGTTTCCTAGATTATGATAGATAGATAGATAGATAGATAGATAGATAGATAGATAGATAGATAGATAGATAGATAGATAGATAGATAGATAGATAGATAGATAGATAGATAGATAGATAGATAGATGTGCTATGGCACCTCAGCAACAAAGCAACAGCCTTTTTATGATCAAACAATGCTTTCTTAAATCCTAAATATGGGGACCAATGAGGCCTCTGTTCCTCCCACTGGCTCGTCCAATAAGAGCATGCATCAGTCAGTGACATCAGAGCAGATTTAAGGGCACTGCCATTATTTGCTTAAAAGCTTAGATAAAGGAAGAATGTTTTTCTACATACATCAAATAAGGTAATAAAGAGATGAATATACTAAATGGATGAAGATGAAGAAACGAGCAAGAGAGAAGAAGAGGAGCTGTGCATGTGTGTGTTAGGGGGGATTATGGGACACCTTGCTGTCTAATTAGTGTTTGGTTTTGTGGATAGATTGGTGTATTACAAAACTGTCTGTGCCCTCTAGGTCTTGCCATCCTGACGGCCACTATGGAGCTATTATAGTGTTCTATAGATAGTTCCTGGAAATTTTAAATTCTCCCATTAGAGTTTTCATTGTAGTCTATCTATGCGTTTACTATTTCTTTAATGCACTCAAGCCCTTATCAAGCTGCAAACGAACACGTAACCATACTTTACTCTCTCATGCTGTTTATCTAAAATGATGTGTCAATCCTGGTAAATTTAGACTTTTTTAGTCTAAAAATGGCGCTTTGTAAATACCGAAGTACAAATACAACCTGTCATGTTTAATGTCATTGAAATTAGTTCAGGTGTCAGTTGAGAAATGTATTTATCTATTGCCATTGCTGTCTAAATACTGAAGTAGATGTGTACACAACAGGTTTGTCCGTCCCTCATTGGCATAGTTCACCTCATAGCCTATATTCCCACCAATCAGTGAGCACAAACCTACCGCCCATCAAACCAGTGTCCAATCACAGAGAGACGCTGTACTTCATGAGGAAAATGAGGGCAGCTTGAACATGGAAAGTCAGCTCTGAATATGAGTCGGCAAAACTGTTGTATATGAAACATTTATATAGTTGTATATCAGTTACATGTACTGCATATAGATTATTACCCTTATAAATTAAACTAAGAAGGAATGTAATTCATTGTCTAGTATGCTATCTTTATTCTGCTTCTAGGCTCTTCAATCCCTCTCATGGAATATCACAGAGGCTGGCAAACGTTTGGTTATTAATGAACCCATGTGACCCGGCTGAAGGACTGCATGCTATTTCAGACTGACCTTTATTATGAGACAAGGGTTGCAACAATAGAGAGAGACAGACACATTAGCACACACTCACATGCACAAATACATAGAGTGTGGCATTTGCCAACACTATTCTCACCTCAGGGTTTCTTTTGGACGAAATGTTTCATTACCCAACTTTTATAAATGTATGAAAACAGTACCAAATCTTTATGTTTGTCAAATATGAAGCCATAATGGTGAAGCAAAGCAAATCTTCATTAAGTAATGATCTCAGTATTTACACCTTTGATTTTTTTTTATAGAGTGAAAGTTTTGAGGTGTTTTGAGAAATTATTATGCATAAATGAAATGTAAGTGCAGATTATGCATGATACAGCATATTTATCTGAGATTTTAACAAAACATGATTTCTAACCAGTGCTTTTTAGTATCATTAAAATATTTTAATTGTTTTTTACCTTTATTTTTTCCATTTTGTTTTTAGCTAAAGTAATTTTTAAAGTAGTTTTGAGTATTCATTTTTGAAAATATGCCTATACAGTTTTTTATTATCATTTATTTAGTTTTAGTTAGTGAAAATGAAAAAATGTTGCTTTTATTGCAGGTAACGTTTATTTTATTTCAAATAACGAAAAAGTTTTTTTTATTCCAACTCATCCAAATGCTGCTACTTTTGCATTTTTCCAGCCGTGACAGTCAAATCTAATTTGTGTAATTCTATTGCACATGATCACATGAGCTTCACAAACAGCTGCTTTAACATTTAACTCTCTATGTTGCCAGCTGGTCCAACAGTATTTTGCATCCATGTGGGTTATGATTTATTTATTCATTCCAGTTTATATGATTTGTCAAACTAAAGTTCATTTATATACCAAAATCACAGTGAAATCATGTGCTTTTAACACACTTTTGATGGCTTGATGCTGTAATACAAACTAGGGAGGTGAAGGTGCATGTGGAGCCATTACAGAGTAAATGGATTTGTGGCACAAAGGTTACAGTGAAATGCAGCTGTGCACCTCGTGACCTTTGACCCTCAGCATCAGCGGCTTAGGAAGCAAATCAGAGAGCCTTCATTTCTCAGAATTCGTCTTCACAGTACTGTCACTGCAAACCACATTAACAAGACAAACCAAATGGGATATAATGACAACAATGGAACAAACAGACACTTATAAGAGAACACCCTGTCCTTCGCTCTCAAAAACTCATACTCTCTCACAAAGATGTCCAAATGCAGGGACACTCTGTGAAATGAATGACCCCTCTCTGCTTGGTGTTCCTCTGATAGGATGTCTCTTAAGAGCTCAAAACAGGCTGTACTGAGGTCACAGGTCACCATTTTCCCGTTGCTTACATCAAGGTGATGACAATAGGAGAGAGAACGTTCATTGTAACATCTAGTTCATCACTCGTACTGGCCACTCAAAGCAATTGAGACACTGTGGATGTCACATCACTGAAATGCTATAAAATATTCATAAAGGAAACTAATTAAAGGTGCATTCAAATGATATTCAAGAGCAGGAGTTTCCATCTTGTTCACCTTTTGTTAGCTGAACTGGTATGACCTAATACATATGTACATATATGTATTTGGTTATACATTAATTTAATTTCTATCACAATCTCACAAACCAGTGTTGGGTGTAATGCATTATTAAGTAATGGATTACTGTAATTTAATTACTTTTCCCTTGAAAAATTAAAGTAAGGGATTGTTTTTCTGTGATTGAATTACTTCTTGTTTAATTGCGTTACATGCTGTTTAAAGTTATTTTAATATTATTTACACATTATATTAGTAATATTTAATTTTTATACTTTGTTTTCATTTCAATTTTAGTGTATGTTTTAGTAATTTTATGTGCTTTTGAAATTTAATTTATTTTTATTTAAGTTTTTGTAATTTTCATTTCAGTTAGTTGCCAAGGCAATATTTCTAATTATCATTTAAGTTTTTCATCCAACATTTATATTTTATTTTTATTTCAAATAACAAAAAATATTTTTTATTTAGTAAACAAACAACAACACTGTCTGAAACCCTGTTCTACTGTATAATAAATACGCCTTAATAAAAGTATCTATTGTATAAAAAATAAGCTTAAATATTTACACTACATATGAAATATATGTACCTAATATTAGGGAAACTTTTACAATTCTAGATATAATGACAAAACACTTTTAATACACACAAATAACAACCAAAATTCTCATTCCAGAAGATTTTTTATTTTTTTTTAAGTATTCAGTTACCTAATGAGAGAAAAAAGGTTTGAAAAGCACAAAAGTCAAATAAAAATCAACAGATGTTAGGTGTGTGATTGATTTTACTCTAATATTCATACAGACATACAGTGACACTGGAGAAACCCAGTGTCATATGATCATTTAATAGTGCTTTCAGCATTGATAAACACACCAGGACCTGTTGCGTTTATTGCAAGGGGTGAATGTGGAATTTTTTTTTTTTTTTGTGAAGTTACTCAGGATAAAGTTGATAAATGAGGAGTCTAGTAGTCCAGGAGACCCATCTTCCTCTTAAGGGACTCGGGCATTTCAGGGGGTGGTGGACGGGGCAGACGGAAGTACACCTTCACTGAGTCATAGATGAACCACTGTAGGGCGGTCAGCGTGCCAATCATAATGATTCGAGCAACAAGACCCTTCCACACACCTGTGGGAGAAAGAGAAGCTATATGAACACTTGATTTATACACAGATTGACCCGACAGTATTTAACTGTTACTCTGCTGTGCTAATTGATCCATCTGACTTCAATCATGCTAATAATCAAACCAACTGAGATAAAAGAGCAAAATAAAATGATTGTTTTTCCATATGAAACTGATGTTATCTAATGGGAATAAATCCAGGAACAACAGCAGCCTCTTTTGGTAATAAAGAGTATTACATCCCTTTGCAACTTCACGCTGCTTTAATGTCTAAAGTTTTTTTAATGTAATAAAATAATAGCAATTCAAATCAGTATTTCATGTCCATGAATTTATCTATTGGTCTTGCTGGTCATTATGGCAAAATCAACTCCTCAGGTTTTCTTTGTGACCCACTGCTGTTGACTGGTATGTGTGTGCTGTGACTCACCTACAGGTCCCAGTCTTTTCAGCACCTCAACAGCTGAACTGCCTTTCTCTTTGTTTAGTACAGACACCACAGAGTCCGCGGGATGGGACACCATAGCACAGAACACGCCAGCTGAGGAGAGACACACAGCAAAGCTCACATGTATCTATATCTATCTATGCAAAGTTGAGCCAGCACTCTTTACAAAGACATGTCTAAAAGTTTATAACCTTGTATCTAAGGGCCCAAACACTTACCAATATAACCAGCAACAAAGGTCACCACCAGCTGCTCAGCTTTGGAGCACTCACTGCGGGGTTTTGGTACTACGTGTTTGTACAGCATCTCCACGGTACGCTCGAAACAGGCAAACTTCATCATGGTGTAGGGGATCTGCCTCAGCCATAAGGGAAAAACACCTTTATAGAACCTGCACAGATGATAACATCAACAATCAGTTCTCCAGCACACAATATAGGTCTACTGAAGGGCCTCGTGGGTAATGAAATCAATTTTTTACTGTTTGGCAGCCTTAACCCTCTGGTGATCTTCAGTAATTTTTTAACCCAATTTTTTTTTTTTTTTTTTTTATCGGAATGGTACAAAACTTTGTGAGTTTTTGGCATTTGTTATATGAACGCACGCACGCACGGACAGCAATTTTTGGGTACAATTCAGCCACAATGAAATAATCTTTGATAATGTCTAAATATATCCACATCCAAAATGAATAAAAGTAATTATATCTGAAAAGAATCTAATTATCAAGTAGGGCATAATATATACACACACTCCATTTTAACTTTTAATTTAATAAAAAAAAAAAAAATATATATATATATATATATATATATGTATTATTTTATAGAAATTATGGTTATCATCATTAACTAAACTAAAACTATTAAAACATTGTGTTCACTGAAATAAAATAAAATATTAGTTAAAAAACTTGAAATGACTAAAATGATTAACAGCAAATAAATGAAAAATATGACAAACTGAAACAAAAATATAGTAAACCTAAATATTTAAATAAGTGCATAACAAAGGGCATAACAAAATGATTCAAAATTTAACTAAATTTAACACAAAAACTAAAAATATAATAAAAGCCTATTCAAAATATAAATAAAAATAAAACTAATAGGAATAAATGGTGCATAATTTAGAGGAGAATACTTTGAATACTAAAATATAGGTGCTACATAAAAATATAGGTGTCTACTAGTACACTGAAACAATTTGGTACAGAACCAATTTTTACTCAGAAATTGCTAGTGAATTACACAAATAATGACAGAGAATCAGCAAGTAACACATTAAATTAGGCATGAAATTGTGAAATAGTATTTTCTTGCAAAACATACTCCTTTTTGTTTCATTTACAACCTGGAAAAAATTATTTGCACCAAGAAATCCCCTCAAAATACAAAATATTAAAGAATAAATATTACTGTGTATATAAATTATAGTACATATAATCCAGTCTATTTTGACAAGTATGACCCTTAAGTGAGGAGGAGCAGAGAGTTAAGGATCTACTCACGCGTTTATCCCCTCCTCAGCATGCATTTTGGGGGCGCACTCTCTCAGGGTGTTAGCGTAGCCGGGCTGCGTCTGGATGCGCACTTTGCACGCTTCCATAGGAGCCAGTGCAATATCGGCGAAAAACTCAGCGCTGGCTGATGCGGCCAGATAAACGGACGTCCTCCACAAATAAGCATTCTCCTGTTTACCAGACCAAACCAAACGACAGCAGTTAGCTGTAGATCTATCACAAACGGATTTGCAAAAATATGTTCAAATAACTGTTTTGGAACAATCTTTGCAGAGTCAAATTAGTTCCCTTTCATTTTCTCTCTTATTTGTATCCCAAATGTAGACTTACCTCTCCAAGCATGTCATTGTACAGGGACTTAAAGACTTCATAGAAACCAAACTTGCAAAGGCCTTGCATGGAATAACCAATGAATGTAGGAGCCCACCCTTTGCCCAGCCCTCTCACGCCATCCTCTCTCAAAGTGACTGAGAAACCATTGAAGATGGACTTGTACTTAACCGGGTCCACCTGTTGGACAACAGGAATAATGCATTAGTGAATGTCTGGCTGGTAAGCTGGTAACTTGTTTAGTTTTTATATGTTAAATGACCTGTATGCGGCATTTAATGAGGTCGAGGGGCACGACTGCAGTGTGTGTGAGGCCACAGCTCAAAACACCACCGAAACCGCAGAGGGCGTAAAATTTATTTGACCCATATTCACAGCTCACATCTGCATCTGAGGGAGGAAAACACTTGTCATTTGACATCACAGCATTTCCCTTTAAATTTGATCACAAATATCAATACTGTGTGTGTAATACAGAATGGAAAATCAGAAGTCACACTTCTTTTGAAGAAAAATAAAGCTTATTTTGGCACCTATGGTTTCATGAAGAACATTTAACATCCATGGAACCTTTCCATTTCACAAAAGGTGAATATAGTGGAAAAATATTCTTAAGATAGTTAAAATGATCATAAAAATAAAGGTTCCAAAAGGGGTTTTTGCCATAGAAGAACCATGTTTGGTTTCCCAAAGAACCTGAATAGTTCTTAAAATAAGCTTTTTTATGTGTGTGTGTGTGTGTGTGTGTGTGTGTGTAGGACATTTTAACAATCTCAAGAATCTTTTTCTACTATAAAGAAACTTCTGTGTATTGAAAAGATTCCATGGATGTTTATAGAGTCATGGAAGCCAATACAGAAACTTTATTTTCAAGAGTGTTCTTCAAACTAAGCAAAATTATTATTTTAAGAACTCTTTACTGAGAGAACCCAAAATGGTTCTTGAATTGCATTGCTGCCAATTTAATGAGTTGGAGAGGCCAACAAAGCAAAATCAGATAGCCTATAGTTCTAGATCACGAGAGTTCACGACAAATGATGATGTCTGAATTGAGAATGAATTGTTCTTTTGAATCTGATCCAGTTCATATAATCGGAATGCTTTATTCACAAATCGGATATTGTGCATTTGTCATATTCAACTCACTGGCTCAATGAACATTGTTGCAGCAGCTAACAGAGAAAAACTGGGAAAAAGAGCCTGTTTGTCAAACAAAACTTGCATGACTGCAAGAGACTTAGAATATAATTCACAAATCGTATTGACTACATTCACAATGATTTTGCATCCTTTTTGTCCTCATTCATTGTAATTGCATTGAGGAAAACAAGCAGATTCAGCACATTATTCAAAATGTGTCCCATAGGAGGAGGATGAAACAGGTATATGGTGATTTAACTTTAATTTTGGGTTAACTATTCTTTTAACAGTCTTGAGAAAAAGTGCCTTGGCAGGCAATCATGACAATTAAGTCTATTAGCCAGACGTGTAATCCTTGTGGAGGAAGTTAATTCTTTAAGAATGGAATGACAAGCAGTCTGATAGAGTCCACTTTAAAAATAGCATAGTGTAATTTCACTGAGCTTTATCATTACATCCATGACCTTTTCAAATATTTATAACGAATAATAAATAAATAAATAAATACAATCTTGGACATAAAGCCTATTCAATATGTCTAATTCTGTTTGCGACTTCAGAAGATAAAGAACAACAACTTCTTACCATTATGAGCTGCTGCAGCAAGTTTGCGTTTTATCTGCCGGCTCTCATGTTGCTGATCTGGTTTAATGGAGAAAAGAGGAGTCTGGAAAGGATTCGACCGTGCCAACTGTGTTAAGGTGGTTGGGTACATTTTCACCAGGGGTTTACTGCCAAAAACAGACAGGTGACCATCTTAAATCAAACAAAAGTTAGGTTTTTTGCTGAGGAACAGTATTTATCTCTCATTCAAATATTTCAGAAAATTCATGTTAAAAAGAAACGGTACACTCACTTGTCGGTTGTAAAGAAAGACGCCTCCTGGGTGCATCAGCGGCAGGCGGATCTGGGACATCAGATGACCTCAGACTAAATCACCCTGACCTTCTGTGACGTCACCACAGAGACTTCACTACGTTTCCCACTGGAAAGAGCTATGATGGTATTATGGGCCACACTAGCGTTCATTCAAAAAAACAAAAACAGCCAGTGGATCAAGTTATTGGTGTAAATATGGATCCAACTAAATTTGTTACCGTTTAGTTGAGACCCACTGTAAACTTGAGCTCATGGTGTGAGCTTATAACGCACAGGAGTGCGTAGTGTAAGGCGATTAAACTATTCTATTCCTGGACCAGAGCAAAGAGCCTTGTACCCTTATCCTTACCTATTCAAGATCAAAGTGAGGTCAGAATTTCCAGTGCCTCTGTGAGGAACAGCAATGCACCGCAGAAAACCCTAAAGACAACAATTAGTAGAGGGAACGTCATAATTTAGGTCCAACATAGATACATTTAAAAAAATAAAATAAACAATCAAACTGAAATGTAGATACGAGGTAAAACGCTTTATTAAACCACATTCTGTCATTTACATAAAAAGTATCTGAACCCTCCCAGCTTTATCCCACAAATCCGCAGCACCTTATAATGTAAAATAAATACAGATTCAGAATATTAAATCAGTTTTTAAAGCAGAGTAAACGGCTTAATGATGGGCAGTTTACACATTGTCCAATTCTACCAATGTAATATATAAAGTATCAGGTTCTTACGTTTATTAACACAAATTTGTTTTCAAAGACATACTTTATAAATTGTCAATTTAAATTACTTTTTTTTTTTAAATGTATATATTCCAAATTTCAGCAAACAAATAAGCTTTTTAGATGCAAATTCTTTCAGTTGCTGTTATTACGCTGTTCAAGTTAATTGCCTGAAATGTTACGCTTTATAAAACCACATGGAATTCAAAGATCCTGAAATAACAAAAATTAAATGATTAAAATTATAATAAAAAAAGTGAAATTACCTTATCTTCCAGAATACATTGCAAAACAGTTTATTGAAAATATTTGTATTCCGACAACATGTACATAAATACTACATCAACGTTAAGATGGATACGGCACCTTTAAAGAGCTAGATGTGAAAATAAATGCAAAAATATTGTCACAAGTAAATGCTAAATGTAGTTTACAAACAAAACAAGTGTATTTAGCCAACTCCTTCAGCACTCCGACTTATGGACAGCACCATCATTAATAAAAACAAAACAAAAAGAAAAACACACAAAGGCAAAAAAACGTGACTTTTAAAATTAAAACCAGGATTCATTCCTCTAAACCAGTTCATCTCAAAGAGGGCATGATAGCAGAGAAAATCTGTCTTTGTATGAATATATAAAGATCTCAGGTAAAAGTCCACGACTGCAGAATCAAAGGGAGGTACTGGCTGAGTATGATAAAGAGGGCAAAGACTTGGGTGAAGCGCATGACGTTCATTTGCTAGTGCTATCAACGGCCCCGCTCTGCTTGAAGAGTCCAACCTCATTAGTCTCCATGGCCTGGTAGACAAAGAACAGGAATCCAGCGAGCGCGCTCAGCAGCACAAGCTGTACCCACACAGGCAGGCTGCGTCGTGCTCTGGTCTTCACAGCAGGGGGCGCCGCAGGTCTGGAAGCCGCTAGAGGGATGGCGGACACGCGTGGAACTGATCGGGTCTCTGTGTAGGAAGAGGAGCTGGTTTCTCTGAACTCTGTGAGACGGAGACGGGATTCGTCCAGCCATGTCTCATTCAGGGGCCGGCCAGCTGCTCCCCTGATTGGTCGGCGACAGGTGGCACTAGAAACACAATTGAAAAATATACTTAATTCGATATAGATTCTCTAAAAAAAGGGAATATTTTAAGAAGTATATCTTGTTTTAAAAAAGTTTTACATATTTACTAAAAAGTAAAAACAAAGGCAATAATGCTAAAATACAAGACAAAATGCAAAAACACTGACTCCCCCCATACTTTTTTTTAGATTTATATATTTTTTTGCAGTGCAGAATCTTTCACTCTGTGAGACTTATCTGTTTTTTGTGTGTAGACAATTTAACACTTCCAAAAATGTACAGTTTTATGGGTCGATAACATGCATTTTGTTTAGATTTATTATTTTACTAAACATCTTAAATTTTTTTTTTTTTTGACTAGGCAAGTTTGGTTTAGGTTAAATGTCATGAAATAAATGTTTATGAATTTAATAATTGAGCTTATTAAATTATTCATGTCTAAGGGGCAAGAAATGCTTGAATGTTATCAAATTTTGTATGTGAGCGAGTAAATGACAATTTTCATTTTTGGTTGAATATCCCTTTAAGAAAAGTTTTTGGGAAGAAAAAAAAAAGATAAACATTTTTTGTATCAAGTTAGAAAGCAAGAAGAAATGGCCAGTTAATTTAATGTCAATTTAATTCTTAAGAATGTTTCGTGAATCCGGCCCCTGGTGTTTGTTCAGTGCGAATGCTTGAAACACTTCCCCTCCATACCTGATTCCAGTGGGAGTGCTGAGGTTTTCATTGGGAAAGATCTCTTTTAGCAGATCTCTCTCTACCGTCCTCGGGGTCTGATCAATGGCTGACACCTTTTCCACCTGCGCACAAAGACAAGAGCCACAATGATGTGAACACTGAGGCTGGCAATCCCTTGCACGTGCTGCAATTTCTGAAGATCCATGTTTTCAGCTTTCATTTTAAAAACAAAAGAAAGAAAAACATTATATAACACCACAACCAGGTATGACCCGAGGTAAACAAGTGTGCAGTAAACACGTCCCACAAGTTTCCTCATCACCATTATACACCTGTGGAGACACACCATAGAGCTCATGAAATTACCGTCTCCTTCTTTGGTGTCTCCGTCTGGCTGCTATCAAGTCCTCGGACAGAAGTGAGTTGGGAGAGGAAAGGCGTGATTTTGGACTGTCTCGTCTTGGGCTGGGTCTCTGGTGAGCCACAGCTCCCCTGATAAACCAACAATGTAAATGATGGCTTTAAGCTTTAGTGATGACCCTGATAACTAGAAAATTATGTAACATTGTAACTAAAACCTAATACACTCTTAAAAAAATAAAGGTTCCAAAAGGGGCATTTTGTAGCAATGCCAAAAAGAACCATTTTGAGTTCTATAAAGAATCTCTCGGTCAACAGTTTTTAAAAGAACCCTTTTTTCTTAGCGTGAAGAACATCTAAAGAACTCTTTTCCACTATAAAGAACCTTTTGTCAAATGGAAAGGTTCCATGGAACCATCAATGTCAATAAAGAATCTTTATTTTTTAGAGTGTACCGTGTCATTAACAAATGTCCACAAATGAACAACAATCATCAGCAAACCTGGGAAAGGTCAAACGAGACTCGAAGAGAGTCCTCTGGAGCCACACGGGAGTCCCTAAAAGAAAGCGAGTGTGATGGGAAAACCTCTCTTTGGCCATCGCAGTCAAGTGAAAGATGGCACCTCATGTCTGTCAAGGGTTTGTTCTGACTCAAATGAGGCCTTGAGTACTTCGATACAGAGACAGATTTGACTTCCTGAGCCTTCAGAGAAGAAACAAACTCATGAGCCACTAAAATGAATGTTTAATACATATATAAACTATCCTTGCGTAGCTGAGATGTACCACAGGAGCTCGGCTCGCAGGTCTACAGCTCAGGATGTCCTGCATACCCTGGTCATCAACCTGAGATTACGGAAATTTTAATTAAGACACTTTATGTTGCATAAATATGCCTTGATTTACAAGAAGTGTGTGTCTCATCACCTCAACACAAGCAGTGTTAAGAAGGGAAACAAGTGGCTCTCGATTGGACTGTCTAATCGGAGGGGAAGTGATGTCAGCGGTATTCTCATCAAACTACAGAGAAACCACAAAAGACATTTGAGCGATGCTGAGAGACATGGAAGATTTATGAAAGAGACAGTTGGCACCTTGTAAACTGGACTAACGCCATGTAAACTGGATATGGTGGACTGGTAAGAAGAGTTGTGATGTTTAGGTGATTCTGACCAGTCAGTCGCAGACATGGAGGACCGCTTTGAGGGTTTGGGTTCTTTTGGCACTGCCTTTAATATATGACACCATAAGAAACACTATGACATTAGAATACGACCTGCATCCTCATGTTTATGTGTGAGGTTTCTTCAGGACCTACCAAAGGATGCGCTTTCATCCGCACCAGAGGAACAGACACCTCCTTCAAATCCTATGAGACATGCGATTTCCAAACAAACAGATGAAAAAGAAAAGAAAAAAGGATCAAAATATACTTCCAATGGTTCATTCTTACTATGCGGTGCATTTCTATTTCCTATTCACGTATTGCTTAATATACTGGATACAATTATTTTTACATTAAAAAAAAAAAGAAAAATGATACGAAAAAGGCAGATAATTATATATATTTTTCTTTCTCTTTTATTACAATTTCAAAATTAAGTGAACATGATGGTGAATTTGAAATGATTTGTGATTTTCTTTGGCCATGCATATCGTTGCTGCAATTTTAACATAAAAAAACTGGCAATTTAAAAATATCCTTATTTTGTTTTTGGGGAATGCGGTTTTAAATGAGAAATATGGGGGAAAGCCCATAAATATATAACCACTTACACTTTCTATTCTGCTTTTATTGCATGATGTCCCTTCAATTAACAAAAGCCATGATCATCCAGGAAGTGACATCAATTTTAGGGAGATTCTGTGAGGTTTTATTTTGACAAGTTTTCTTTGAAAATGGCTTAAATATCTAAATATTGAGATTTATAATACAAATTAACATGACCTTATATTGACACCTCAGTCCTTTACTGAGGAATGGCTAATATTAGCTTCCTGATGGATTGTATCCGGTTTTCAACATGGGGTAAATAATTAGGTTCTAATTAATCAAATGTAAGTGCCCGAGGTTGACCAGAGCATGTTTCAGAAAATAGATTAATAGAAATACTTCCTTAATGCAAAACATGCATTTTTTGAATGCTAAAGTTCAAAAGATACTGCATGAAAAGGATGACCCTAATAATGCAACCATTTAGAAACATTAATAATTTCACAGAGAACTTCAATAGTTATGTTTTTCATATCAAACTGAAGTCTCCAAAGAGGGTTTTAAGGAGAAAGACACCTTATCAGTGGTGGGAGCCTCGTTCAAATCAGGCCGAAACAAGCGGACTGGTGCGCTGCGTCGCTTCAGAGATTCAGTCTTAGACGAGAGCTGTGATGTCCTGTCTGTAAGCAGTGGTCTGGGGTCTTTTCTTTCTGCCTTTAATAGGAGAATAGAAGCGGGTTTTTGAGGTCAGGCTAATAATTTAGACCAAGGATGGGACACTGCCCTGGAGTGTTTAGCTCCAAACCCGATATAAAACACCTGTCTGTAGCTTTCTGGTAATCCTGAAGACATTAGGTGTGTTCGACTGCGCAGACCGATCGGTGTATGGCATCAAAGTACAGCGAGAGCGATACGAAAGTATAAAGAGACGCCTGGTCTCGCGGTCCTTTGTTGTCATACACCGATCGCATTGCTGCTTCAAGTCAAACACGCTTATTGACTAGCCTGTTCAGGTGTGTTTGATTAGGGTTAAAACTATACTCTGCAGGACAGTGGCCCTCCAGGACCAAAGTTTCCCCATCCCTGACTTTGACCATTAGCGCTACACTAGTGTCATGGCCACCTACCACATGTCCTGTTCTTCTCCTGTCTTGCGAAACAGGGAAGTACTCTGCAGATGAGAGCTCAGAGTTTTCCTGAAAACACCAGACATTCACACAAACCTTGCTTACAAATACAATTGAGTCAAAGTATTTTACGGCCTCGGTTAGTTTGTGAAACAAAAATAAGGCTCAACCAAACACTGTTCACCCATGTGCAAACCAAAACACGCCTTGTGCAGATCCCAAAAGTTACCACACCCAGAAACCAGGTGATGTACATTAATAACAAAACCACAGATTGAGTTACGGTGTCGTCGCTGGCGGGAACCATCTGATCCAGCCTGTGAGAAGGTCTCTTCAGCTTTCTCTTAACATTCAAAACCGGCCAATCTTCCTCCTGCTTATCCTCCTCATCCTCCTATACGTCACACAGCAAACTTAGAAACTCTAGAACTTTCCATAGAGAAGCAAATGGCTTATCCGATCTCCACAGGAGGTATGACAACATTTAAATGTGGAGTGGTCATGTGACCACCTGAAGTAGGTCAGATTTCTTCTACAGCAGGTGGTGCTGCTGAACTCTTAACAGATAATGGTGGGAAAATATGCAGGTGGGAACATCACATGGGGAAAATCTGTTTATATTAGAGACTAAAGAACTGATTCTTTACACTAATGCGAGACAGCATGCGCTGCTTGTACTGCCTAAACAGCTTTTATGTGAGCAAAGTAGTAAGAAGTCTTTGAAGACAGAATCCTCCTGGCTAGTCGTTTACAAGTGACCTAAACAAAGATCTTCAAGTTTTCACAGAGATGTAAGACTGAGTAAAATCACAGGAATGAGAAACCAAGTGTGTCTGAAGGAAAGGAGGGAATACAAAAATAAAAGAGGATTAAAGTCTGGACCAAGTCCAAGCTAAAGTAAAAAAAAAAGAAAAAGAAAAAAGCAAGGGATACAAGACAGTGGGGGTGCTAACTGTAATTGAAATCATGTGAACCATCAAATCTTCAGTCTTTTGCTTAACTTGTGAAAGATGAGATATTTTTGGCAGGGCTGTTTGATCAGCTGATATTAGACCATTTTGAGGTTATCAGCCTTAAATTAACAGTGCTTGCATCTGAAGTGGTACTTTGTCAATAAAAAAAAAAAAACCACCATGGATGGATATTAAAGGGTTAGTTCACCCAAAAATGACAATTCTGTCAGTAATTACTCACCCTCATGATGTTCCAACCCTGTAAGACTTTCGTTCATATTCGGAACACAAATTAAGATATTTTTGATTAAATCTGAGAGCTGGATCACTCCTCCATAGGCTCCTATTGTAACTGAAACTTGCCGGCCCAGAAAGTAAATAAAAACATCGTTAAAATAGTCCAAGTGACTACAGTGACTCAACCTTAAGTTTATCAAGCGACGAGAATACTTTGTGGAAAAAAACAACAACAAAAATAACGACATTATTCAACTATTCGTTTTCTTCTATGTAGGCCTCAGAGTGAGTTCACGTAGTGTAACAGCGCAGCGCTACGTCAGAACGTAGGCTCACTATTGGCCGACGCTGGTTCAGGAGTGTGGTGCTGGCCAATAGTGAGCCTACGTTCTGACGTAGCGACTTTATGAATTTAAGACTTTGCACTCTAATTGAAGACCTTTTTAAAGGGGTGGTTCAGAATTTTGGACACCGGGCCTCATTTCCAAGTTAGCCTTAGTGTTATTTATCAGTGGAGACAGTTTTCAAAAATTTTCATCCAGTCGTTCCAGTTGCATAGTTCGCCGGTGCTAGGCTAGCGCGAGTCAACGGTAACTGCTAGCCTGCCATTAAAAACAGTTTTACCCACTCCACAGTACACCAAAAGCAAATAAATTATAACGCCAGACTATTGATGTAAATGTCTGTTGAGAGAATAATGTTAGAAATCAAACTACCCTTTCATTGCATTGCAATCGTTATACTTTGTTCCCTGTATTTATTAGCACAGTCTACAGCAGCGGCGGAGTGATATGTAGTTACCTAGGCAACCGAGAGAGGTAGTGAGAGAGAGAGGTAGTGCAGGCAGTTCCGACTGTAGTGCGCTTCGGTTCTGTGTTTACTTTTCGGCGCAGTACTACTAACCGGAGCAAAGTAAAATTCCACCGCTGCTGAGAAACTAGTTCCTGTAAATGTATTGCGATCATTGAGATGCAAGAGTAGTTTGATTTTTAACATTTTTCTCTTAACAGACATTTACATCGATAGTCTGGCATTATAATTTATTTGCTTTTGGTGTACTGTGGAGTGTGTAAAACTGTTTTTAATGGCAGGCTAGCCGTTACCGTTGACTCGCGCTAGCCTAGCACCGGCGAACTATGCAACTGGAACGACTGGATGAAAATTTTTGAAAACTGTCTCCACTGATAAATAACACTAAGGCTAACTTGGAAATGAGGCCCGATGTCCAAAATCCTGAACCACCCCTTTAAGGGCCTTATTTCACGTATGGGCAAATTAAGGCTTTATAAGGCCTTTTTGAGACCCACAGAAACCCTATTTTTATACATTTAAAAATGAAATGTATTCTTGTAATGGCAAAGCTTTTCAGCAACCATTACTCCAGTCTTCAGTGCCACATGATCCTTCAGAAATCAAAGCATGAGCAAACATAATGCACAGGTTTTGCCCTCACCCTGTTAAGCTGAATACTGCGTGTCCTGCTGGTCACTGACGTTTTCCCTCGGCTCCTGACTGGTCTCTCCACAACTGGGATGGGTTCGACCTCCACTTCCGGTTCAGGCAGAGACACAGGGGCTGGAGCTACGGTTTCTAACGAACAGAAAAGAGAGCATTTTGACGTATTCATTTCTATAAGAACATGGTTAAATAAAGGGATCTGCTTGTCTGTTACCTTCCTCCTTGTCGCTGTACTGGTCTGAGTCTGTGTTGCCATTCTGGCCGCCGTCTGTCTGTGATGTTTCTGAGGGAGGAGCCACAGCTTCAGGAGGACCCTGATCCAGCAGCTTCTGAAGCCTCTTCTCGTACACCTTACGAGTGGACGCTGATGTGAAGACATTGTTTGGTGTTGATGTCAAAGCAGTAATAAGACAACACATCATGGCTGAAATATATCGTTTCATTTAGAGGCAGATTCAAATGGAAAAAAGTACTTAAAGTCTTATTCGCAACAAGCAGTGAGAAAGGCTGCTGCTTTATCTGAAGAGCTTTCCAACATCCATTTAAGGACACTATTCAAGCCAGAATTGCAAAAACATGCAAAGCTGGATGCCTGGTGAAACTGCTGATTTACTGATAGCCTTGCACAACACCACGAGACAATTCCGATTATTCCAGAGACTAAAGACTTTGTTTAGTTGCTGAAAGACAAGACAAGATTTTTGCGCATACTGCATTTCATGAGCTTTTGATTATAAAATCTATTTCAGGGGGTATTTCACATCCTCCATGTAACATGAAAAAAGGTATTTCATGCCTTATGCATGGTATGTTTACATTTCATTGTACTCTATCGCAACATTTATTTCATTATGTATTTGCTTATTATTAAAGGAACACTCCGACTTTTTGGGACTTTAGCCTATTCACCTTATCCCCCAGAGTTAGATAAGTCCATACATACCTTTTTCATCTCCGTGCGTGCTATAAGTCTGTTTGACGCACCCACCGCTAGCCTAGCTTAGCACAAAGACTGGATGTAAATGGTTGCAGCTAGCATACTAATCCAAATAAGTGACAAAATAACGCAAACATTTTCCTATTTACATGTTGTGATTTGTATAGTCACAGAGTGTACAAAAAACAAAGTCACATGAGACACAGACATATTTTAACCGTATAAATACTGGGAACTATATTCTCTGAAGGCGAAGCACTGCTACTTGGGCGGAGTGATAACCGCAGCACCTGAGACGAGCCGTGGTGAGGAGCAGAGAGCGCGTCTCAGGTGCTGCGGTTATCACTCCGCCCAAGTAGCAGTGCTTCGCCTTCAGAGAATATAGTTCCCAGTATTTATACGGTTAAAATATGTCTGTGTCTCATGTGACTTTGTTTTTTGTACACTCTGTGACTATACAAATCACAACATGTAAATAGGAAAATGTTTGCGTTATTTTGTCACTTATTTGGATTAGTATGCTAGCTGCAACCATTTACATCCAATCTTTGTGCTAAGCTAGGCTAGCGGTGGGTGCGTCAAACAGACTTATAGCACGCACGGAGATGAAAAAGGTATGTATGGACTTATCTAACTCTGGGGGATAAGGTGAATAGGCTAAAGTCCCAAAAAGTCGGAGTGTTCCTTTAAATCCCTCCTTAAATTTGGGCTAGTCATTGTTTAAAGAAATCTAAAATAAAAACATTTTAAAATGTACAAATACACACATAAAACAACATATCCTATCACATAAATGCCCCATTTATTACAGTCACTTTTTGTTCCCAAGGTGTTTTTGCCGTTTTAGGGAATATGAAGTCAGTTCTCCTCAGGTTCACACAGGCGATAACAGGTGTAGTTCACACATTAGCTTTCTTCAAAAAATATTGCCAACCAGAATTAATTGATTTAATTAATTAATATTCATTTTGAACCATATATGGATTGTTTTTATTAATTTGTGTATGTTGTGTTTTATGTCTTTAACAAATAGCTAGCACTTGGTTTGATATTTCGTTATCCAATATAATAAAGTGTCCAAATACTTTTTAAGGTAAACGTATGATCTAAGGAAACATACAATATCTCTAAATATTTAATCTGAGTTTAAATCTCAAAAGCGGCTTACCAACAATGGGTCCAGCATTCAGGCCATACTTCAGCAACAGGTCTTTCAAACCCTCATTGCTCAATTCAGTGACATCAACATCCTCTGGACGAACTTTGTCCGTTTTCCTGGTGGCTTTCTGTGGAGAAAAAAAAGTCACGTTATACATCATGCGGTTTATCATTTTCAATTTAGTGGTCACATTTTTCATGAATGCACATTGCAGAGCTGTAATAAAATATGTTAAGACATCATACTGTAAAGTATCTGAACTTGAAGAACAGATGTTTAAATACACCTGACAGCTCTTGATTATAGCGTGACATGCAAAACAAATAATAATAATAAAGGTTGCAGTTTACGTGGGTATTGGGAAATTAGTTAAGTACAAAACATTTTTTTTTGCAAAAGAAATGAGGCCAAAAATTTGGTTTAAAGGGATATTTCAGTCAAAAATAAATTCTGTCATCATTTACTCACCCTCATGCTGTTCCAAACAAAAAAAACTTTCGTTCATCTTCAGAACACAAATGAAAATCTTTTTAATGAAATTTGAGTGATTTCTGTCCCTCCATTTACAGCTACGCAACTACCACTTTGACACTTCAAAAAGTTCATAATAAAGAGATCATAAAACTAATCCATATGTTTAGTTCAAATTTTCTGAAGAGACACGATTGCTTCATAATGAACAGATTTAATTTAGGCTTTTATCTACATATAAACTTTGATCAGGGAACATAAACAGAAGCTCAACCGAACCTGCTTGACGCACGAGAACAAACCTCATTGGTTCTTGCTGAAGCTCAAACGTGCAGCGTAAGTTAACACGAGAATGAACCTAATTGGTTCTCGCACGTCAAGCGAACATGCTTGAGCTTCCGTTTACCATAACTGATGTACGAGTTGATGAAGGTTTATACAGTATGTGAATAAAGTTTATTGGCATATTTTACTGGGCACACCATGTTTCAGAAATATCTTGTCTCTTTTTTTTCAGTCTTTCATCTTTCCTCATATTCGAGATTTTAACACAGTTTGTATTCATTAGGCAAGCTAAGATACTCAAGCTTATTTGTATAGCGCATTTCACTCACGCCAATAATAATTCAGTTTCACTTTCCTGGGGCAATGCAACATAAATTTCTTGCAGAAGATAAGATTGCTCTTTCAAACTTTTACTATCATTGTCAGTTGCTTTTGGAATATCAGGAGAAATATGAAAACATTCAAAGACAAGAGAGAGGGCTGCTAATTCTTTTAACAGATTTGAATGAACGGTGTGGTGGCAAAAAACTAAACCCGATGTGTTATTTTGGCAACAGGTCTAGCATTCTGCATGCTTCAAATCAGACACAGAGATGAACCAAAGAAAAAAAAAACCACCGTCACAGCCCTACTGCTCTGACACTTCAACTAGTTTAACAGAAAAGGTGAGGACATTCTTTACATCCCCAAAGCCCATAATAACACATTATACACTATTACTACACCTGAAACAGCTCAGAGGCAAACAAGCTGTGTGAAGAAACATGTGCCTAGCACGTGACTGCAGGAGTAAACGTTAATTTGGATAAACCAATAAGGTTAATGATTATAAAATAATTCAATAATGCTTATGCAAAGTGCCACAGTGATAGTGCCATTCGACTGGAGGCATACGCGCAAACTCTCAGACTGAGTGGGACAAAGCAAGAACAATGCAAATCCAGCCACATTTCCTGGAGTCGAGCCCTGCTCCACAAACGCAAGCATGTGACCGAGGAGAAATGGTGAAAACAGTGAAGTGGAGAAGGAGAGAATGTATTACGAGGGGCAGGAGGAGATCATGAGGGCGTATGAGCTTCAGTGAGGGGCCTTCACCAGGGCTGATCTGGAACACTGCCGACTCAAACTTTCAGAAATCACAGCATTCCAGCAGGATGCAGGAAAAAAGAAAAGAAAAAGAAAAACCTTCCTCAGTCCACAGACAACACCCTCAAAACGTATAGTTTTTCGAGAACGTCAGACTCAGCATGTGCCTGTGAACAACATGGGTTTGATATTACAGAGATTTTTTTTTTTTTTTTAATTAATATTGTGTAACAAAAACATTTGATTTAATCATTTCATTTTTAATTCTTTTAATCCAAAAGCGTTTTCTTTTCTGACATTTTATGGTTCATGGTTTGAGAAGTTTTATGGGCCGTTTCAAAGCTGGTTATTCAATCTGGGAAGTCAAGTGTCTTTCTACAGAAGCGATTCCAGATTGGGCAGTTCTCGAAACTTTTCAACTGCAGAAAAGGTGTTTCCGGGCAGGAAAGATGGCCTCAACTCCGGCCCTAAAAACTTGCTCAAACAGAACCGGGGAGCGAAGAAATGCTGGGCGGGTCTCGCTGAGCAATCTAATAACATTGCACTATATCTGCTCTTTATATCTAGAGACCCAGCATGCGAGAGAGTGCAAGAGAGAGAGAGAGAAAATAAACGGTTTCAGTTTCAATTTATTTCCAAAAAGGCCGCACTGCCTGTAAAAACACGGGGATGTGCAATGTTTTTTTTTAGACTGGTTATAGTCAGGTGAACAACACACAGTAGTGTTACGTCACCGTTCGTTCCTCAAGCCTGTGGAAACATGCGGCCGGTTCGCAACAGACTTCAGTTCGCCTGGCCGAAAACAGGCTCCAGAACACAAACCATTCTGGTGGAAAAGGGGTATGAGAGACCTATAATGCTAATGTCATCTCTCTGGAAATTTGTAATAATGAGGCATGATGTTGCTGGTTACCCACAATTTGTCCAATTGTGGCTTTCGCAGCACAGCTTGTAAACCAGTTTTATTTATTTGAACACAAAAAAACATTACCAACTCTGGTAAAAAAAACTAAACATAAAATCAAACATCTATGGTCCACAATTTGTGTGTGTGTCATGCGTTTCTGAAAATTACTATCTGAGAGACAGCAACTTCAAAGAAGAATGCAAAGCACTCACACATCTGGCAGCCGAAGCAAAAATTCCACTTCACAAGAAAGTATTTCCTCAATAAAGGGACCAAACCTACTATGAAAACAGCCCTTGTGGTGCTCTCCAGATATACAACTTTCAGACCTGTACCTTCCTGCTCAATCTGGCATTTTCAATATGGGGTTTCAAAGACCCCCAGGGGGGTGGCAAAGGAGTGCTAGAGGGTTTAATGTAAACTTGTTTAAAAATCAATAATATATATAGGATTAAAGTAAATAAAAAAAGGGTCCCTTGAACAAAGTTGGGGAGTCTGCAGTATCTCTGATAACCCCTGATTTAAGCAATTTGTTTACCAACTTGCAATGGTAGTTCATCATACCTGATAAATATGGACTCTGTTAAAGACAGGGAAACGCCTGTAGAATATTTCACAATGACCGGCTGCACTACCTCATTCACTGGCACTGGAATACAGAGAGCTGCCTTTAACATCAAACATCTCTGCTATAACATAAAAGGAGTCTGTGAAGTTGTCTGGGTGGAGGGTTGAGGTAATCGAGTTGGCTGAATAACCAGAACTAACTTGACACTTATAGTATTCACATTCACTATGGAAAGTGTCTACTCTTAATAATGGCAACAATAGACGCATACCTGATAATAGGTATGAAATAACTGGTAAGCATTAAACAATTCTAGTGCACACGGTTCATATTATGGGTTTATTAAATAGCTGTGGGTATTAAAAATTACTAAGTAACAGAAGTGGGGGGAGAAACACTCCCACTTCTCTATGAACCACCAGGTGTTTCATCACCGTAACATTTTTCAAGAATGCCAATAACAACCAGCAACATTATCAGGTTTAGACCTAGACACAGATAAAAAGAAGTCTAAGATACGTGTCCATTTTCTATTAAAATTACTTTGGGATGCTATTTTCTACATTATGAATCTTTACTGAAGTGTTCATTCAAGCTGGGATCTTAAGTTTTCTGATGGACACGCCTAAAACAGATGTGTAACTGAGATAACATATAGCAGTGCAAGATTTCCAGGACGTTATAATTTCTGTAATTCGTCTTTTTTGATGTTTTTTTTTTTAACGGATAGCGCAATGGATTTTAAACACGTGAAACTAATCCATTGAATCTGACTGATACATTTAAGCGGGAAACTGTCGCCCGCCGGTAGTGATAGGAAGTCCGGAATCGGTTCTTTCGAACAGCTAGTTTCAAAATCCGGTTTTAAAAATGCTTCGTTTATAGCACTGCGTAATTCCATGATGCACGACGTTCCAAATTACACGTTCTATTCTTTCCAATAAAGTGATAAACACGTCTTGCTAACGTTACGCGTTTTTATTTTTTTAATTATATTTTAAGGGCGTTTATTGTCATTCCATGACCACCAGTTAGGTTTCTCACAGCTATATGCTAATGCTTCAGATCATAATTTGGATTTTAAAACATTCTCAACCCTCGGCTGAAAGTATTGCATGTTTTAATAAAATGCTATTCATTTAAAACAACTATATTTAGTGAGTATGATAAAACTGATAAGTTACAGTCCTTTCGTAACCACATCGTTCAGACCGGTTTTGTGATCTAACTCACTCAATTGATTCACAGAAATGATCCAACTCAAAATATAACGATTCTCTCACGAACCGGACACCATTAGTAAAAGTTCGCCATGCCGGTTTGTTTTCATTTGCATGTGCAAACATCACAGTTATGACATTTATTTACTCTGATAATTCTAACCTCAGAACTTTAATCCAACAAACACACTTTTAGAAAATGCACGACTTGATAGCATTAATAAAAATCAATACCGCGAACTGCATCAGCTCAATTTGATGCATTTTACATGCAAAGCAAGTCAACAGCCAAAACAAAGCAAGCTTCTCCGAACCCACCCTGCCAGAGCGGCTCCTGTTGGAGATCACGGGGGCTGGAGGCAGATCCTCGTCGCTGGAGAAGACATCTGGAGAGCCGCTGCTCTTTTTGTTTTGCGCGGTCAGATTCTTCAAGTACAGCTGCACGTACACATCCTTCCTCTGGTCGCCATTCGGCAAAGCCACGTTATGGGCCAACAGCGCACTTTTAAGCTTATCTTTAGTGAGCACAGACGGGTCTTCCAGAAATTCCGACATGTCTGTTGGCTTGAGCAGGACACTATCGCTGGCTGAGACTGATTTCTTTTATGGGATCAGTGACCATCTTAGGAGAGAGACCCCTATTGGATGCGTTCCGCAGAAAGAAGCGCTCTGATTGGTAGATAGATCATTTAAAATCACTGGTGATAAATAGACGAGTTGAACCACTTGTTTATAGGAGATTCACCTACTAACTTACTAAAAATTGAATTAGCATGTAAAATAAATATTGCACACAAAGAGAAAGAACAAGACTGGGCTAGAAATTAAACTAGAAGCTGATGGGCGACAGAAGTGAGCAAAGTTAAATGTAATGCTTTGAAATGAAGACTGCTATATGATCTGATTTAAACACACACACAAAGATGATATAAGGTATGTCAACATTTTATTGGCCAAATGATGCAACTTATGTTGCAACCAAAGACAAATTTATTAAACAACTTAAGTCACTTTTAAGCTTTTCAAGTTTACATATTCTCCAGGCTCTCATGGAAAACATTTACAAGTTCACACTACTATTGATAAACATTTGAAGAACACGTTCCTCAGGAGCACTTCCGCTGAGAGATGTCATCAAACTGAACATTGAGCTCTTGCAATAACAAACAAAATGTATTGAAATCACACCGTTGTAACACCGAAACAAAAAACAAAATCTTAACCAAAGTGATCACAGTGCTGCAGAAACCGACCACTTATGAAGGAGCTGACTGGTGTATCATGGGTATCAAAGAAAGAGCAGGCAGCTGGAGGGTTAGCATTTGCACTAGCACGCTCAGCTCTACCGCCGTCTCCTGATGCTCATTTCCACAATGTGAATGTGCGAGTTGTTTCATCTCCACGCTCAAGTCATGCTCGGCAGTGCGGTCCATCTCAAGTGAAGAAGGGTGGTGGCACAGCACTCTGCTGGGGTGTGGTTTCCTTGACCCATCCCGTCCCCTGACCTCTCCTCCTTTGCCTTGTTGTCTCCCTCTCTTTCCCAACTCAGGCCTTGATCTCAGCTGGAGGGCAGTACAGCACTTCAGAGTTCTCTGACGACAGCTCCTCTGAAAGGGACAGACAGCTTTTAGTGTAGGATAACGAATCTGACACAAGGCCACAAATGAAGCCTACTCCTATGGGAGCTTGTTTTCGCCAGGGAATAAAAACAGTCGAACCACAATGAGCACGAGGCATTTTCGATTCATTCTCATTAAGGTAGGATCATGCCAGGTATTGTAGGAATGACTGTGGAGCTGAGAGAGCATTTCTTCTTGCAAATGAGAGGCAATCGCTAAAGTGAAGCCAGTGACATCTGTCATAAGCGTTTCACAATCTGCCCATAGTTGCTGGATTTAGTGCTTATATTGCATTGTTACATTTTCCTATATTGCAAGCTTTTATTCTGAAAGATATTAATAGAAGTGAATTAAAGTGACAATAAATGAATACTTTAAGATTTTAGAAATAAAGTGCATCTTTTTGAATCATGCATTTATATATACATACATGCTAATAGGGCAGCACATTTTGGTGCAAATCTAATTACGATTTAAAAAAAAAAGAAAAAAGAAATTCAATTAAAAAGCTCCAAGTTTGCTCTGCTTGTTAGTTGGGCTGCACAATTTGGCCCAAAACAACTGTAAAATTGCAATACTAACATTTAAGGCTTTCCTAATTCAATGTTAAAGCATCAAGATTTTTTTTTTTTGGCCAGAAAACCACAGAGGGCACTTAAAACAAAGGTGCAAAACTCAGTTCCCGGAGGGCCCCAGCCCTGCAGAGCACAGTTCCAACCCTGCTTCAACACACATACCTGTAGTTTTCAAACAAGCCTTAAGGACTTAATTAGCTGGATCAGGTGCGTTTAATCAGGGTTGAAACTAAACTCTCCAGGGGGTGTGGCCCTCCAGGAACTGAGTTTTGAATCCCTGCCTAAAAAAATATATTTAGCTGACTAGTGTTGTCACGATACTAGAATTTCTAACTTCGATACGATACCTTGAAAAATATCGATATTCGATACCATTTTCGATACCACGGAGATAAAACTGCCACAATATTAAGGTTTTTTATTTATTTATTTAAAGCTAAATATAACTAGTCTAGAACATGACAATGAGGTATATTTTACATGAACAAAAATGTCCTGAGTTCTATTTGTTTATATTTTTTTAATTGGACCAGAGCTAACATGATGTATTTTTATTACCTACTGTTATCAAAGATTAAAATATACTGTAACAAAAAAGCACTTAACAGTATCAAATTGGAGGATAGAGAGTCAGTAATGTATAATAATAAGATTAAACATTCAATTTTCAGTTAAAGGCATGTCATTATTGAATTCAGAGATGCCATTGTCTAGCTGTTTAGTTTAATTAATATCTGTGTAATCAAATTGATGATAATCGCTAATGAAGGAAAATTGCAGAATTAAATAATAATTTCTGAATAAAGTTAAATAGGCACCAGTTAATTTACATTTGACCACAGTTACAATATTTACTTGTCTAAGATTCCTCAGTCAGATTATGTTAACTTTAAGAATTAAAACGAGACAACACAGACTCTTATCAACAACAATACTAGGCCATCTTGGTTAATGTTTCAGAAAAGTTCAAATGAGAAGAGTTACAGTGTTTCCTTGAGGATTTGTTTTAGCAGTGGGGGCAGGTCTGTCCAAACAACAAACACCCCTAATGCTGAGCATATGCTGCTAAATAGTAGCCTACCCCTGGAGCCTGTTCCTTAAGTCTGTTTTCACCTATACAATAATTTTAAAAAATGAGTGATGTGAGGGATTGTTGATAGTCAAACAATCTGTTGGGTGCCCGCAGCCCGCTCGCGTGTCCGCGCTATTCTCCGACATGCCCGCTCGCGGTGTGTAGCTCGTGTCCGCGCTATTCTCCGACTCCGACATGCCCGCTCGCGGTGTGTTTTTTACGCGTGTCCGCGCTATTCTCCGACATGCCCGCTCGCGGTGTTCTTTATCAATCAACCAAAGGCGGTCGCGGGGGCGCCGCCCTCGCCATCTTTCCATTCACTTCACTTTTGCTATTTAACCAGAGCGAATGAGACGAGTGCGTCACGTGTGGTGTTTGTCAACGCGCCTTTTGAGAGAAGTGAAAGTGACTGCTCGGCTAGTATCGATACTTCGGGAAATTAGTATTGGTACCGTTCAGATATTTAAGTATCGATATTTATCGAAATATCGATATTTTTGACAACACTATAGCTGACAACAGCCGGTTTGTAAGAGAATCTCAAGTTCTCAACCGAGCTGCTCAAGCCTAGTTCACACTACATGATTTTAAAACGTCGGGCTGAACTGTGCGGTTCACACTACATGACTTGCTCTCTGTGAAATCAGGAGTGTTCAAGTTGTTGAGCTGTTCACACCACACGACACAACGTGATTGATCCGCAACAGGAGGTAACGCACTACACGAGTTGACAACAACTGTCACCCAACAATTCTATCTTGTCTACAAACCACGTTTTGTCACGAAAAATCACGCGATAAAACGAACCGGAAATGACGCGAAACAGCACGCGCGCCAATACCCAGCGAAGAAGACAAAGAAGAACACAACACGCGAACATGCCTTGCTCTGATTGGCTGTAGCTCATGACATCACGTGAGCTTGAGTCGTGCGACAGCTCTGGATATCTAGCATGCTAGATATTTTTCTGGGCTCGGCGACGCGTCTGCGAGCGTCTTTGATGCGTTGTTGGCTCTTTCATACTAACAGATTGGCAAGCGTTCATCGCCCACTAATCCCCCGCGATTTGCACGCGATAACACCCTGACCAGTCGGCGAGCTCAACGATTTGCAAATCGGGCTTAAAATCATGTAGTGTGAACTAGGCTAGGTTCAGAGACACTGGATCATGAGCTGCTCGCATGTAAAACACCACAGTGCTCTGCTTTACTCTAAAACATGTAGCACATGTTCAATTAAAATCGCAGGCTTTGCAATTTCATTGTTGTATTTTCGGTTTTATTTTGATAGATAGTACAGCCTTTCATGCTAACTTTCTTGACTGTGTATTGAAACATTTAGGTAAATCTAGTCAATATCTATGTGAACTCACCAGGCAGGACACATTTCCACAGGCCGTATGTTTTCCCTACAGCCGTCTGCCACAGACGCAGAGTGCCGTCCTCTGAGCCACTGGCATACAGCTCTCCATCAGGGCTAAACCGCACAGTGTGTATGGGCCCGAAGTGACCCTTATATGACTCTGAAAAAGAGACAAATGCATTTTACTGTCAAGCAAGAACAAATACATATATATTCATGAGCCAATCTATACTAAGCTTTATGTTTTTTCCTAATGGAGTTTATTACATTAATTTAAACTTAATTAGCGCCTACGTTCCTACCCATTTCCTCTTTGGTGGTGTAGTCATATTTATAAAGCTTGAAGTCATCTCCTCCAGCTACAAAGAAGTCTTTTTCAGGATGCAGTGAGGCAGAGTGAATAGAAGCAGGGGCGTCCACGGTCTTAATCAGATCCAAACTGAAAGTAAAAGAAAACAACAGATTGACATTATCAGTTCTCCATACATTTTAAGGACGTGTTTTTTGTCCAACTCAGTCCTCAAGGTAATATTTGCATAATAGGACAACCTGTAGCCGTCTACCTGTGGGCGTTGTAGAAGGCGATGGTTCTCCCATACGTGATGACGAGAATCTCCCCATCAGGAATGTACTCCATGCTGGTGACAGAGGCATCAAACGATAGAGTATGCACTGCCTCCTGTGTGTTCTTGTCCCAAAGTCTACATATGAAAGACAACACAAACTCAGAATTATATATATATATATAGCTTTCCCCCTAAGAAGGTTTGCATTTACTCGCAAAATGTTTGGGTTCTATATATGCAATGTACAGTTCAAATACTTTGTCCATTACCATTATGGACAGGACACTCACCTGATAGTTTTGTCATCAGCAGCCGAGAGAATCTGTTGGTCATTGTTACACCACAGAGCTTTCTTTATGGCAGAGGTGTGGCCTGCAATCTCCTGGGGATCTGCATTACAAATGCCATATAGCCTTATGCGCTATTTCATCT